CAAGCAGGAAAAGGCTGTGAGACGTATGAAAAGAGAGACACGATTCCAGAGACATGGTGGTCAGAGGAAGGCGGGGAGGGGAGAGAGAGAATGGACAAAGGGGGCTCAGTTGAGTGTGAACCGCAGTGGCATGAGCAACTGAGATGTGGCCTGTTTCTTCCCCTATGTCTGGGATCGGAGATGGGAGGGACGGCACGGAGGAAGAATGATGGCCAAGTCGCAGATTCGGGACAGTCCGATAGGTACAATCGTGATTACTCTCTTCACAAGACAAAAGCCATTTCGGCATTTGGGGGATGAGGCCCTGAGCCTGAACATGTTTTGGGGGGCTCTGAGTGGATAATCTGTGGTGGATGGGTAGGTTGATGGCTGCTTCTTTGTGTAACCGTTACGTTGTCTACCCGCCTCTTGAGAGGGGGGTTCCGCGCTTAAGGTTGAGATATATCCCAGATAAGGTATTTCCCGAGTTGACGATGCAGTAAAGAGCATCGGCTCTAGGTAGCCTCCATGGCGGGAGATGTGAGAACGTGCCGGCACCTCTCCTTTCTTTCCACGCTGCTCCCGTTTCCCTAGCCCCTCCATTTCCTTCGGGACTTGTTCCTGGAAGAAGGAGCGGTAGCACATCACATGTGTGAGAGTTTGTGAATGTGGATGCAGGCGTCGGTATCCGTAAGTGTATGTGTGTGTGTGTGTGTGTGTATGTGCGCGTGCGAGTGAGATTGACAGTTGTTCACCGTGAGATCCTGCACTTTGGACCCTTTCCCCGTCCCGACCACAGTGCTATTTTCCTTTTTCTCTCCTCTTTTTCAGAGTTTCTTGTGTTCTCGTGTCCTTGTGATACCACGATGCCGCGGGTGCTATTCTGATAGGAGGGGACGGTGGAAATGTGGGAAAAGACCACGCAGAGATGTACGTGTAACGTTGGGCTAGATCCGGCAAGGACTTCATAAAGGGGTCCATCTTGTCCCCTCTCCACAGTGCCCGCTCTGCAATAAGAGAGGCCTGCAGGAGAGAAGCCTCAGGGGGCGAAGAGTGAAGGACCCCGTCCCCTCGCCGACGATTGGATATCCGTATCGCCTCCCCTCTCCTCCCCATCTCACCACTTGTGAGATCAGGTACCTTTTGGCGATCGAGGCGCGCGTCAGTGAGGTGATTTACTGGAAGTGGTGTGCTGGCTGGACCATCGATGGCTGGCTGGGCGGGATGGATGGATGGATGACCTGTGTGGGATCTGCCGGCTTCCCTTTCCGCTGGGATCCGGACGTGACATGTCAAAAAGTCTCACGGCTCTTCTCGTTCGCTCACCTATGCTCCTGCTTCTCTTTGCTTCTTCTCTTTCTTTACGTACCCGTACCTACATCTGAGAACTGAGAAACGTCCCCTCGTGGCTTCTGGGTGGCTTGAGGGGGTAACGGGGGGCCGGGAGGATAGACGGAACATTCCATTTCAGGGTGAGATGGTGGTGGTGGTGTGTTCGGTCTTCGTTCATCAGTACCTACATGCTACACGGGAAAAGTAGCAGAAACAGAGCTATTACACTGCTACGAGTGTCTCGTAAAGAAAGGGGCGCTGATTCCGAGGCAAGGAGGTACTTGAGTAGGGGGGTATAGCAAGCCTTGTCTTGTCTTAGTGAGTTGTCTGTCTCGGACGTCGAATGCCGCGCCCGCTGGGAGGCGTGGGATGTGTGGTTTTACTGTTTTGTGTGCCGAGCCTTGAGAGACAAATGGGATAGGAGGCGTGGGTTTCGGTTCGAAGAGAAGGCTGGGCAGTGATGGCTTTTGCGATCTGGTATTTTGGATTACGACATGATCAGATCGAGCAAGTGTCATTCTCAAGGGAAGATTCGCCATGTTCTGTATGCTTGTGTCCACGGTCTCATTGCTTTGGGGGGAGATCAGACAGGCTTTCCTGGTGTCGAACCCCCTCACCGGCCTTCTGCACATTCGAAAAGCACAACATTCTGTCACACAGAGCGATATCAGCGGCGTATGGGACGCCACGTGTGAGACTTTGAATCGTGGATCGGTGTCTTCTTGTTGGCAGCGGCTCAGTGATCTTCAACGTTGCTCGTAGAACCGGCCTCGAAGCGATGGCACATTCCTCTAGGTCTTTTCATTCAGTAAAGCCTTTGCTCTGGCGTGTGAATAAGCTCTGGCAAAGTCTTGAGCTTGTGCTTGGTAGCCTTTGATGACAATCTAATCATGAAGCAGGAAATCGATGTCTGTCTTGCAGCCCCTATTCCAGTGACTTGGGTCTATGTCTGAGCTTTTGATAATCCGTCAGAATTCAACACTGATGAGTCTCTTGTGCCAATCTCATTGCTTGACCATGGCTTTCTTCGATTTCTAATGAGGTTTCTGATATTCGTTTGTATGAGCTTTCATTAATCAGGTAGCTACAGTGATGAGAGTTCATCGTGAAAATAACCATCTATCAAGTCTTGCATAGGTATTCTGAGTAAAGCTGGTGCGAGTATAGGCATAAACTGATCCAGGACGACGGAGTGTCTGTCAACACAATATTCGAGACTTCCGAGCTTAAGACGTTCGTGTACTATGTCGTCTTTGTTCTCTAGTCTTTATGTCTTTCAATGATTTGATGGTATCGCTCCATTGGATCGGATGATTCAACGGATCAAGAGCGGCTGTTTTCAGAGAGATATGAGGGATGGGATACAATGAAACAAAACGAAACGTGAAACGAGGATGCAACACATATTGAATGGCCATCAACCATTTAATGCAATGCTGACGATGAAGAGTAACGAAGAGTAATCCAAGTCTACACAATAATTTTCTTGTTGATGCGACTTTAATCATGTTACATCGATTCACAACTGTGGTCTAATTTATAAAACTAGATGTAGGAGATTGCAAGTCCCCAGAGTTGAGCACTCAAGAAGGGCCACATAACGAAGCTTGCCCCGATGTGTTGTATAAGCCAGAGCAACTCTCGCAATCTCCTGAAAGTGATTTTGGGTTATCTTGATATGTAGGTTGATCTCAGTGTTGCTTATTGCTGGTGGCAATGTAATGGCCTCCGTACAGGCGTGGTTGAGTGAGGCATCGAATAGCAAACTTGAGGACATAGACGTTTGCCACGTCCAAGACTACCAAAGACACAGAAGCAGCCGTTTCAATAAGATCTTTCCCATTTTGTAATCTAAAGTCATGCAAACCAGATGGCGTCCCTGATATTGCAAGTGCGATCTTACTTGGCCGTTGAAACTTCACTCTCGCCAACAGGAACATATTTGTTCTCGAATGGTATCTCTTGTTCCGACACTATAATTACAAGCCTACGCCGCCCATTGTGGCAAGTAGTATTTGACGTTCTCGTACACGAGGAAAGTGACCCATGTAGCCGGCATCACCCTCACGACTCCCGGCATAAGGCCTCTGTAGAAACCCCTGACGCCTTCTTCCTGCCAAATCCTCTTCACGACACCCCGGATACCCCGTCCGAACCTCTCATCGGCGTCGTAGTTCTGTAGTCGACTCCGGAGTACCTGGTAGGGATACGTCACAGCCCCAGCGACCAGCTTCGAGACACTCGAGATGACCACCGTCGCCTCGTTGCTCACCCGCCCTCCATTATCGCCCTTCCGCTGCCTTCCGGCGAAATACATCTTCTTGGCGGGCTCATACACGGCAAACTGTACTGCGCCGTGCGAAACCCCGATCAGACTGACGCCGAGGCCACGATAGAAGCCCCGCAGGCCCTCGGAGCGATACAGCAGCCGCGCGCCAGTCCACATGTTGGCGTAGGCGCCCGCAGCGGTGCGGTCGGACGAGAGCATGCGCGTCTTGAGGACCCAGACCGGGTTCGTCAGGACCTGTGTCAGCGCTCCGGCGAGCGCGGACGACACGAAGAAGTCCTGGGTGGTGAGGTACTCCTTGGTCAGGTTGCGGGCGTTGGCACCGGAACCGCTCGTCAGCGGCATGTAGCCGGCTCTCCAGAGCGCGATGGCGCGCTCGACGCGCGACTTGAAGAAGAAGAAGGCAGACCAGCTTGAGGCGTTGCCGATGAGGTTCGGCGTCAAGCCGCGGTAGAGGGAGGCGATGGGATGCGGGTTCTGTGTGAGCGTGCGGATGAGAGACATGGTTGTCAGCGATACTGACGGGTTGGCCGCGCTCCGGTGAACTAAGCTTCCTTGTCAGCGACTGCTTCTGGGTGATTTTAAGATATAGACAATGCATTGCTTCACTCACTTTGCATTCGCGTCTTCACGATATCAAGCGGGTGAACTACCAAAGTCGCAACCGAGCCGGCCGAGAGACCGGCGACGGACTCGACCAGAGCGGGTGAGATGCCCGCATTTTTGCTTTCTGACATAGAAGTGAGAGGGACCTCTGTCACATTGCTCTATGTAGAAAATGTGACTGCGATCTCACGCATCCAGTTGCAGAGACCTCGGCCAAGCTCAAATGTCGGAAGCTGTGTAAAAGGAGCTTGGTGAAGCGTTGGTGTGGCTTGACTGTAGCTTACCATAAAAAATGCGCCTGAATGATTATTCATACGTCATGTTAGCTCATTAAATTGCGGCTCCGCTGTGACTTTTTCAAAGCTTCAGCCACACTTAACCTCCTTTCGCAGGCTGTGACCAGACGTAAGGTAGGCAGGATATCGACAGCTCCCAATGCCCATAGATGAAATTGTTTTAATGCGTTCATTCTATCAGTCTTTAAGATCATGGAAAGACCGCAATAATTCTGAAGCCCACTTGCAAAGCTCGTCGATTTCCGCCTGAGCCTTCAGCTATGTATTCTGTCTTTTCTGCTCACAGGCACTAGCCATTCGCGTTTGGGGGGGATGTTTTCTTGGTTTACCAGAAGCTGCATCAGATGCGATGTGTCAGAACAAGAAAAAAATGCGCCAGTCACCCGTCGCGAGCTCCGAATATTCATTAACAGCCCGCCGACTGCACCTAATCCCCCCCAACATTGATGTCCGCGCTGCCGGACCATTCGCAGTTGCGTACAATAGAGAAGAGTATGTCGTCAGAGAGGTTTCATTTGATTACATATGTAGTTGTACAATGCGCCGGAGCCGCGGCCTGCATTTTCCTCATCACCATTGCCAGTGATCCGGTGTGTCATCCCCCAAATGTTGGCTAGCATCCAAAATATCTCAAGCCTAATATTGTACAAAAAGTCGATGTTGAGACACGCGTCGTCTAAGAGAGGGGAGAAATAAGGCTGGGGAAGGATTAGTTACGAAGTTCCGTGATATTCGCGCGTCATGGAGTAATGCCTACCGGATGAAGGCGGGACGAGGCTCGCTGCGGGTGTAGCCTGCAAAGAAAAGTTAGTTCCGCTGTTCGAGGCGTAGTTCGAATTGAAGCATCAATCATTCGTACCGAGGTAGAGAACGAGAGGGAGGTAGCCGCTGCGAATAGGTCAGTCACTGGGTTCGTTGCTCGTCAAATACAGGAGATTACATACTAGTGAATGGCAATACGGGAGATCTCAATGATCTTGCCAATGCGCTCCTGTAATATGCAATGGTTAGATCCAACTCCATGCGACGTGATCTAGCTGTCGTTGCGTTGTCGCACCTTGGACTCTTCGGAGAGGGCGAACATCTTGACGGTTGAAATGTGACGTTGACGGGATTGGATACGTTGAATCAATTCGGGTTCGCGTGATGGCGGTCTTCGTCGTCGCTGCGTGTTCGTGGATGTATCGTCGTCGCTGCGTCAGGGAGCTGGTGGTAGATGCGCTGGGAGCTGTTCCTGAACTTTTCTTCGTCTGCCGGAAAAACGCATCGAGTGGAGCCGCCGGAACAACCGCGCTGGGAGGCTTATCGACCTTGCGCTGCACGATAAGGTACGTACCGACATAGCTCAACCGCGACTAAACGTCGAGGCCAAAATTTCCCGGTCTCTATGGTAGAAGGTGACCAACGACTTTTCGCCTCACGGATTCTGACGATCCAATCTACCTTACGAGTATCTTCTATAGATCGTACGGAGAGCACCGAGAGTGCTAGAAATTCAAAATGGCACAAAACAGGCATTGGTAAGCTTCAATATGACCCCAAGTAAGCGTTAAAGGACGTTGTAACTAACCTACGACGCGCGACATAGGGAACAAGACAAAGATGCGACCATCTACATCGGAAACATTGACGAGCGCGCGACCCCGGCGATGGTGTACGAAGTCATGCTCCAGATGGGCCCCATCCACAACATCCACATGCCTCGCGACCGCGTCACCCAGAACCACCAAGGCTTCGGCTTCGTCGAGTTCAGGACGCCGGGCGACGCAGAGTACGCCGCCAACGTCATGAACGGCATCAAGCTCTACGGCAAGTCCCTGCGCGTCAACAAGGCCAGCGCGGACAAGCAGAAGCAGGCAGAGGTCGGCGCGGAGCTGTTCGTGGGCAACCTGGACAGCATGGTGGACGAGAAGATCCTCTACGACACCTTTTCGCGCTTCGGCCCGCTCGTCAACCTGCCCAAGGTCGCGCGGGAAGACAGCGGCAACTCAAAGGGCTTCGGATTCATCTCCTACGCCGACTTTGAGAGCGCCGACGCGGCCATTGCCAACTTGCATATGCAGTACATTCTCAGCAAGGAGGTCTCGGTCCAGTATGCGTTCAAGAAGGACGGCAAGGGCGAGCGCCACGGTGACGCTGCTGAGCGTGAGCTCGCCGCGCAGGCTAAGAAGAGAAATATCGTCCCAGAGATTCAGGCCGTGCCACCCGCTTTCCTCAACGGCCCGCCCCCGGCCGCTGCGCCGACTGCCCCAGCTGGATTCGACCCCGCAAACGGCCTGCCGGTCCAGGTCCCGAACCCAGGAGCCCCAGCCGGATTCGCGCCTCCGCCGCGGGGACCAGCGCAATACAATGCCGTACCACCACCGCAAGGTATGGGCGGGCCGGGCATGGGTCGCGGCGCCGTACTCCCTCCCGCGCCGTCTGGTCTGCCGGCACGGCCGCCACAGTCGCAGGGCGGCTACACGAACCCGGCCGACTTCCACCCGGGTGCCCCGGGTTTCCGCCCGCCAAGCGGACCTCCCGCACCGCAAGGCTTCGCTGCGCCCCCTCCCAACTTCCCCATGCCTCCTCCGGGAGCTTCTGGGACACCGCCCGCGCCGCCAGGCTTCATGCCTCCTCCGGGCTTCAACCCCCCTGGATTCCCCCGCCGGTGAAGAGGCATGAACTTAAACAGGAGACCGCCCTTCGTTGGCGGTGGTGTAAAACTACAAAAAGGAGAAAAAAGCGCTGCCTTGGTGCCGCTGATTCCCGAGGCTTCATCGGTTTCGAAATAATAGCCGGGCGTTTAGGATAGGGGCCAGCGAGAAGCTCGTCCAGAGCAGGTTGAATCAGATTGCAATGGTCTGTCGTCACTTTGATCAGACGGAGAGTAGCCATTGCTGACATTATCCAGATTGTCACTTTAGTGATATGGCAGCTGCTATAGGCCCGGGCAAGATCGCAGGCAGATGCCTCGTAGACATCATGACCCAAGAACCGGCGGCCACGGTGAAGATTATGATGATCGTTACTCGTAGCTTAATGAAGAAATGACGATTATATTATTATCAACTTTGACTGGTGGTCCGTGGACTCCAGAGGACGCATAGACGAATCCTCTGTGTGCCTTTGTAACGACTGGTCCATTTCAATATTGACGAGCTTTTTTGATGCGTCGCAACCCAAGCTAATACGCCTTTCAAGAGGCCCGCACATCCAAGGCAAAATATGTAGCACTGTATCGGCATCCAGACATATGTAAATGTAGACGTTCCACTTTTCTTTTTGGAAAATGCTGAGAAGAATGGCTATATCATTCCAGATCCGCTCTCGCCCTTTTTGTACATAAATTACAAGTGGTAGGTACACAGTTATCATACATCTCCTAGTCCAAGGTATCCCTTTTTATGAGTCTCGCGGCTTGTCCTCTTGCAGCTCCTCCTTTTTTGGCTCGCTCTCTTGCGGCTCATTATTCTTCACTTCGTCCTCCTTCAGCTGGTTTTCCTTCAGCTCGGCTTCATTCAAAGTGTCCTCCTGGAAGATATCTTCCTTCAAGGTCTCCTCGTCCAAATCGTCCTCTCGCAGCTCGTCTGTCGTTCCATCCCAAGATACCGTCTTCCACTGGGCCCTGTGCCCGAAAGCCTCATCGTAAGTTACGGGATCATCCATGCCGAATACATGGACTGGGTGTTCCTTGGCCGTCTCTTCCATTTTCGCGCGGAATTTCCTGCCCCTCTTGCTCATCTGCTCCAGCTTGCCAGAAAACATCTGGTACCACGGGTCAGGCCCTTTCGCATCCTTGTCGTTTGAAAGCGCCTTCTTGCGTCGCACCTGAAGTGCTTTATACAGATGCTCGGCGCGACCCGCAGGAAGTTCTTCAATGGAATACTCCACGGTCCACCCCGAAACGCCAGCCTTGGGGTCGGGCCGGGGGGCGTATTCTCCATTGACCCTGTTCCGCACAGTCAAGACCATTCCAAGAAGCTCATCGTCAACGATATCAAGCTCAGGGGTCTCGTCTACTTGGGCTTCTTTGCCCTCAGCATCCTTGGGAGACTCGGTCGAGGCTGCCGCCTGGCCGATACTGGGGTTAAGATCCTCAAACATTTCAGTCGTTGCTTCCTCCATGTCTGAAGCTTGAGGGTTCGTCTTGATTTCCAACTGCTTCGACTCGGCAACCAGCTTAGAGAGAATACGCTCGAACGTTCGGAGTTTGGAGACGTCGGAAGTAGCGTCGTCTTCAGGAATGTCGGTTTCTTCCACGTCGAGATTCTCGTCGACATTTGAAGCAACGCGGAGAATCAACTCCTTCAGACCAAGATTCCGAGAGCTGCGTACCTCTCTCTCTAGTGATGACTCCTTGTCTGTCTCTTGAACCGACTCAGCTCCCTCGCTAGCGGCTGGCACAGCTTCTTGCGCTGTGCTCGATTCAAAAGCTTGAGTAGCATCGGCCGATGGGGCTTCAATATCACTCGCAGACATCGCATCTGTCTGGTCGTCTTTTCCATCAATATCCTGTGCCTCGCTGGCTTGGTTACGAGTAAGGGCCTCCAAAAGGCCGTCGACATACCAGCGAGCTTCTTCAGGTGTTCTCGCCTTCAGCAATGCACTTTGCTCCAGTGCGTCGTGGATTGCCTCCCGTACATGGCCAATGCCGAGGGCATCGTCCTCCACTGCCTCATTGACCTTCTCTTGCATTTCTTCCCAGAATGCTTGCGTCTGCCATACTTGGCTATTAGACTCTGAACTGGACACATCGACGCTGACAGCTTCCTCGTCTTCTTCTTGGCCAACTGATCGTTCGACTTCTGAGTCCTGCATCTCGGGTTCCGATGACTCCTCTGAGGCCATACCAAGGATCTGCTCCTCGAACTCTCTGACAGCAGCTTGGTTGCGCGTTTGTACCTTGTCGATCTCTTCCTTTGTAACAGGTTTTGCGAAAACGTACATGAAGGGAGGGTCGGTAGGTCGTGTTTCCACGTGAAGTCGGATAGATCGGCCAGGGAATCGTTCTGTCGCGCGATCGAGGACCTTGTTCAGAAGGTGAAGGCTGAGCTTGAATTCTTGGTCGCCGAGATTTCGGTAAAAGGTTCCGTGAATGGCTTGGTCCATCTCGTTGATGGGAATATACTGGAAACCGAAGATGCGTTGTGTGTTATGGAAGGCGACGAAGATTCCATCCATACGGCCCATTCGCACTTGCAAGGAATACTTGAGGAATGCAGATCTGATCATGTCGAAGTATTCGCGCTCGAAAGACTCCCACTGGCCATAACGGCGGCGGATCTCATAGCCAAGTCCTTTGTGGAATTGCTGAGCGTCCATGCGGATTGAGACTACAGCTCTCGTCTTCAGATCGAACATTCCAGATCCTGGTAACCGTGGATCATACGCATCCAGTTGAGAACGCATAAGGAAATCGCCCATGGTAGTGTAATGGAAGGCTTCTGCAGCATTGCGCTCCTCCTCGGTGATCTGATCGGAATTGGCACGGCGATACTTTTCGAACTCTTCTCGCGGCAGCGTCAACTGCTTCTCCATTGACTTTCCGAGCATACTCAGAATACTGGCAGAGTCGTACTCCTTGTCTGCATCTATTGCGTACACACCTTCATTGAAATGGAGGAAGGAGGCAGCTGGCGCACGAGAGATGGCAGTGAAACTCGAATACTCGGGCGTGAATTGCCGACTCATGTTGTCAGGGTTGATAGGCCGCCACGCAGAAAGCAAGAAGTGGAAATGGGACAGCGTTTGAGTCATGCTTGATGTTGAGCCGGTGTACTTCCTGCCCAGCTTGGCGGCAAGCGAGATCAAGGTGTTATCCTTTGAAGAGGTGACATACTTCTGGAGCGCATTGAAGTCAAACTCGCTGATCGGCATGATATCGCCGAGGTAAGGATCAAAGTTGAAGACTCGCGAGCGGGGATCCTGCATATGGTATACTCCAGGGTTGAACAAGACTCTGTCCAGGCCGTAAGCGAGTTTTGGCACGTCGGGAACGTCTGGTATTTCGACGGGCACTAAGCGAAGACTCTCCGCGTGCACTCTCTTCACATTGACAAGAGGCTTTTCGGATTTCTTGGTCCTCTTGGGCTTGGTTGGGGGTGCTTCGCTGTCGTTCTTCGCTGTTTCATTCGCAGCTGTTGCGTCGGTAGCTGTGTCGGTGGCAGAACGAGCTGCGCCAAGAGCTGATGCACCAGCGGCCGCTGCCGCCAAAACCAGTGGAGCCTTGTCAACGCCAGTGAGGCGATTCTCAAGTGACGTCCACGAGGCTTTCACTGGATCTTGAGGTATCGGCTTTCGTTCCTCACCAAGCAGAACCTTTCGCACCTTTACCCGCATCTCATCCTTTCTGGCCTTGCCACGCGGTAGGGACTGAGATTGAGCTTGCCGAGATTGGCCTTTGGGCCTAGAAGCGTCACCTGATGTGGTGCCCGACGATTTCGTGGCACTTGGCCTCTTTGCGAGGTGGTCGAGGGGTATTGACTGCGAGCGCAAGACGCTCTTCAGAACGTCCAGAGTGCCAGAAATCATCTTGAGCTTCCCACCCAACTTATCGCTCTGTTTCGCCACGAATGCGTCCAGTTCCCCCTTCTTCCCAGAACCTGCTTTGGCTCCTTCGGCGGTCGCTTCCGTGGTGCCTTGTTTGATATTCGAAAGCCTACTATTGATGGAGGCGTAGCTTTGCTCAAGCTTCTTCAGAGACTCAAAAACCTGTTTTATAACCTCGGGTGCTGGTTGGGCGTCGACCGGCTTCTCGCTATCGGTGGGCTTTCCTTGTTTGGCTGATGTCTTCCTGCTTGACGGTGCCCCGGCTTTCGATTGAGCTTTAGGGGAAGTTTTCTTAGGTGGTGGCTTCATTGACTTTGTCGTCCGTCCGCCCCTGGGTTTCGCATCGCTCCGAGGTTCCGTATTGCTCTTAGATTTCTCTTTGCTCCTGGGTTCCAAGCCGCTCTTAGCCTTGACCTGGCTATCTTTCATAGTATTGACCTCGGCATCGGGTATTGCATCGTTGCTATGTTCTGCATCGTCTTTTGGGCCTGACGTTGCTGTCGATTTCTTGTTCGGGCTACTCACCCTATAGCCTCGGTCGCCAACCAGGGCGGTGGTCTGGAAGAAAGAGGGTCGCGTCCGACATGGTGCTGAAAGGCAAGGCCGGCAGGACGCACAAACGTAGGAGTTTCCCAGCCTTTCAAGGCGCAGGGTGTTTGCACGAAGCATTGGAGAAAAAGGCACGATTTGTAGCCTTGGACGTTGACGGGGAGTTTGAAGTGGGCTAGAAAGCTGCTGGTCAATTTTTTTTCTATTAGGTAGAACGGAACGCGGACGGGACGCGCCACAGTTTAATCAATTGCGACCAGGGTCCAAAGGAATCTTGGTCCGTGCATGCGCAGATCGCAAGCCTGTAAGCAAAACCCTGGCCCCCTGTCTACCTTAACTCCATTCTTGCCTTCCTACCTCGGGCAGTTAAGGAGGCAGTAAAAACACTATCTTGGTCGCTCAAGAACCAAGCAGTGTCCTCTTACCTAGCTTCTTTTGCCATACGCATATGTTGACGAGCTTGATGTAGATCACGAGAGGAATCGAGGTAGTAGTTGCTGATAGGCTGAAGCCATATAGCCCATCAACTTTCTAAAGAATAAGGACCTTACGGCGTGTGTAGCAACAATTCCGTCATCTCCCAGTCAATTCCGCCGCATCATCTGGCAGCGATACAAATTGGGGGGTATTATGCTTTCCCAAACAATCAGCTCATGCCAGGCCAAATACCGCACCAGACGCCAGTCCATAATGCCGTGAAAACATGATCCACGCTGAACCCGAACCCACTACTCCTTCCCAGTGAATGCGTGAGACGCATAGTCCGTGGCTGTCTGCCGCGCTGCTTCGGCGTCTGCAAAGAGTGCTTGGACTTCGAAAGAATCAGCCAGCATACCGTCCGCCACACTCATCCAAAGCAAGTTTCCGCTCCGCTTCGCCTGTGTCGAAGCTGCCCTTGCGCTTTTAAGAGCCTGTTCGCCCACCACATTATCGAACAGTCTGGACCGCATAATGCTGAGGGCTATCGCCAGACAATGCGTGTTACCTGTCACCCGAGACCCATTCAACGAGTTCGTTATACTCGTTTTGATTTGGTGCATAGATGGCGGGGGCATCGTCTGAGCCGTTGCCTGTACGAGATTGAAGGCGGTGCGGATGTCTGGATCTTGGTGTTCCGTACACATCGGCCGCAACTGGTCCAATAGATCAGTAGATGTCATCTCGTCGCGGTAAGATGAATCCTGAAGGATCCAGATACGGTTCAGCGCAGCAAGTATGCACAGCTCCAGCTTAGCAGGCTTTCTGCCACCTGCACCCCCACGGCCTGCATCGATACTCAACCTCTCGTCTTCGAACAACAATAGAGCAGTCTCCAAATCACCGGTGCCTTGATGATAAACCCCGGAGAGGTATAGCGAGAATACGCTAAAGATTTCGTTCACAGCTGGCGTGATAGCCTGCTGCAGTTGTGCCACGCACTGTTCGACCTTGGGCCATTGACTGTGCGTTGCAAAGTACAGCCCTGTCAGAGCTTGCAAGTAACAAAAGATTTCGGTCCTCCATTTAGACTGCTCCATCGACTCGCGTAGGGATGCCGCAGGAACACTGGGGGCTATCTCCTTGTTCCCTTGTATTGCGTCAGCTTCATGCACATCTGGGAACACAAGCCACACTTACATTTTGCCAATACATCGAATCCCTCCTTCCAGAATTCGTGACTCCTCTTAGGATCCGAACCAGGGCGATACATGCCGGCTAAACCACTGAACGTATAGCTGTTGCCGGTTAATGAACATCTGACAAAGAGGGCGGAATTGTGTTGCACTTACGTCAATACTATAATCTCCAGCCTGTTCAGGAAAGTCATGACAATGTAGTCGTGTTGCCCGTTGGTTGGACCAGATCGGAGGATTGCAGAGGTATCATCGCTGAGGGTTGCCGAAGTTGCGTTGTGCTTCTTGACAGGGATCAAGATCTCAGGGTTTAGATCGGTCCATGTCTGGGATCCCAAGTTTGCATCAAGCTTTGCTTGAAGTGTTCTCAGTTTGTGAATCAAGATATCGGGCGTTTTCTGGTGCATGCTACACGCAAGGTCGAGCAACAGCGTCAAAACATCCAGCTGCGGAATCTGAACGGAGGGATCCAGTTGAAACTTGGTGGCCTGCGCCAGACAAGTTTGCACTCGTTCGATGGTGTCAGGGCGCATGTTCCTCAGCACCGACAAGCCTTCCAAGAGGGAGGCGAAGACAACCATCGCGTTGTCCCCTCGCTCGCCCGCTAAAACGGCAATAGCGCGCAAGTTGTCCAGCACTGCCGCATCGGGTGGACTACCCGCATGGACATGGAACGTGGCCTTCAACAGACGAAAGGCGTAAACCCAGTGTATGTGTTTGAACCTGGTACTTTTGTAAGCAACGAGCCAATATCAATCAAGGGAAGGTTACTACGACGCACGTGAGACAGTCCGCAATGTTCTTGTCAACGGCGATGAATGCTGCCTTCTGGTTCCTCTGAAAAAGTACCTTGAGCAGAAGATATTGCATACAGTACTTGAGATCGGCGTATCTATGCTGGAAGAGATGTTAATACAAGACTCGAGCGAGTGACGAGCTATTTCAACATACCTTGTCGCAGATGGTGATGCCCTTGCTCAAGGCTGTTTCTGCCTCTTGAAGATTCTCAGTCTCATCACACAATATAGACGCATATCTCAATCTTGCTTTCGCCTCTTGTCTCGGAGACAGACGATTGCTTTGGAATGCAGCCTCGAGACATGCTAGACCAGTTGTAATCAACTTTTGATACTCGCGTAGTTGCTCGTCTGACCCAGATACCGCAACTCTTTGTAGACCACGGCGCGCCTTCTCGAAACACTCTTCTGCCACATGAACAAGGATCGTCGTCGTGTCGTAAGACCTTGCTTTCGTCGATAAGGCGGGAGAGCCTCTGGAAGATATGGCCGGAGAGTTCATCGAGGATATCGCAGGTGACTTTCTCGCTATGCTAGGTGATCGTGCCGGCTGTACAATTGGCGAGTTTGTGAAGTGAGGCTCGGGACTCGGTTGAACTGGAGAAGGCTCTGCGAAAGTCTGGTTCAGGACTGGCACGGCCTGAGATTGACCCATGGGCGGCTGAGAGAACTGAGCATATTGCGGTACCGCCGGAAAGACTTGGGGGCTACGCTGTTGCTGTAGCTGCTGCAGCTGCTGCGGTGTTTGAGGCGGCGGTTGGGGCTGTTGCTGGAAGTGAGGTTGGAATTGCGGTTGATGTTGCGGCTGCTGCGGCTGCTGTGGCTGCTGCGTCGGCTGATACTCAGCGTAAATTGGCGGCGTCGGTGTCGGTGTCGGTACAGGCGCAAGCGCAGGAGAACGAGAGGCGTGTGTGGTTTGAACGAAGGGCGAATGAGGAGGCGCAAACTGGACGTTCATCGTATTCCCGTGAGGAAAGGGCTGCTGGAGTTGGTGATGGTGGGGGTATTGCGGCTGCTGCTGTTGTTGCTGCTGCGGGAAGGTGCCGCCATACGCAGGGAACTGCCCATATCCGTTCGCCTGCATATTCATCGGAGTAGGCGCAGGAAGGATAGGAGCCGGAGCTTGGGCAGGCGGTTGATGGTGGTAGCTGCCATGAATCGGTTGCGCTTGGCCGTGACTGCCGTATGCAGCGTTCGCGTAGTTTTGGTTCTGGCCATTCCCACTCCCGCCGCCATTGCCATTGCTATTGCCGTAGGGATCGTGGTAGGGTTGGGGGACGTGCTGCTGGCCATTGAAGGCCTGCCCCGAAGGCAAGGAGCCCCGGTATGTCATCTTTGGGACTGCATAGGGATCGCAGGCTTCGCTACATGGAATCTCGACGATCGCTTCGTTGAACTGGACTGACTTGTTGCGACGCGGTTGCTGTCCAATAGCCGCACCTGCAGGTCGCGAGGCTCCTCGAGGAACGACTGGTCGAGAAATGGCCCATGGTCCCTGCGTGCCTTACATAATTCCACGTGCCGTGGATCCCCTATGGGTCCGGTCAGGGTGAGAGATGCACAGACCATGGTGACTCCCTCTTGCCCGAAAAAGTTACACGTAAGGATGGGTGGATGGCTATCCGTACCTTAGGCGGATACTTCGTACTGAGATTCTGATGAGTGTGGCACTACGTGGCTGAACACAGTCTTAGCCTCTGGGTACGGTTACGAGTCGAGTCGGTCCTCCTTGTATTCTAATTGGCTGTCAACTTGTGCCTCGGCTCGATGCCGAATCCATCTTGCTTTCTTTACCGCTACGGATACCTTCATAGGTGATCCACGTCATTCGCCTGCTTTTATCAAGCTTGAAATCTGCTGTCGTGCAGACATACCACTGAATTCCGCTGCAGAACGGACACTTGGTGAACCCGGCGCCGATCTATCATGGTAGGCTGATCAGAGACCTCGGTCCTACACCCAATACAAGACAAATGGCCCGTTGGTTCGCCCCCTTGGACTTGAAGTTGAGACCCAAGGTCCGTAGCAAACATTGCGGATTTGTATACCTAGTACCTTAAATCGGAAGCTACCAGTCCTCGGGGCTCCACTGCCATGACTTATGGCTCTCCAACCATCCTCACATGAGAGTTCACTTTGACTTCTCAACATCCTCATCTGATCTTCAGTCTTTTCTAGAATCCCTAGCCTCTTCATAACGTCGTGCGATTGATTCTCTCGTTTAATTTTCACTCGACATTCTGTCATTGATTGCTGTGTTGTCTAGTGAAGGGACTCTTTCCCCTTTTGCTATCGCAAACTTTCTCTCAAGCCAAACTGTCTCGATCAACTGCTGTCCGAAGACTCCGAATCATGGACTGGCTAGGACACGCCAAAATCAACTTCACACACGCGCCTTCGCCTGTGGCTCTCAAGGAGAGGGATGGCGCCCAAACTGACCTCCTCAAAATTTGTGAAAAGGTCACGCCGCCATGCCACATGAACCCGCTCCTCTTCAACGGTCACCTGCAGACCATGTGGACTGCCACGAAGCAGCACGGCCCACCAGTGTACTATCGTCGCAAGGTCTTCCATGCCGACGACAAGGCCTTCGAAGGCACGTTTGCCGTCGACTTCGTAGCGCAGCCCTTCGAGGAGACCGACAGCACCTTGCCGCCGCGGACGGTGTACTTTGAGGACCAGGAGTTTGAGACTCTGGCATCGGACGACAACCGGCCCCAATTGGTCGTTCTCCACGGCCTCTCGGGTGGCTCTCACGAGATTTACCTGAGACATGCCATTGCGCCGCTGATCGACTCGGGAAATTGGGAGGTGTGCGTGGTGAACTCGAGAGGATGTGCCAACAGCAAATTCACGAGTGGTATCTTGTACAATGCTAGAGCAACATGGGACTTCCGTCAGGTCAGTAACTCATTCGCTGCTTATCACATACTTTGCAGGAGATCAACTGACAATCGGCCCAGACCATCAAGTGGTTGAGAAAGAAGTTCCCCAACCGCCCTCTGTTCGGTTTGGGCTTCTCACTCGGCGCCAACATGTTGACAAACGTAGGTTTATAGTTTCTCGTCATAACCTTGTCACGTCGACTAACTCTTCTACGTCAGTACTGTGGCGAGGAGGGCGTCGACTGCCAGTTGACGGCCGCTATCGCGTGCTCCAACCCCTTCAACCTTGAAGTCTCCAACAAGGCATTGAAGCGCACTTTCCTTGGTAGAGAGGTCTACCAACGAGTTATGGGAAGTAAGTTGTTCTCATCACGCAACATGCGAGTCTGGTCCTCAGTACTTACACGCCCACTTAGCTAGCATGAAGCAACTGATCAATGGACACAAGGAGGAGGTGCAGAAGCACACCAATCTCGACCTTGAACGTCTTCAGAACGTAACGTACCTGTGGGAATTTGACAGAGAAGTCCAGTGAGTTTCCATGTGCCACCGATCTCGCAAACGATTCCTCACAAAAGCAGATGCGTCAGCTGGGGCTACCCCACAGAGAGTGCCTACTACCGCGATGCGTCTTCTTGCGACGCGGTCTTGGCCATCCGGATCCCCTTCCTCGCCCTGCATGCTACCGATGATCCCGTAAGCGACCGCTCTAACCCTGTTCACCAAATTTAAGGCAAGCTGACCAAACTTTACAGATTGCAGTAGAAGAAGCCATCCCTTACGAGGAATTCAGCAAGAACCCGTACACGGTTTTGTGCACCACGTCCTTGGGCGGCCACCTTTGCTGGTTTGAGCCCGGAGGCGGAAGATGGCACGCCAAGCCGGTACGACCTATCATTACGAGAATTTCGAGAAATTATGAACTGACGAGACCAGGTCTCAAACTTCTTCAACCACATGGCGTTCAACGTGGACCACACCCAGCTGCCTCCGAAGACCAACGGACTTCCACCTAGGAATGGCAAGTCAGAGTTCCACTTCACCCCTGCGAGACACAGAATGGAGATCAAGGCAGCCGCAGAATAGTGCGGGACATAAAAGATATGTGGACAGAATTTGTATCGGTATAGACTTAGATGGCATAGATAGAAAAAGTACACCTGCTTTTCATTGACATTCGCAGTAGCGGAAAAAGCTATGAAACAGGATAGTATTCGGGCAGGTATTTGCAACGGTAAGATATGTGTTTCATATCTTGCCAACACCTGACTGACCGCTGTCCTATGGTGGTGCATTAAGCTCTCGCGCAAGGTCAAGCCCTCGCCGTGGTATCTGCTCTGAACGCCGTCGACACAACAGAGGGATAAAATAAACAGACGAATAAGAAGACGTTTCCCCCTCCCAACTTTTTACCAACCCAATATGTTTTCTTTTTTGGCACTCCCGAACGCCGCCCAAGATGCAAAGACATGCTGCTTAAGTGTTCCCAAAAACCCCCCCATCTTCTTCACTCACGCGAAGGAGACGCTCTTCTTCTTCGCCTTGGGCTTGGCGGCCTTTGACCCTGCGGTCGCGTACTGGCTGATCTTGTCCTCGTCCTCGGCGCGGGGGTTGCGCTTCCTCTTCTTGCGCAGCGAGTCCTTGGTCTCCTCCAGCCTGTTCTTCTTCTCCTCTTCCTTCTTCTCGGCCTCTACCCGGCGGGCCTCGCGGATCTCCTCCATTTGTCTCGCCTTCATCATCTTGGACTCGATCTGGCCCTCCTTCTCGGCCTGGACCATGGCGAGGATGGTGTTCATGCTCTCCTGTTCGGGCAAGATTAGTTATCGAAATAGTCTGCAAGAAACAGAAGCGCTGGGGAGCCGTACCCTGTCATCGACAAAGACCTTGCCCTTCTTCTTGCCCTTGGGCTTCTCCACGCCAACCGGCGTGATCTTGTTCAGCTTGGGGATGCCGAGCTCCTCCTCCGTGTAGATCTTCTTCTTGCGCTTCTTCAGCAGGGCTTCGAGGTTCGTCTTGCCGCCGGCCTTGAGGGGCTTGGTGCCCTTGGGCGTGTCTCTGGATTTCCTGACGATGCCATCAGGAACGGGCCTCTTGTCTGCGGCCTTGCTGTTCTTGATGCCGGAGCCGTTGGCGGCGTGCTTGTTCTTAATCGTTCTCGTCTTGTTGGGCGCCATTTCTGCGAAGTCGGTGACGCGAAGTGTCTTCTTGTTGCGGGTTGTGGCGGGTTTGGATTATACAATTGGAGCGTGTCGCGACTCGGCTAGGTGGTTGGAGGGACCAAAGGTGCGACTTTCTTAGAATTTTTTTTCTATGCTCGGGAGGCGATAAGCTCACCGAGGCGGATGCGATAAGCTTGAGTGGGCCCGCTCCCCGCCATTCGACCTCACTCGCTGCAGGGGTCTGAATTCCGAGCCGAGACCCTTCCAATAGGTAAGTCTCGACGAACTTGCAACAAAAGTACCAGGCAGTATAGAATAATCAGTTTTACTTCGACTTCTCAGGAGACAATTGGATTTCATTGCAGGGCGATATATGAGTCGACAATGTCAAAAGTGCAAAGCGACCCAAGGTATGACTCGGTCGAGTTGAACATGAGCTGCAGCGTCAGAACAAGCTGCCAGGATCGGGACTGGTCTCAATGCGCCTTTTGCAGCGCAGCACTGTGCAATCCCTGTCGAAAAAAAATGGGTGACTGCCGTTATCGCACACCTTACGTCGTCTAAATCTCTCTTCTCACCTCTACTTCCCTAGTGACTAACATTCTCTCACAAGGAAACTCACACAACTCCAGCATCACAGCAAGCCGTACGTGAGCCAATTGGCTCTCGAGCTTCCTCTCTTCTCCAGCTTCTTTTCGTCACAGCATTGGGCTGTCGCCAATTGTCAGAATGGCGCAACCCGTCAAGAGGTTTCCCGGCCACCTGGCTCAGTTCGTGAGGTGCTACTCGGTCTCCGCCGAGAGCATTCCGGCCGCCAAGAAGAAGTACGTCCCGACGGAGGGCACCTATCCCAAGGGCTTCCAGGCCTCTGGCATTCTCGTCGGCGTGAAGCCGGGGAACAAGACAAAGCCCGATCTCGCTCTTCTCAGCTCAGACCGGCCCTGTGCCGCCGCCGCCGTCTTCACCAAGAACAAGTTCCAGGCGGCGCCCGTCACCTTCAGCAGGGATTTACTCAAGAAGAAGGCCAACCGCGGCATCCGCAGCGTTCTCATCAACTCGGGATGCGCCAATGCCGTGACCGGAAAGGGAGGTCTCGAGGATGCTTCTCTGATGGCCAGCGCCGCCGACAAGGTTGTCGGAGGAGAGGGCGATGCGTCATCCACCATCGTCATGAGCACAGGAGTCATTGGACAGAGGCTACCCATTGCCAAGATTGTCGATAACGTCCCAGCTGCCCAGGGAGCTCTGGGCTCCTCTCATAAGCACTGGCTGAGCTTTGCTACCGCCATCTGCACGACCGATACGTTCCCGAAACTCATGTCAAAGACCTTCACCCTGCCCTCGTCACCAAACGTCGAATACCGCATTGCCGGAACCACCAAGGGCGCCGGTATGATTCACCCCAATATGGCCACCCTTCTCGGAGTTGTTGCCACGGACGCGCCCATCTCGCCCGCTGTCATGCCTTCCGTCCTTAAGCACGCCGTCGACCGCTCGTTCAACAGCATCACCATTGACGGAGACACTTCGACCAACGACACTCTCGCTCTGCTCGCCAACGGTGCTGCCGGCGGCAAGGAAATCTCCTCCGTGGACTCGCCCGACTACGCCGCCTTCCAGCAGGTCCTGACCGACTTCTCCATCGACCTGGCCAAGCTCATCGTTCGCGACGGCGAGGGCGCCACTAAGTTTGTCACCATCCGCGTCGTCGAGTCCGCCAGCGAGGAGGCCGCGCGCAAGATTGCCAGCACCATTGCCAGGTCGCCTCTCGTCAAGACTGCGCTGTACGGACGGGACGCCAACTGGGGCCGCATCCTGTGCGCGACCGGTTACTCGCTCGTGTCGGAGCCCGGCCAGGCCGTCAACGACGTCCCCGAGGTCACGCCCGAGAAGACCAACGTCTCGTTCGTTCCCACTGATGGCACGCCTGAGCTGAAGCTCTTGGTCAACGGCGAGCCGGAGATGGTCGACGAGGCCAGGGCCTCGGAGATTTTGGAGCTGGAGGATTTGGAGATCTTGGTGAGGCTGGGAACTGGCGACAAGGAGGCAACATACTGGACTTGTGATTACAGTCACGAGTACATTACCATCAACGGTGACTACCGCACATAAAAGGGGCGTGGTAAATCAACGGATTGGGGGAATAAAAAAGCCTAGATTTTAGGTAGAGAGAGCTTGAAGCATTGTCATATTAGAAGAGCGTCTATAGGGTAGGTACTTGGCCATTGTTTGTCAAGGAAATAGACCTAGCCAGCCAATTGAATAATTACTATATCGACTAATTCGTGTCGTCGACGGCATCGAAATGTTGTAAGCGCAAGGGATTCGGAATTGCGTCCCTACGAAAAGAGTGAGCTAAGGCCCCGGAAAAGTATCCCGCCGGCCTGAAGGCCGCGCCGAGGCATCGGGGTTGGGTGCGGGCACTGCTATTGGAGGCCGGCACGACTGGCGCTCCCCCTCAACGGTGACACGCCGAAGTGGCACCACCGCATTATCCTTACGGGGTATCCGTACTTTTTTTTTCTTTAGTTTTGTGAGGATTAATGAGCGCTGGGGATCAGGTCTAATCAGGAGGAAATGTCACTGAGCACTAACAGTGAGTCCTGAAGCTACCTTAGTAATTGATCGTTGGCCAGGGTGATCCCAAGACAGGTATCTGATCTTCCGATAGAACCGGAATCTGCCTCTATCGCCTTAGAAATGAAGTCCGTTTCGAACCCACCTCAACCCACCTTATGGACAATTTGGCAATAAGCTATCCATGTGATCTAGGTAAATAGGTAATCTTTTTAGCCCTCTTAGTAGATATGGCTAGTCAATCCAAAGGATGAGCCCAGCTATACGGCAGAAACCCACCGCTACAAATCTGGGGAGGGGCCTGGGGCCATTCTCAGACGCGGAGGGCGGAGGCGGAGGTTCAAAGGCGGCTACCCCAGGATCCCCACCTTTTGGGGGACCCTACTCCCTAGGCAGCTCCAGACTCAACCTCGGCTTGCCGGCTCGTCCCATCAGTCGTCTACCGTACGATGAGACTAAACACTCCTTGTTCAAAAAGGGAGTAGAGATCCATGCCCAATTGACGTTGTTCCCCGTTTCCTGCATCTCTGTACTCTTCCATATCTTCCAAACCTCTCAAATTCCCAATTCTGAGACGAATCAATCTTGTACCGTTCACCTCAATTCGCCTCGCTCACGTATTTCCCCAAGATGACGTCCAGAGTCCCAGCCCTCGTAAGTCGCTAGTGCGGGGAGAGCTTCATCCCAGCTCAGGTACCCAAAGTGTGGAAACCGCAACAGCATTGCTGACCCAGCCGCCGCCGCCGACCAGGTTCTGGATCGCCTCAGCGATCGCGCCAAAGAGGCGCTTGATCTCGTGGCCAAGTTTGTCGAAGAAGAGTGCATCCCGTAAGCCGGACCCCCATCTACTACGCCAAAACCGCTGTCTCGCTTCGTCCACCGGCACTAAACATCCTATCTCCTGTGTGCAGAGCAGACCCCGTCCTAGACGCCCAGATCGGCCAGGGCGATGCGAGATGGGACCACCACCCGGCCATTGTCGACGACCTCAAGGTCAAGGCCAGGAAGCTGGGCCTGTGGAACATGTTCTTGCCAAAGGGCCACTACAAGGAGTCGCCCGGCTTCACGAATCTCGAGTACGGCCTCATGGCTGAGTGGCTCGGCAAGTCGCGCGTCGCCTCCGAGGCCGTCAACTGCGCGGCGCCCGACACGGGTAACATGGAGGTGCTGGCCAAGTACGGAAACGAGGAGCAAAAGGCAAAGTGGCTCAAGCCGTTGATGGAGGGCCAGATCCGCTCTGCGTTCTTGATGACGGAGCCCGAGGTTGCCTCGTCGGACGCGACCAACATCCAGCTCAGCATGCGCAAGGAGGGCAACGAATACGTCCTGAATGGCTCGGTACGTTGGGGGACTCTTCGCGTGCACTAGATTTCTGGAGTCCTGTTGCTGACATGACAGTAGAAATGGTGGTCCAGCGGTGCCGGTGACCCCAGATGCTCGGTTTACATTGTCATGGGCAAGAGCGACGCAAACAACAAGGACCCCTACAGGCAACAATCCGTCATTCTCGTCCCCGCGGACACAAAGGGCATCACCATCCACCGCATGCTGCAGGTCTACGGCTACGACGATGCGCCCCACGGCCACGGCCACGTTAGCTTCAAGGACGTCAGAGTCCCTGCCAGCAACTTGGTGCTCGGCGAGGGCCGCGGCTTTGAGATTATCCAGGGCAGACTTGGTCCCGGTCGCATCCACCACGCCATGCGTACCATTGGCGCAGTAGGTCCATCCACAAGTTTGTATGTGACGGCTATAGACTAACGTGTACACTTCTCTAGGCCGAGCGAGCTCTCGAGTGGATGCTCATGCGCATCAACGACCCGACCAAGACGCCGTTCGGCAAGCAGCTCAAGGAGCACGGCGTCATCCTCGAGTGGGTAGCCAAGTCCCGCATCGAAATTGACGCCGCCCGCCTGGTGGTCCTCAACGCGGCCATCAGGATGGACGACCTCGGCCCCAAGAAGGCGCTCAAGGAGATCGCCGAGGCAAAGGTTCTCGTCCCGCAGACGGCGCTGACCGTCATCGACCGCGCCATCCAGTCGTTCGGCGCGGCCGGCGTCTGCCAGGACACGCCGCTGGCGGGCATGTGGGCCAACATCCGCACGCTGCGGCTCGCTGACGGACCGGACGAGGTGCATCTGCAGCAGCTGGGCAAGAACGAGAACAAGAGGGGTAAGGAGGTCACGGACAAGATCCAGTGGCAGAAGCAGAAGACGGAGCAGCTGCATGCGCAGTACAAGACCTCGACGTTCCAACCTGGGGCGAAGATTACCAAGTCCAAGCTGTGAGGTTGCGTCGCGTCGCGTCGCCAGCTAGGCGTTTTTGTATAGTTGAATGATATCTTTTTGTGTACAACATCGTGAATGACAGGGCCTTTGGTCAGTCTAGGCCCTGTCCCTCCCCAGATAGGGTTGACAATTGGGATGAGAGAAGTGATCTGCAACCCGTTGGCCCGCCGCCGCTCCATGTTCCTCTGAGTCACACTAGCACCCCATTGTCTGGCCATGTGGAATTGAGCAGTTCAAGAGACCCTGCGGCATTAAGGTCCGGGAGGTGACGCTGCTAGTTACCTTGGAGATGGGCGCGTTGGACAGCTCAGAACCGTTCATGCCGGCAGCATTGACCACAGATGCAACCTCTCTCTTTCCCCGGTGGGACGGGAGATGGGGTCAGAGCCACTCCACAGACCGAGAACTAGGTAGCAAGGCAAGCAAGCATTGCCGTAGCTCTCGACTGCTTTGCTGTACAGAATTGATGAGCAAGATGGATGCAATGGCAAGGAACCATAGCTGGCAACATAAGGTCCGGGGTGCTGGGTTGCCCAGGAAGCCCACTAGTAGTCTAGAAGGAAAGGGTGGGAAAGGGAAGGGAAGCCTGACAGCGCATCCCATCCACACCTGTCCATCACACGGGCGACGGCCGATGGTCACAGCTTCCTGACTGACAAAGGCTCGGTGTCTCTTGGTGTCTTTTGTTCCTTAATACGGAGTACAGATACATACTGCGTAGTGATGGGTAAGTGGTAAGTAGCGTCGTCCCCTGGCAGGTTAGGCCGAGGACCCGCATTCCTTCCCACCCCTGAACCCCTGCACTATTATCTGCAGACTGCAGTTTCCCACAGCGCCGTCGCCGTTTCGATTAACCCGTTGCCCCGTCAACATCCCAGAAAATTCGTTTACTTCGACACCCGGCAACTGCTCCACCCACTTTACCACCCAACGTGTGCCAGACAGGGCCTTTTCGTTGCTTTCCAAGTGAGAGGGAAGAGCGTGCATCTTTTTCACATCCATTCACAAACGTCATAAACACTCCACGGTAAATCCTGTGCACCAGCGCAAGCACCCGTTAAGTACAAAGACCTTCTTCCTTCTCTGCATTGGTACCCAAGCCACAGACCACAAACCATCCAAATCCACCACTACCACTTTACACATCCATCTTCCTTCACCATCCCACTGCAAACCAGACCAGAACAAACCATCCATCCATCCATACACAGACACTCAAACACACACTTTGCGCCTTCAGCTTCACGTCTTCTATACACACATCGAACAGTAGAACCACCTTCCGAGTATCCAGCACAAGCTCAGCATTGCGCATTGCATATACAGCAACCAAACCAAACCACCACACCACTCAAACCGCAAGCAAACATGTCTCCCAACGTACTCGGCGACAAGGACGTCAACGCCACCGTTGTCGTCAGCGACCCCCAGTCCACCAAGGACCTCAAGAGCATGGAGTACCACCGCCAGGTCCTGCAGAACAAGATGGCCCAAGAGAAGTACGACAAACTACAGCCTCGCAGCAGTAACAAGAACAAAACCCTAAACTCCATTGTCCTCGATAGGTCCAAGACATACATCTCGCCATCTGACAACATCATGAGCCCCTGCACCGCCAAGCTCAGTGCCCTTCGCAACAAGCAGGTTGGCAAGTAAGTCATACCATCTTCCCGCGACAATCATGGGGTCTCCCGATGCTGTCCAGTCTTGCCAAGATCAACAAGTACTAATCTCTCTATTCAACAGGGTCAAGCCCAAGTCCCTCTTCGCCCAGACTTCAGCCAAGAAGCTCAGAGGCGACGCCGCCGTGTTCGGCGACCAAGCAGGCACGCCCACCAAAGACAGTGCCTTCTAGGCAGCGTCGTCGCATCTTCTTCTGACCAAAACAACATAAAAGCTTCACTTCACTAATGGGATTGGCTCGCGGGTTGTTTTACTAGTTTTGTCTCTTCCATTTTTTGGGAAAAGAGACACTGAATTTGCGCCTTTGCTGGCTTTTCCGGGCTGTTTTTGAGGGTGGGATAGGGTTCATTGGCGTTTTACGGGTAGACCGAAGTCTGACTCCAGGATAAGGGGTTGGGTTGTACTACACCATGACATGACACGAAACGATATCAGGCTTTTCTTTTGCTTCTCCACGACTAGGATTCTAGAAGGACTGTATTCATCAGCCACCGCAAAATTGTCGGTCGGCATGAGCAGAAATCACAATTCCTCGTAACCTTTTTAAACCCATTTCTTATTTTTCATCTGATGAATTCATGTCTCATGCCTTCCACGCGCTCACGACGCAAACCACATCCTCATCCGCCACCGCATGCCCGAGTCCCACTCTCTGCGGGATATGCCTGGCACTCGCGCCCCAGACGAGCGCGTACTTGAAGGTATCCTTGAGCGTCCTGTGAATGCGGTCGCACACGTCCTCAATGGTGCTGTTGCTACGCACGATGAGCGCCTCGCTAAAGTCCGGATCGGCGCCCTGGCGCTTGGTGTAGATGCGAATGAGCTTGAGCTCCTCCCAGCAGCGGTCGACGACGTCCTGGATGCCGAGGTCGAGCTCGCACGACATGACGACGGTGTGGGGCTCGCGGGCGAGCTTGTCGAGGAAGTCGAGGGAGACGGAGTCGATCTTGTTGTAGACGTAGAGGCACTTGATGTACTTTCTGTGGTCCTTCATGATGACGTCGATGAGGTCGTCAACGGTGGCGTACTCGTCGCGGACGAGGACCTCGCAGTTTAGGATCTTGTAGTCGCGAAGAATGTTGAAGACCATTTTCTCGTCCATGTTTTTGGGAGGGGACTGGAAGGTGATTTTCATGCCGCCTGCTTTTTTGGCTTTGAGGTAGATGTTTCTGCCAAGGTTATCGTCAGACCTGTTCGCATAGAAAGAGAGAAATCATCCTACGGTGGCTCTCTGTTGAGACGGATGCCCACGGCCTCCAATTCAGCCTCGAGCAGCGCCCTCTGCTCCGCCTTCTTGGTCGCGTCTAGCACCATGAGGATCATGTCGCTCGTCTTGGCCGCCGAGATGACCTGCCGTCCTCTACCCTTGCCCTCGGCGGCGCCCTCGATGATACCCGGCAAATCGAGCAGCTGGATCTCGGCGCCGCCGTACTCGAGGACGCCCGGGATGGCCGTGAGGGTCGTGAAGGCGTACGAGGCCACCTCTGATTTCGTCCGCGTGACCTTGGAGAGGAAGGTGGATTTGCCGACCGAGGGGAAGCCGACGAGGGCTATTCGGGCGTCGCCGGATTTGCTGACGTCGAAGCCTGCGCCGCCGCCGCCGCCTGCTCCTGGGCCTGGTTCGAGGAGTTGTGCTCGGAGGCGGGCGAGTTTACTTTGTGTGCTTGTGAGAAAGGGTGTTGAGTGGTTGTGGCTAAGGACTTACCCCTTTAGAAGACCAAGATGATATTCTTTGCAGGGCTGTTGTTAATAATGCTTCGTTGCTCGATCCGGCTTATTTAACAAACGTACCAGTCGCCTTGTTCTCTATAGGAAGTTAGCAAGAATTCTATGTAAATGCAATATTGCGCTCGGTCATCTCTCTCCAGTCATGTTGACGATCAACTTGTAGAAAGGCCATTCTCAGTCTCCCGTTGATCCTTCGAGTCTCTCCAATTTGGCCAGAATGCAGGTGAAATGACTTTTGAAAGATGGCCCGAAGGCATGAGAGGATGCGTCTTACTTTGGGTCTTTCTCATCTCATCCTCAATCCTAGTGGCGCATCATCAGCCTCCCGCTCGCTTCGATTTCATCGTGGTGGTGGTAGGGGTTTCGTACTCCTTGATCTTTTCCGTAATGTTCACCATCTTGGCGATTTATGAGCTCAGAGTCCTGAGACTCTGACAAATCCTATAAATCAAAAAGATGGTGATGAGCAATAAGCGCTTCGCTTTCTGATCGACGAGAGTCGGCTTCGCAAGATCATGGTGGGGCAGGACGACCTCCCAAGGCATAGGAAGACTGAACCGTGTGGCAGAATTTACCGCGGGGCTGCGTTGGAGCGACAGGGGTCTCCACTCACCGCCCTCGAACCACTGAGGGTGCGCCATGGTTTGCGCCACAACTTTATCGCGATAACAAATTTCCAAGCCTCGCCGCGCGCGCTCACTGTTGCCCCGTCGTCGACATCCATCCAAAAGGCACCCATCCATACTCGAGCTATCCGATCATCTCTCTACCCCGACATTCACCGCATCGAAACACCCCCCACAAGACTGCAATCATGTCGGACGAAGTTGCGCAAGCTCGTCTCGAGGAGGTCGATGGCCCAGAGCCCGAGGACAACGCACAGGAGACAGCGCTGGCGACGACCACCAGCGAGGTCGCCGCGCCGACAGAACGAAAAGTAAAAAAGATCATCAGGAAGAAGAAGAGGCCGGCGCGCCCGCAAGTCGACCCGTCCTTCATCACCTCGGAGCCGCCGCCGCAGACGGGAACAATCTTCAACATCTGGTACAACAAGTGGTCGGGCGGCGACCGCGAGGACAAGTACCTCTCCAAGACGCACGCAAAGGGCCGCTGCAACGTCGCCAAAGACAGCGGCTACACGAGGGCCGACAAGGTCACGGGCAGCTACTTTTGTCTGTTCTTCGCGCGCGGGATATGTCCCAAGGGCCAGGACTGCGAGTACCTGCACCGCCTGCCGGGCATCCACGACATCTTCAACCCCAACGTCGACTGCTTTGGCCGGGACAAGCACTCCGATTACAGGGACGACATGGGTGGTGTCGGTAGTTTTATGAGGCAGAACCGCACGATTTACGTGGGAAGGATACACGTCACGGATGATATCGAGGAGATTGTGGCGCGTCACTTTGCGGAATGGGGTCAGGTTGAGCGAGGTGGGTTCAATGCAGGAATTCCGCGCCTGAACCTATGCTGACTTTTCCCATCTAGTTCGAGTGCTCAATACCCGCGGGGTCGCTTTCATAACATACTCCAACGAGGCCAACGCGCAATTCGCAAAGGAGGCCATGGCGCACCAGTCCCTAGACCACGAGGAGATCCTCAACGTGCGATGGGCGACCGCGGATCCGAACCCGATGGCGCAAGCGCGCGAAGCCAAGCGGATCGAGGAGCAGGCCGCCGAGGCCGTTCGGCGCGCGCTCCCCGCAGAGTTCGTGGCCGAGATCGAGGGCAAGGACCCGGAGGCCAGGAAGAGGAGGAAAATTGAGAGCAGCTACGGACTCGAGGGTTACGAGGCGCCGGATGAGGTCCATTTCGCGCGAGGCGCCAACGCCGTGAACCCCGTCGGCCGTGAGGGCCACGAGGTGGAGTACCAGGAGCGGCCTATGCTCGAGAACGGCGGCCAGGAGCAGTACGATGGGTTGCCCATGCTTCAGCAGCAGCCGTCGGTTGTGTCTGGCGGGATCTTCTCCAGCAGTACACTGGCGGCCCTCAACGCCTCCAAGGTTGCTGTGGCGTCGAAACCAAAGGTTGCTGTGTCTGCTGGGCCGTTGGTCGGCTACGGCAGCGACGATGATTCCGACTGAGCCCTAAGCTGGTTGGTTTTGTATGATTAATCAGGGGCAAGGAGAAGAAGAGAATAAAAGCGATCATGATACCCCATTTGAGAATGGAAACACATCAAAGTAGAGAAGCTGAGTGACCAAGAAAATATCAACTGTTGAATATTCGTGAATACAGAACCTCGTGCCTGCCTATCCATAGATCCATCACCGGCATCGTCTGCCCGGCCCTCTCAACCGGCGTGCTCCACTCCCGCTCAATGGCGGCGGAAATGAGTTGCTGGACCTGTGTGCTCGCAAGCACCTTTTGCGCTTGGTAGGGCCCGAACATGCTGGCTCTCACGGCAGCCGAGATGAGGGCCTTGACGTGGCCCATCATGAAGATGTAGGCCGTTTGCTGGAGGGTGAGGCCCACGAGGTTACAGATTGCGCCAAAGAGGGGAGCCAGGTGAGCGAAGACGAGCGGGGGTTCAGCCTGGTCGTCTGCAGTCGCAGACACTGACCGCGACGAGGTGGCCGTCTTGAGAAGAGCCGCATACGGCTGGAGAGTCGCGACAACAGGGGCGGGGAGGGAGGAGGCGAAGGAGCGTTCCCAGATGGAGAGGAGGGCGCGGCCCTGGGCGATGGAAGCGCGGCGGCCGACGGTGCAGATGATGGCGGCGTCGAGCTCGTCGTCTAGGTCCGCGACGTCGGAGGGGGAGCGGTGCGCCGCTAGGACGAAGGGCAGCGTCGTCGAGGCGTAGGCGGAGATGGATTCCGGGAGGAAGGTGTTGAAGGAGGAGCGGGGCCGGGTGTGGGCTAGGTAGGACTCGAGGCCGCTGCTGAAGGCGAAGGAGCCGAGGGGTAAAGCTGAGTCTGAGAGGAGGAGGAGGTAGTGGTTTGTTTGTGAGGGGGATGGTGATACTGGGTTTTGGTGTTAGTTGACCAGAGTTGTGAGTGGTTTTTGAGATGTCTCATAATGAAGATGTGTAGTTGGGGCTGAACTGACATGAGGGTTTTGATGAGATGCCTCGAGACGGTAGTGATTCGAAAGGTAGTTCTGTATGTCCTTTGAGACCATTCAACTTGCTCCTGGCAGCCTTGAGGCGTGCCTCCAGCTCCAGGATCTCCTTCTCAGCAACGTCAACGGATCCATCCCGCGCCATTGAATCCATTGCGACAACCTGTAAAAAAAAGCCGTCTGAAGAATAAGACTCGATGTTGCAGTTGATAAGCTTCCGATAGCGGGACGGGGTCCCTGCAGGATCGGGGGAGTGTTCGTTCAGGGGCTGCATCGAGCCTAGGCGCCCGCCGCCATCTTCCTACTGCAAGGATGGCCGCGCCGCCGGGGCACTCTCTGGGACTTCTGGGACTCGCTGCAGGGATTGTCTTCGGCGTCTGCTCTCGTCCCACCCGCCCGTACCAACTTGCTCACCTCGGCGATTGATGGAGTAAAAAAAGACAAGAGCTTCACCTTTCACGCCTTACAAGGTAGCTATACATACCTAGAAGGAAGCCCGCCCGGTGAAAATCGTACGATCTCACCAATCAAAAGCCTCGAGTTTTTATCGCTTCTGAATATCTCCAATTGCATCTCTCACCGTCACCTTCACAAGCAGCACTTTCACGGACCACAAAGGTCTCGACGTCATCAACTCTCCTCTCCGCAGACACAGACCGGCGCCCCGGTCGACAATGCCAGCAGGATGGCGACGCACGACAAGATGAAGAGCGCCGAGGCCGACGACGCCGCGTGGGAAGCTACCCGGGGAGCCTTCATCGGCGCCGCGAGATGGGGTCTCGGAGCCGCCGTCGTGGGTGCCTTTGCGTACAAGTTCTCGCCGCTGTACAAGGGCCTCACCATTCAGTTCAAGATGTAATACGTCACCTCACGCGACACAACCCAAGTCGCCCTCATCCCTTTCCCCCCCTTTCTCCTATCTCACTCGCTTGTTCATTCACTTCGTCTCGTAATATTGGATGAAATGTGACTAACATAATTACGGCAGTTATATGCAAATGTCGGCCATGGTGCTGGGAAGCATGCTGGAGGCGGACAACAGGTTACGAGAGTACGAGGCCCGCGTCAGATTGCAGAAGCGCTTTCTGAGGGATAGGGCCAAGTGGGAGAGATTTGAGCGGGAATTTTATGAGGATCCTAACGAGAAGAAATGAACGGTAACCATCACAGGCGATTGAAACCGAAATTGAACACTCTCAATAGGACGAAAGTTGATCTCAAGCTGTATTCCATAGTATTGTATAACATGGGACATTCACATCCTTTACTTTTTGTTTTTCGAGCTACACAGAAAAGGTACCGCAGACCTGATTTAACCCCCAACGCCGGATCATGCAAGTCATTATGCCCCGCCAGCAGCGAGTATTCTATCGGCTGCCAATTCTTCATTTTGAAGGAGCCTCGAACTTCTTCGGGTCCATGTTGAGCTTGCAGAGCCTCGCAACGCAGCCGCTCAGCTGCAGCAGCGTCTGCACGCCCTCCAGAATCTTCATATGCGTGAAGCCAATCTCCTTGATGAACTCGAGCTTGGAGTGCTCGCTCAGCGTCGGGATCGTCTTTGTGACCTTGAACATGGTGCTGATGATGTCGTGGCTCGAGTACCCCAGATCCCAGAGCTCTCGCAGGCATTCGAGCGCCGAGTCGACGTTGCCCTCGTAGCACGCCTTGAGCATCGCCTGGACCTTGATCGGGTGCGGCGAGTCCACCACCTTGAAGACGTTGTCGCCCGACACGAAGCCGAAGCCGGCAAACGTCGACTGCAGATTGTTGATGGCCTGACGCATGTCGCCCTCGGCACTGAAGACGAGCGCCGCGAGGCCGTCGTCGCTGTATTCCACCTTTTCAGCTTCAATGATTTGCAGCAGTCGCTTGACGACCTGCTCGTCGGTAAGTCGGGCGTAGCGGAGGATGGCGCATCGCGACTGCAGCGGTTCGATGATCTTGTTGGACTGGTTGCAGGCGAAGGCGAAGCGCGTCGTGTTGGAGTAGATTTCCATTGTCCGGCGGAGGGCCTGTTGAGCGCCTGATGTCATGCTGTCGGCCTCGTCGAGGATGACGAGCTTGTGGCGACCCTGGGGCAGGGTGACCTTCTTCTGCGCGAAGCCCTTGATGCGGTTACGAACGACGTCGATTCCTATGCTTGAGCGTCAGTATCGAATGTGACAAACACAGAACACATCTGTTCATCGTTACCTCTCTCGTCACTGGCGTTGAGCTCCAATACAGCCTCCTTGTATGTGTCTCCGAGCAATTGTCTCGCCAGGCAAAGCACACTGGTAGTCTTTCCGATACCAGGCATGCCCGAGATGATGACGTGCGGCATGTTTCCCTCCTTTGCAATGATCTTTAGGCGATCAATCGTCTCGGTGTTTCCGACAACATCGTCAAGAAAGACTGGACGGTACTTTTCGACCCTGAAGCACGCATATTAGCAGCTGGGTTGGAAAGTTCGAGGAAGCCCATAGTGACTGACCAGGGAAGCTCATAATTAGGGACGCCATTTGACGCCGCAGTCAGTGCCTTCTTGGCTGCGGACGTCGAAGACTCGCCAGCCTCCTCTGGCTTCGTGACCTGCTTCTGAGCGGGCATGGCGGCTTTTTTTCCTTTGGCTGGGATATTGGGAGATGCAGAGAGCAGATCGTCAAGTTGCTGGAGTTCTGTGCGGGCAGTGGGCAGAAGCACTTTACGCGATGCTCATCGAAAAGACGCGTCGGGTCCAGAACGCGCTAAACTTCTCTAGGTCCACCCTTGTCTTCCCTGCCTGTTCTCCAGCAGTCAACCTCACCGACATCTCACAAACACCACTTGTCAGTCCTTAAATGTTTCTCCTCCCGACCTTTAACACGCAGACATGATTACAGTGTTAGTCACAAGTTTGTTGCATCACGAAACCTTTCAGCGCATCTTCCCCAAAAATTACTGGAAACATAAAGGCATTCAAGTTTTTTTCATTGCATTTTGTTCATCCAAGGTATCTAATCATCGTCTTCATCGGCCTTCTTCTTACCCTTCCTGGTCTTCGCACCTCCCTTAAAGTGCTTCTTTCCGGACGACAGCTTCACGTCTTTGGGGTCGACTCCGCTCTCCAGAGCAATCATTGCCCTTGCCTTTCTTCCACTCAAGTGCTTCTGACCCTGCTCCGTGTACTTGTGGCTGAAGGGCATCTTGGTGTGACCGCCACTGCTGTTGGGGCCAAAGAAGCCCTTGTCGATCTGCTTGGACTTGGGCCCAGCCGGCAGAGCTGCCAGGTCCGAGGGAGCTATCGAAATATCGTCGTCTACAATGGACATGGTGTCCATAGACGTGCTGAGGGCTCGACGGCGCTTCTCGGGGAGATGCGTCTCGTCATAGAGCTCTGCATTAAACTCTGGGCCCTCAACTGTTCCTGGTGGCGGCTCACAGTACAGGAGCTTTCCGGCAACGTAATCTTTGAGGATGTAACGAGAAGCTCTTGACTCGTCAGGCTGGCCCAGTCCTTGGGTCTGGAAACCTCTAGCTCTGGCATATGCGCGGAGCAACTCGGGAGCCGTAGGAGTGCCTGTGCCTCCCTCTTCGATAGCGCGGGTCTTGATCTTGATTCCGTAGACGGCTTCCAAGAAGGACTTGGGTATCCTCCTGGTGACCAAGCCAGCCGGTCCTTGGAACTCTCGCAGTTGATCAATAGGCAACACACCGTTGCAGACCAGGTCGGCTTTGGTGTTTGCGAAGTTAGGGTAGACCAAACCAGGGCAATCGCACAGGACAACGTTGTCACTGAGGTGAATTGTCTGGAAGTGCTTGGTCTTTCCTGGTGTTGACGAAACTGACACCTTCTTGGCACCGATCAAGGCGTTGATGGTGGAAGACTTTCCGACGTTAGGGTATCCGACAAGACCAATCTGCAGCTTGTGGCCAGGCTCTGTTCATCCACCGTCAGCAACCAATCCAAATCACATTTCTTGGGGTTGGTCATACCTGCGTTCTCGGGAGCATGGCTGAGGAAGATATCCTCCAGCTCCTCCACCGTAAGAATTCTCGTATCTTCATCATCAACGTCGGCCTCAGCCTCCGGCTGCGAGATCTCAGGCTGAGCGGTCTCTGCGCCGCCGTCCTCTTTGTCATCCTTCTCTTCCTCATCTTCATCCTCCTCTGAGCTCTCCTCGGCAGATGCGGCATCCTTCGTGGCAGCCTTGGAGCTGCTGCCAGCCTCAGGTTCTTCCTCCTCTGACTCGTCGTCGCTCTCCATGGCCTCAAGCAGTTCCTTCGCAAGATGTGCAGAGAAGAATCTGTACGCAATGCCGTTCTCCTTCAGGTACTTTGCCCACATCTTACGCTGCCTCAGCGTGAGCATGTCGGCCTTATTAATCAGCAGCAGGTTCTCCTTCTTGGAGTCAATGTCTTTGACGTAGTGCTCCAAATCCTCGGATCTGAAGAGCAAGGGGTTCCTAGCATCGACGATCTGAACAATCAAGTCTGATCGTTCAATGACACGCCAGAGCTGCCTCCACACCTCAAGGTTACGCTCGAACGGCGTCATGAGTAGATCGTTGTTCTCCTGAAGTTCGGCAAGGCCTCGTCTCCAGTCAAGGAAACTTTCTCTCTCCCGTCTGTCCAGCTCCTCCGGGGTGGTGGACGCATCCCACTTTGGTCTTCTCGGCACTGTCAAGCGTCCTCTGTGGGCCTTCTGCTTGCCAATGATGGCCCTTTCCTCTGCTCCAGAAAGCAGATACGGGTTCTTCTGGTCGGTGTGGATGATCTTAACGTTGTTCATTTTCTCTGCCGTAAAGTCCGTGCCCGCCAGCTCTGCGGTCGCGAGGAACTCGTCGAGAGCGCCTTGCTCGGTAACTGATCTCATTTTGACCCATGATGCTTCTTGTCGCTCGTTCGTGAGGTACTAGCAAAGTGTGAGTGTTTCCCCTGGCAATTCGGGGCAGAGATTTCCGGCGTTGCCTCATTACCTCTTCTCCTGTAGCGTGGTTCACTCTGGTGATGGTACTCTTCTTCCTGTCTGCGCCACGACCCTTGCCAAAGCGATCGTTCATCAGGGCGTTGCCCAGCCCGGCGGTCTTCTTGGATTTGGCATGCACCATTTTCGCGGTGATATATCGTCTCTCTCTGCTTTGGAAAATAGGGTGAAAAATGCGCAGTGGAAAGAAACGACTCCCAAAGCTGCTTTGTGAATCAGAATGAGTAATAGTGGGAGCCGTCGCAAATGCCCGCCTTGAAGAGAATAGCAGTGCCCCGCGACGATTAATCAGCGGGGCAAAAAAGTGATTTTAGGCGTCTATCGATAAGAGATTTTTTTTGCGACCGCGGGGCTCTCATCTGTGCGTCCCACCGAATCTCTCCCTCTTGCGCACCCAACGAACGGTCAATTCGACAAGCCGGTATACCATTACGCGAAATATCCCAAATTAGACAAAATGGCGAAAGGCAAGAAATTGTAAGTCGATATGAATTGTTATGCAGGTGCGATAGCTGACATTCTCTTTTCAGCGACAAGAAGAGCGCGCAGCACTTCACCCTTGTCCACCGACCGCAAAATGACCCCCTCATCCACGACGAAAATGCGCCCTCGATGGTGCTCAACCCCGTGCCTCAAAAGGGTGGACCGTCGAAGAGCAAGCATCTGAGCGACCTTGCATCTGAGTTTGGGTCAGAAGCTGGCAACATACGCGCAAACGAAGGAGAGGCGGCAGAATACGGTGTTTACTACGATGACACGGAGTACGATTACATGCAGCATCTGCGCGGCCTGAACTCGGGAGGTGGTGAGGCTGTCTGGGTTGAGGCGTCGGGTGCGGCAAACAACGACAAGAAAGGAAAGCAGGCGCAATCACTTGAAGACGCATTGCGCCAAATGGATCTGGAGCACAAAAGCGAGGCTTTGCTGGATCCCTCGGTCCTCCCAAACAGAAACCTGCCACGAACCAACTATGAGACACAGGTGGACATCCCCGATGCCATCGCTGGATTCCAGCCCGATATGGACCCCCGCTTGAGGGAAGTATTGGAGGCATTGGAAGACGACGCATATGTGGATGACGACGACGACATTTTCAAGGAGCTCTCCAAGGACTCGCGTGAAGTCGATCAGTACGAATTCGAGGATCAATACGGCTACGACGACGAAGATGAGGGCTGGGAATCAGACGACACCGCAAAGCCGAACAAGGAGTACAAGGACGGAGCAGTGCCGCAGCTGGTCCCTGTTGAGGGGGAGGCATTACCAGAACACCAGAACGAAGACTGGATGGAGGACTTCAAGCAGTTCAAGAAAGACCAAAAGGGCGGCAAGGTCCAGCCGGCCAAAGATACGCCGTCCGAGTTGCAGTCCTCCATTTGGACCACGACAACTATGGGTGGCCGGAAGAAGAAGAGAAAGGGAGCATTGACCAACCCCTCTGCCTTCTCCATGACCTCATCGGCTATGGTCAGGACGGAGCAACTCACCCTTCTGGATGCCAGGTTCGACAAAATTGAGGAGGAGTACACAAATGAGATGGGCGACGATATGGCATCTGTCTCGGAAGTATCGACGGCAACCAGCGTAACCGGACCCACCAGAGGTGACTTTGACAGTATCATGGATGATTTCCTGGGCAGCTACACCAAGCCTGGAAAACGCACAAACAAGAAGAACCGGCCGCAGACTGGTCTTGAGCAACTGGACGAGATCAGACAGGGTCTTGGCCCAGCTCGGTTCCGTTCACTCAACACCAAGAGGGTTTAGGTTTGTTTGCGCCTAGATATAGAAGCATTCGGCGCAGCCTAGATTCCGGTCATCGAGATACCCTCACTGAGCGCCAGATTGCATAAGATCTGCGCCCTATAGTGTTATGATAAACAAATTGATGTTTTATGAACCACCATTTGCTTAAACTTGACTCGAGATTTCCCAAATGCTGAATTCCTGGAGTCTCTAGACTTGCAATGTTGTGTTCAGTAATTCACACTTGTTGCTTCCACCAACGGAATAATTCTTTGTCGCTAGAGAAATTTGTCGATACTTCCCTTGTGGAAAGAACACCCAAAAGTGTCTGTGAAGAATGCTCCTGCCGTCAGAGAACCCTGAGAGGTTCAACGCAAACAAAGAGGGCGTGTCTTTATCTCTCACACCCCCCGGCTCAGTGGAACGCAATTGTGGGTCATAGCTTTGCTGGCTCTAAACGCCGCTAAACGCGATACGCGCCGAAAAAAAACGCGGCAAACGCAGACCAGCTCCATCCTAGTTCTCCACTTGGCTCTTGTCTGCCTCATGGTTTCCTTCTTGGAGTTTCCTTTCGCGAACCCGACATGACGTCGGTCTCTTTCCCTCCCAGCAGACCCGACAGGAAGCTATCGCCATTCGGAGGCACATCGACCGGTGTTTTTGGAAGTCGGCCTGACGCGAGCAAAAACCCTTTCGGCCTCAATGGGGCGGGTGCCGGCGGTGGGCAGCGGTCGACACGCAACTTGAATAACCAGCCTCCCGATATGACGACTCCTGCGACAAAGCGGAAGGGCGTCAACCCGTTCGACGGCGCCAGCTCAGACGATAACCGACGACGAAAAAACACGAAGGGCGATTCACAAGGCGACTGGAAGAAGAAGGGTCCCAAGTCGCAAGGCGCGAAGCCAAATGGCGCGAAGGCGCCGAAAGGGTTTGGAACCACCCAGTCGCGCGGTGGTTTCGGCACCCAAAACAACAACAATCACAGCTCGGGATCTACCGACTACGAAACGGACGATGCGAACGGCGAATTGAATGGCGACGGCACTGCGTACTCCGATAAAATCTTCTCGCAACTTCGACAGGATGGAATCGCACCGCCAAAATGGCCGTCCGATCCAGGAAATACGTCGTCCAAGGCCGCGATGGCCAAGTTCAGGGAAGAATACAAGACATATCGCGATCGGGCTAGGACGTCATTGATGCGCGCCGGCTTGATTGACGACCCCGATAAGCCAAAGCGGCTGGAAGACGCGATTGACTTCAAAGGCATCTGCGACGCGATGTGCCCCGACTTTGAGAAGATTACTCGCATCACCGAATTCGACGTTCAGTCCGCCGAAAAGGACCCCCGAACCACTTTTGCCAACACATCAAAGATGGTCAAGAAACTGGCGCGTTCCGCAGCTGGCCAGGAGGCTCCGCTGCCAATGGATGTTAGATCCACGGCCGCCCTCAGGAGGACGCTCGACTACCTCATCGACGACCTCTTACCGATCGACGACAAGTTACCCTCTTCGCATGGTTTTCTGTGGGATAGGACACGTGCGATTCGCAGGGACTTCATCTTTCATTCGACAATGTCTCCTGAGGAGATGAAGGACCAGGTTTACTGTCTCGAGACAATTGCCAGATTTCACGTTACAGCTTTACATTTGCTTTCTCAGGAAGGATTTGCGCCGGAAGACTTCTCTGAACAACAAGAAATTGAGCAACTGGGCAAGGCATTGCTTTCACTTATGTTTGCCTACGACGATTGCAAGCCGCAAGGCGTTGTGTGCGAAAACGAGGCCGAGTTCAGGGCGTATCATTTGCTTTTCAGCGCAAACACTCCCAATATCCTCGATAACGTGCAAAAAGAATGGGGGGATTCTCGCTTCTGGACCGAATCCGATACCATCAGAACAGCTGTCTCACTCGTCGAGAGTCTGCAGAGCGCAGAGGACTTTCACGGTCCTTTGGGCTCGGGCCCGTCCATGGCAACATCGGGTGCACACCTCACTTACTTTAGAATCCTCCAAAGCCGAGAAGTGTCTTATACAATGGCATGTTTTGCAGAGATCCACTTAGGTCAGCTGCGCCGCTCAGTTCTTCGCTCTCTGAAGAAGGCGTACACCAGACCGCGACACGGGGCGAAAGATATTACGCCCTCTTCGCTAAACCGATTTCTTCACTTCGACACAGAAGACCAGGCGATTGAGTTTGTCGAGCAGCATGGCCTCAGCTTCTCAAATGGACAAGGACCAGCGGGCGAACCCATACGCTATCTGGATACCTCACAACGCATGACATGGCCGAGAATCCATCACAGTTTCTCTCAGAGATTGGTTGAGAGAAAACGAGGCTCCCGTAGTCTTCCTGAGATCATCCACCGCACAATTGCCGACGAATCCACGGGCGCTGGCCAGCAAGCTCCTACAGGATTTTCGACGGGACCAGCTTCATTCAAGCCGCCTCCACAGCAGGCTCCTTTTGGAAGCCACTCAACAACGAACGCAGACTCTCCTTTTTTCAAGTTGCCTTCTTCAGCACCCCAAGTAGGCACCTCGACGGGACTCACGGGTACGCCGTCTTTCGACAAAGGTAAAGAATCTTCCACACACTACCCATATCGCTGTAGCCTCTTGCCTACCAACACCGTTGTCGACGTCAAGTTCATTGCGACTCTCCTCCGCCGGACCATTTCTCTTCAGTCAAGATCGAACGTCACAGTGCCAGATTCCAGACGTGGCAATTCTTGTTGCGGCTGATCAACTGGCGGCCGTTTCAGAGGTGGAGAGGCGCTCAAACAACAATCGCAATCAGGACGAGATGACTAGCAATGAATTGTCATTGGCACAAGACGAAGAGGGTAGGCATAGCCAAGCCGGATATCTGCTAACATTGTGTCCCACAGCAACCGAAGGCCACAAGCCTACAACGAGTTCCAGCCCGTTTGGAAACCCTTTCTCGACAGCTTCATCACCATTCACTGGTGCATCTTCTGTTCAGCAAGGCGGCTCGGCCTCGTCATCATCATCAACAGCAGCGCCAGTTACGAATCCATTTGCCGCGAAGACAAGCCCTTTTGGCAAGCCAAACGTGGCAGCCGAAAGCGCGACGCCTAGCAGCAACCCATTCGGGTCGTTAAACCAACCTAATGGCACTTCCCAACCCAAAGCTCCGAGTATCCCGGCATTCCCTTCTCCGGCCTTCGGCACCGGCGCACAACCCAAAGCGCAGGAGCAAGCGCAGCCAGCTGCGTCGACAGGTGGCTCTCCGGCCATCACCGTCACTCCGCCCACGCCAAAGTTCCCATTGCCAACGTCAGCCACAGCCGCAGAGTCGTCAACGCCTTTCAAATTCCCATCAAATACTGGCGTGCAGTCCGCGACTCCGAACGCTCCGAGCAGCCCTTTCCAGCCAACTCCGAAATCATCTGCGACACCACAGCTACCCTCCTTCTCGGCAGGTGCGGCGGCTCCCGCTCAGCCAGAAAAGCCTTTTACAACATTTCAACCTCCACCTAATCAGCCGCCCAGCCTTGATCCTACTACGGCAGCTCCATCAATCCTCTCTCAGACACCCACTAGCTCTACAGCCAGCTCAGGGCAATCCCCATTGCCTTCCTTCAACTTCCAAGGGGTTAGTTCGGAAGCCGTGAAGCCAGCGCCCTCGCCTCAGCAGAGCTTCCCTCCAGCTGTCACCTCCCCCGTACCAACTGCAGCTTCACCACTCGCCCAGGCGAAACCTCCTCAAGCTCCACCCGTGAAACAGCGGTCCAAGCAAGATGTCATGGCCGACTTCGCGAAATGGTTCGTTACAGGTGACAACGGGCTCATACAAGAGTTCGAGAAGTACATGGTTGAACAGCTCGTCTCGGCCGCTTTTGAACAGCATCACAGGGAGGAAGAGGAAAGGAAACGAAGGGAGGAGGAAGAGAGAGATCTGGCAGAAGCACGGAAATTCCAGGTCTACAACCTTTCCGTCAAGTACTTCTATCGATGGAGGGAAATCGCTAGAAACCTTCGCCTCACCAAGCTTCGCAGACAAGAAAGGGAGGAGTACCGAAGGGCTCAGCGGGAACAACGGGAGGAAGAGATCAGGCAGAGGAAGAAGGCGGCTAAAGTTGCCGAGGCAAAGAAAAGGGCTTTGGAGAGGAATGGTTTCGACCCTGTCGAGGAATTCAGAGAGCTCCTTCAGCTCAGAAAAGACGGCACACAAGCCGACTTGCAAGCCGAAGCAGAGGCTTTGCTAGCGACCGGCATTCTGTCAGGCGTCTCGGACGAACGAGTCGCAGCCGCCAATGTCATCAGGGCCCCAGCGACGATGGAATCACCTGCGACGAACACGCCTTTACCTCGATCTCGCTCGTCAACAGCCTTATCGCAGTCGACTACGGGTGCTAAGCCCCGCGGCGCGAAAACGCGGGCCATACGGGAAGAGTTTGGCAAGAGCGCTACCAATTTCCGACGATCACTGCCTCCCATGTCAGCACACTCCTCATCATCACGACTGTCTTCAGAGCCGCAGAAGCGCGTTAGCAAGGTGTCTGATCGCTGGCGTCTGAAGGCGATGGGGCTCGTCACGATGCCCGACGGAACAGCGCTGCCGGAGACCATCGCAAACGAGATGCGGTACAATGGGAAACGATATGCAGGGCTCGGGTCATTCGGCTTGGACAGCACCGAGCGACGCCGGAGCGTCTCTGCGGATCTCAACCACGCAGCCGAGGCCCGATTACGCTTTTCGCAGTCGCTCAACGGTGGCAGTGGCAGCGGCAGTGGCAGCGCTGCAGCCGTGCCGCAAGTCAACGGGATCTCGCCGCTTAGTAAGAGGAAACGGGGTCTCGATGACGACGACAACGAGGTTGCTGTCGCGGACGAAGCCGTCACACGCGTCAAGAAGCGACCGTCGAGCAATGTGGATATTGACAGGATACTTCGGGAGGCGAGGGAGAACCTGGAGTCGTTGAGGAGTTCGAGGATCGAGCTTGACGAAGGGGCGGATTGGTTCAGGGAACAGAACGAGATGATGCACGCGGAGGAGGCGAGCAGGGCTAGCTCGCCGTGGGGGAAAAGCGGTCATCGGTGAAAGGGACGGGGTCACGTACGATATGCATCAGCATTGGCGTTTTCAAGGCTTTAGTTTCTTGGGCGTGGAGTATGAAGGGCAACTCTTTTTTTTTCCCCTCCTAGTAGTTCTCGTCTTTGTAAAGGTTCACAAAAAACAACACGGGCTACGAATACCCATAGAAGAGACTTGTTTGGATTACTCTGTTTTCACGTAAATGAGCGTAAATGAGAAGTGCATGCATGGTCACGAGTGATTTTATGAAGTGAAGTTGAGAGATGTATGTGTGGGATTGGTATTATTGTCTGGTATTGGGTATGATGAACCTCGTGTGCTCCGGTGTCCTCTTACTCCGTCATCTTGTAGATGTACTCCTAAACGCCACTCGCTACCGACTGTGATTTTAAACAAATGAGATCATAAGGGGAATCCCTTGGACAGCTTAAAAATACGACAACTATCTCTTCTTATGCGGAGGCGGCGGCGGGAACGCCACCTGGATCTTGTAGCTCTCTACGGGGCTGCCTCCCAACGAGGTAACCCTCTTCGGCAACGGCCGCGCCAGGTCCCGCACGATACCGGGGATGGTCTTGGACGCGTCCGATACCAACGGGGCCGGCGGTGAGGACTCGGTGTGGATGTGCCGATTATGCGCGGGCGCAGGCGCGGGCCAGCCGGCCTGGCTTAGCAAGGGGCTCGCCGTCGTGCCGGAGGTCGGGGAGGCGTAGGTGGTGGACGGACTAAAGGTCGTCGCATTGCCCATTGACGGGGTAGAATAGCCGTGTTCTGAGGGGACGTAGGGTCTAAAGGATAGGAGGGGCGCGGCGGAGGTTGTTGATGTTGGGGTGGCGTACTCGTCTTGCGGGGAGGCCATGTTGTATTTCGGGGAGTGTGCTTTTACGGGGATGATGGGGAGGCTTGTGGTGATGTTTGCGAGGGTGAAGGGTTCCTTTTGCGAGGGCTTCTTGTCGGTGTAGGGGATGTGGTCTGCGGCTGTGAAAGAGGTGATGGAGTTGTGTGGCATCCAGAGGCTGGGTTTGGATACGGGACTAGGGGCCATGTCTTGCTGTTGCTGTTGCTGATGCATGGACTCGTAGTAATGCTTTTCGTTTTGCGCCTCTTCCTCCTCGACGGAGAAGAAGTTTGGTTCCTTTGGCGTGAGATGCGTCTGGCAGCGGAAGGAGAGAGATGAGGCTGGGCGGTGGCCCTTTGCGCGACGAGAGAGCTCCGGGTTGATGCCGCGGCCTTGTCTGCGCGCCCTGCGCTTGCGGCACTGGATGAAGGTGCAGCCGGCAGCCAGGAGGAGTGCCACGATGGCGCCTATGACGATGCCCACGATGGCCGTCATGGGAAGGGTGGGAGTTTTAGCTTTGTCGGCATCTGCTGCATCCTTCGGGTCGACGACGGTGATGATGCCCTTTGTGAAGACGGTGTCGTTGAGACCGACTAGTGTGCCTGGGTTTGGTCTCTGCTGGCAGCCTGCTCCGAGGGCAACGAGATCTATGCAGTATGTTAGTGATGTGTCTACAGGGATGATGTTGACCAAGTTGTTACATACAGTTTGAGAGATAGTAGTGTTCACCACCCGCTCTTACACACGACAGGCACTTGTCGTAGGCTGAGCCTAGCATGGCACCGCCATCCGCATCGCAATATGCGTACTGTGATGATTTTGTTGGGTCCAATTCGCCGTCTGTGAGAGCAGCCTCTAACGCGCCACACGCCGTGGACGTCTGGCAGGGGTTGGAGCCTACGCCGGTGGCATTGGGGTACCCAAAGATGCAGTAGTCGAAAGAGTACCTCATGTTGTCTGTTGGTGTTGGTCAGCACCCCTGGTCCTCAAGTGTGATTGCTGTAAGACTTACACAGAAACCAGTCTTGATCGTTCTCACTGCCCTGAACAAAGGTGCTGTCCTGAAGACAGCTCAAACACTGCTGATATTTCTGTCCGGCGGCCCCTGTCTTGTAATCGTCATCTACACAAGTAATGTCCTTTCCCTTGGTGTTGGACGAGTTGGGGTCCGAGGCATCGAGGCCGTCGGAGTCCAGACAGAAGGATGCACATGGCGAGTTGGGCGTAACTTGGAGTGCTGATACACAGGCCGGTACGATTGTGGTGAGGAGAAGGAGGGCGGATCGAGCGGCCATTGTGAGCTGCGGCCGGGTTGACAGGGATTAAGGAGTGTAGTTGAAGTAGAGCAGAGCAAAGACTCCAGAGCCTTGCAAAGTGTAATTAGGTTAAAGATAGTAGAATAGAGAGTTGATATCTCGAGAGATGGGTATTAGATATCGCCCAGACAAGCCAAGAACACAAACGAAACAATTGCACACACAAAAAGTCGGAATAAGCTCAACGAGAAAGAAACTGGTTCTAAAGTCAAGATGGGAGAGCAAGGTGATATATCTCGCAGAAGACGCCGATCCCATCTCCACCATTCACTCGAGCAGGGGGCGGGGGGGCCATCTGCAGCTGCAGGAACAGGATGGTCTGGAATGGTAAGGTGATGGTCTGGAGTCACCTGCAGCTCGCAGGGCTCATAAGAAAGTATCCCAAAAGTATGGGGAAAGATACACAGTAAGAGGTACGGCGTAGCAGGCATCTGGCAAACGCAGCCAGATAGAGTAGAGAGCGGCGTCCCAAGCCGGAGACGGGCCCGTCGTCCTGCCGCCCATCTGCTCGACCACGGTTCGAGATGGGTGTCGGCGTCGGCAGAGGGTGTGGTGATGTCGGATCGAGGCGGCCAATAATAGGCCTGCGCAGGTTCCCGAGGATTACGGTTATGAAGTGATGGAGGGGGCGGGGAGTTGGGTGAGCACTCTGGACTCGAGCAGTCGTACAGAACTGGACTCCATAGACGCCGTTTGCCGACAACATGAGAGTATTGTCTTGCCGTCGGGAAAGCTCGTCAGGTGAACAGGCGATGAGGAAGACGGCAGAGCGCTAAAGACTTCCCAGCACTTGCAGGACGGTGTGCGGCGCGACACCTCAGGGCGGCAGCTTGTTGGTCTGCGGTGATGTGGATTTGGTTAGCGGCCGCTGGACGATGCGCCATCTCTCCATCTGCCCCCAATATGGTGGTGCAAGCGATCGATAGTGTGATTTTTTCCCCTGACGATTTTGCGCGTATATGTGCCCGCGTGTGCCCGCGTGTGCCCGCGAGTGTGCTTGTGCCTGTGCCTGGCGTTGGTGGGATGCATTGTGCAATGTTAGTGATGATGGCGGGCGGCTGCGAGATGCACCCATGGCATGGGCCATGAGAGTTGGGGGCAGGAATGGCAGGAATCATGGTGCCAATGGGAACACGGCGTTTGGCGATTGATCTGGTTGGTCAGGTCTGTTCTGTTGGAGTGTTGGCGTCTTACCACGAAAGTGTGAGTGACAGTCAGCGAAGCCCGGCGCTTACACTACATCTAGCAGTGGCAGTTGGTTCCTGTCTTGCCTGCCACTCCTCCTACGCTGTCTCCCACTGTTGGTTCTCTTTGGCTCCTTCCATCGGGGCATTTACATTCTCCACTAAAAGCCGTGAGCTCGGCCCAGCCGGTTCCACAGCGGGACCCCAGTGGACAAAGTGGGGTCCGGCCAAGGTACCGCGGTACTTGGCTTGTCGCTCGTTGGCGATCAGTTCTGGGTCTCGTCAATGCTCTTTCCCTTTTCTCTCACTCTCTTCTCCATCACTTTACGGAGGAAGCATCTCTCCCTTTTGCATCCTTGGTCCCGTCAGCCTTCAGCCACAATACACACCACCCCGGTCGCTTTTCCAATCTCAATGCCTTTACGGAAACCATCCAAATCCCGGCCTGTCTATGTTGAGAGTTCCCTTTTTGGTTGACAACCCTTTTACCAGACGTCTGCTATTAGGGGGGTTGTTAAGCACGCCGCACCCAGTTCCGCATGGGTTCCCTGCTGGCATGAGCTTCTTTTCCTCGGACTCCCTTTACACCCCTGGCAAAACTCTGTTGTCACCTTGTCTTGTCTTACTGAGCCGAACTTTTTTACCTCTGAAAGCTTGTCACTGTTGCATCACTGAGGTGTTCGAGTGCTTTTCTGAATACGGATTCATGGGAGTTCGTGATTCGTATATCTCACCAAAACTAGAAACTAAAAGGAAAACCCAAATATCTTGTATTCTCGCCTTCGATTCCGATTCACCCGTCATCGTGCGACGTGGCTTCCGTCCATTCCGACTACCTGGGTGTGGTGTAACACCCTTTGTCTTGTTCTCTCTCTCTCTCCTGTGTGTGTCTCTCTCTCTCTTCTCTCGTTTGTCTCATAAAACGGGTGTGTGTTCAAAGCTCCAGTCGCTATGTCGATGTGATCCAAACGCCCGCAGATGAGAAGAAACACGCCCCAAAAACAAAAATCCAAAAACCCGGATTAGACTTCCGGCTGTGCATGCATTCTCGCATTCCCTCTCTTGCATCGCTGAAATATGTCCAAACGCTTTTTTCGTTGCCGGCTGTTGATCCCTCAACGAACCAGAACCGGCATGCATCAAATATGATTACTGTTGTCATTAATCGCCTCCTTCTCCTTCTCAGGCCGTCTCTTTTGTTTCATGCCTTTGCTCATCTCTTTAACTGATGATGACATCTCTGCCGGTAACCGAATAGCTCGTCTGATACATGCACCGCTGAGGCGAAGTCTCGGGACAGTTGCCGTGAAACAGCATCTGCCCGCCCCCAGCGACGCTCGTCGCGCCGCCGGGCGCCGTGAGGTTGAAGTCGCCCGTCTTGAGCAGCATCCTCGACGGCCGCTGGTAGGGGCCCTTGATGTTCCTGCTGGTCGCGTAGTTGACGTTGTAATTGTTCGAGTTGAAGCAGAAGCTGCTGAAGAACAGGATATACAGCCCGTCCTCGGTGCGCACCAGGTCCGGCGCCTCCACCAGCGGTCCGTCGGCCGCCGTCCGGCTGAGGATCTGCACCGGGTCGCCGACTTTGCTGATGCCGTCCGCCTCGACCTCCTGGAGCATGATGGGCGTGTCCACGAGCGGCTCGACGCCGTTGTTGCAGTCGCCTCCGTTGCCGACGTTGTTGCCGTCCACCTTGTACACCACGTAGCGCTTCTTGGTCGGCTCGTCGTAGTACCCGGCAGCGTCGATGGCGCCCCCCTGGTCGAACGGACACACCCACGGCTCCGAAGTCGGCTTGTAAGGGCCCGTGACGATATCAGAAATGCCCACGCCGATGCAGTGCCGTCCGCCGCCGTCCTTGACTTCGCCAGAGTAGTACATGATGAAGCTGCCGTTGTCGAGCCTCCGCACGTCGGGCGCCCAGGTGTTGGACCCCGTGGCCCAGCCGACGTTGGGGAGGGCATCGTTGTCGAGGAGCTCCCACGAGCCGGAGATCTGCGTGGCTTTCGCGACCTGGATGTTCTTACCGTTGCCGTTGGTGGCGAAGGAGTACCAGAGCCCGTCGTCACCCTGGACGAGGGCCGGGTCTGGGAAGTCGGTGTTGATCTTGGGCGTGAGGACCTTGTCGTCTCGGCCGACGACGTAGAGGGCGTCTACTGGTGCGCCGAGAACGGGTTGGAAAGCTCCTAGACTGAAGATACCTGCTGCGAGGAGGGCATATTGCCGTAGTGATGTTGTTGAAAGCATTGTAAACATGTGTATCTCTTTATCTCTCTCGCTCTGGGGTATAATAGATATTGACAATTATGTATAAGAGGGGGGTATGATATAAACAAGGCACAAAACGGTGCAAAACAGATGTCGAACTAGACCAAAGACCTCGCGTCCAAGAACAAGATAGTCTTTTTCCTGGGCTGGTAATGAGAAGGGGTCTTTCTGCGTGTGGTAGGTAGGGTGTCTGGGTTGTTTGTACTCTTTGAGGGAAGAAATTGGAGCAGGTCTATTAGAATCCAATTACTGAGTACACATTACTTGATCATAAGCAAAGTGCTGCCGTCATGAGTGTCATAGCGAACTTCGAGAAGGAAAACGGTTTCGAGGATCGTACGGACGAAGGGCCCTTCTTGTAGTCAAACAAAACAAGAGCACATACACATACAAGCTACAGCTACAACAGTTTACACCCCGAAGAAGAGACTGACAAGTTTGATGCGTGCGCGAGTGTGTGTGGGTATAGGTGTGTAAGAGGACGAACCCGCCCCCTTCCCCCTTGGCCGGAAACATGTACCATTGGGAAATCTTTTTCCTTGCTCTAAGCTTGCGCCCAGCTCTCAGCTATGCAGGAATGAGATTATCACTGCAAATGCGTGTGGAGAGAGAGAGATCGTTGAGGGAAGCTCCAGCAAGTAGCAGGAGGAGGATACCTCTCACGGATTGTGGTGGGCTCTGTTCCATGGCACGTCAAAGCAGATGATGCTTGAAACAGGTGGGCCGGGGTGTCGTCAAAGTGCGTGGCAGCTTCTCACACTTGCGCCCTTCTCTCACTCCTCGACCGGATACCCGAAGCTAGAACTTCTCTCCCGGCATTAAGATCCCTTCTTCCTATTTTCCCTGCTTGGAAGATCAATTTTTACACTCGTAGGGCTCGGCGCGCGTCAGATGGGCTCCGTCGGGGTGGTCAGATAGCATCCTGTTAGGCTTCCTCCCCACGATAATCCAATAGTGCTCACCTTTTTTGTACATCAATTCTCCTAGTCCACGTTAAGGTAGAAAATTTGCCCAGATCGGAGAAAAAAAAAAAGGATTTGCATAGCATGCATAGGATTCCGGCACCCATCTTCCGCCCCATTCCTCTAGAGCGCAGCCACATAAGAGACTGTACCCTTGATATAGAGTTAATCCTTGTTGTTCCCGACTCCCGCGTCGTCATGGGCAGGAAAGGAGGCTCTTGGGGGGACTTGGGTCGGGTTCAGACCGCGGTGCCACACAGGATGTACTTTGGTCGACCGGGATGACGGTAGTGGCTCTCTCCCAAGTCGACGGACGGTGACCGGGGGTTGAGGGATGGGTAAGTTCTGTAGGTCCACGGGGAGATCTTCCACTGGCGGTGTCGGCGCCCCGCTGATCGGGCATGGGCGAAGCAGGGCGTGAGGGATGAGGCGCAACAGGAACCGGCATTCATTGATCCTGGAGGCCGGGGGGCACGGGGGCTGTGAAGGGGGGGGAATGATTTGCATCCATACTTGGTCCCAATACACGTGCCTAGAAGACTTCAAGACGTCGAGGAAACGACGAAAAAAGAGAGGACAAGACACCAAAAAAGGCGGGGGTGACGTGCTGCCACGAGTGCCATCTCAGGGGAGCATTGAGAAGGATCCGCACCTCCAGTAATTATACCCGGTCACGGTATTCTTGGTTGCATTATACCCAATTCTACGAGGCATCAAGGAGGGTCAGTGGCAGTTGCTGCTGTTTCCTTGGTTGGCCAAGGCATGTGGTCTGAGACATGCTTGGTGACAATGCTTCCTTGTACTTTTTCCCTTCCCCTTCATGGTTGATAGGCAGATAGTGTGATAGGGTAGGGAACCCGTCTTCGGACGAAGGACGGAACACGTATATTGGCGCTGTTTATGACTGAGATTCCCAAACAAAACTCGTTCGGACGAGATCCACGTTGGTCCGGGACCCGAACTGTGCTGCAGTCTGAAATCCCGCTGGGATGCTGCCGGGAGTACGTAAGTCCCTACCCAGCGTTTTGCGTGTGCCTTTGTTTCAACACCCTTTGCTCAACAACTCCTGATATGTTTGCGATAACGTCGAGACAGTGACAGCCTCTGGTTAAAACGTGAACTGATGCGACAGTAGTAGTCGTCACTTTTGCTTTCCGTATAGGACCTATCTACTCCTATCCAGCCAGTACGCACTATGTTCAGAGACAGAAAAATTCAGAGCCAAACGCCACTTGCCAAAGCCATTTTTTTATGATACAACAGCCAACCACCGACCATTGCCAACAAACACATGGTATCTTAGCCAATCGAGGTGAGGAAACTCGCAGGAGCTTACTCGCTGTCGTCATCGTCGTCAGCACCACCCTTGGCTGCCTTCTTCGCGGCCTTGGCCGCCTTCTTCTCAGCCTTCCGACGCTTGCGCTCCGCCTTCTCGTCGCGTGTCTCGCCCTCGTGCTTCTTGCGTTTCTTGGACTCGCCATCATCCTCGGCATTGGCAGGGGTGACTGCGGCGGGAGTAGCTGTCGTAGACTCCACCGCCTTTTGGGGAGTGGCCGGAGCCGCCGCTGCAGGAGCAGCCTCACCAGCAGGAGCTCCGAAGTCCTTGTACTCCGACACCCACTTGGCGGGAGTGGCCTCGTTGGGGCGGCCGTACTTGTCGAGCTTGCCGTCGGCCTTCATCTTCTTCTTCTCGGAGGCGAGGGGACCAAGACCCCATCTTCTGGGGTACAAGTCGCGCTCCATGATGCATCTCTTGACCTTGGCAACAACGCCGTGATCTGTTTTTCATTAGTCAAAAGAATCATAAGGTTGCAATGGGAAGAGAGAAATCTTACCGCATGTCGACATCTCGACGGTGGACATCTGAGCAATGCCGAGGGCGATGGCCTCACCCTTGGTGGTCATGAGAACGACCTCATCGTGAACCTCAATTTCGGACTCTAGAAAAGCGGATCAGCATGTCAATCATATGTGACATCGTGGGGTTGACAACTCACCGTATCTCAGAAGACCGGGAAGCATAAGCTTAGCACCGTAGCAGACAGCGTTGACCTGTGAGGTACGTCAATATCAGATGCAACGGCGATTCATGTGTTTAACGTGACTGAGACATTGTCCGCAAAGTCGCATCGGGCCGTGAGGGGTTTGGAGAGAGGGGTTGCAATGGATTACTTACAGCGCTGTCCTTGACCACAACACGCTTGTAGCCAGTGAGAAGAGTCTCCAGGGGAGAGATGACCTTGCGCAGGTAAGACTCATCCCTGGTGTTGTCCATGGTCCACTGAGCATCAAGCACGTCGTGCAGAGTAACCATCTCCTTGCTCTCGCCCATGGCACCAGAGCGCACTCTTCGGAGCTCCTGCATGTGGCCACCAACACCGAGCAACAGACCCTAATCCATGTAAGCAATCAGAACAAGGCTGAATTAACGACAATCAATGTGACGTACGAGATGGACGCAGAGGGTACGGATGTAGGTTCCAGCTTCGCAAGAAACCCAGAAGACACCGAGGTGGCGATCCTGTGATTGAGACACGGTCAGCAGTCGTTTCCTAATGTTGTAGCAGATCGACGTACATTGTCGAACTCGATGAGCTTGCTCTCGTGAATGGTACGGATACGCAGCTGACGCTTGACGGCAGAGATCAAAGGAGGGCGCTGGAAGAGGGCACCAGTCAAAGCTGCATCGCGAGTCAGAATACTTTCGGCAGTTGCGACGGGGTTTCTTGAATCAACTCACTCTCGAGAGCGCGGGCGAACTGGACCTTGCCGCCGGGCAGCTTGTCGTGAAGGCGAATGACGGCAACATACTCCTTACCAGCAGACTGCTGGGACTTGACGAGTCTGGTAGCACGGTCGACGCTGGAAAATTTCGTCAGTTGCAATTCTCCCTCATGGAATGCTCCATTAGATTTTGGTGGGTTGCTGCTCACCAAACAATCAAGCAACCTGAGAAAGTTAGCAAAACACGTTCGAGACAGTTATGTGGGAACGCGACTCACCAGTGACCTTGGGATCAAGGGTACCGCTGTGACCAGTCTTCTCAACGCTGCACAACAGAAAAACATGGTTAGCGATGTTCTCCCGACAAAACCCAGAATGTTCTGAAAGATAAGCGAATGCCCCTCAAAATCGTTCGATCGCGTGTTTTCTCGGTTGACAGACGGCAACGGCAGTATCCGCAGTCCCAAGACGTCGCAGTCTCATGGTGGTCCGGGCAAACGAGTTCCGACGATTGCTTCGCGAGGCATGCCTTCCCATGGCAATTCACGTCTTTCCCAACATGACATGCTAGTCGCTGTTGCCATATGTCCGTGTAGGCCGTGACCATCGGATCGCAATGTCGTGGGAAGTTTTTCACCGGCAAGTCCCCGACCGCATCGTGTGGAGCCATCTGCAAAATGCGTCTTGTCGCCGTGGGAACTCGCTGACCAGGTGCCACCATTGATGCCAGATTTTGATGCTGGGCATTGCCGCAGAGAGATTCGTCTTCGATGTCGGGAGCTAATCGTACGATCGGGCGCGGGGCATTGCATTCACGAACACAACAACGAAGGGGTGGGAATTGCATACCGAAGGATACGCTTGACCCAAGCGACAACCTCGTGGGAACTGGGCTATGCGATAGTTAGCACGCTTGAATAGACATATAGAGTATCGCGACTACGGAGACATACGTTGGAGGGCTTGTCAAGGTTGATGACACCGGAAGAGATGTAGGACTTGATGTCTCTCTTCAGAGGGCTGCATCCTGCCGGAATGGGGGTGAAGTGACCCGTCCGGACGAGAACTGCAAGAAGCCTGGTCAGTCATTTGTTTGTGATGCTGTTGACGAGCGGTTGCTCCATATCCAAGAAGAGGGAGAAAACTTGCGCTTGTCGTAGTTCTTGAGCAACAGAGGCCAGCTGCTCGTATCCAGGTGAGGGACAGAGGCCTGGGGCTTGATGGCGAACTCCTCCTCCTCGCCGTGCTTGACAATTTCCATGGCCATTGTTTCCGAATTGGACCGAAACCGACAAAGGCGTGTCAGGTGCAATGGGTGTCTGACGTTGGCTCGTGAACGTCGGAATGGAAGGTCTCGTGGTGTTGGAGGACTTGAAGCTTCCCAATCCAAATTTTTTTTCTCTGGCTGTGGGGTGGAAGCTGCCAAAAAAATCCGTCTGGATCCACAATGTGGCGCGGTGTTGCCATTGAGCGAATACGATTGGTCACGCTTTAATGCCTAGCCACACAGCGGACGCGCCTTGCACCGTTCCGCCTTCCTCAGCCAGGGACCGGCCGTCTTGCAAGAAAACTTGGAAGGAAAGAACAGCCAAAGAAAGTGGCTTGTTATCGTTATCAACGACACCTCCACAAGGGTCATGGGACGAATGACGACAGGCTCTTGAGAATCACAATCACTCACACCCACCACTCGTATCATTCAAACATCCATCATCACAGTGGATTTCTGATATTATCTCAGATGTATTGCCAGTAGACTGGCCTAGGCCTATGCTGCTATTAAGCCTTCAAAGCTGATGCTAATCAATCGGTATCGCCGACTCCTAACTCCCGCTAAAACAAACAAATACTAGATGCAGGAGCGACACGTTCCATTCCACGATACCTTCGGTACCATTTACGTTGCGCATCAGAGGGCATATCCTCTCCGCAGATCCTCCTCTGTCAGACCGTGGTAGGCCGCCGGGTTGTGTTCAGCGTACACCGTGTGCGCCGGCTGCTGGACATTGGGTGGGCTTGGGTACCTCTGTCGGGCGTCCCACTCAGGCTCAACATCTCTCATCTCGTACGACTCGGATCGCTCTTTTCCTTTCGAGTCATTCCACCTCTGCTCTTGATTATCTCCTCCGAACGCGAGACCAATCTCTTGAGGTTGCCTTTGGGGGTTCGCGTCGTTTACCGGCCATTGCATGGCAGGTGCCTCGGCACCGCTCACTGGGCTGTTGTACTGAGAAGAGTATGGAGAGAAGTATCTCGTGTACGGTTGCTCCCCATTGGCACTCATCGGTGAGTCGTCCCATCCACGAGAAGGCCCTTGGCTCTGCGGTGAGGCGTCCCAGGTTCGCAAGGGCTTCTGGCTGAGGGGAGTACCGCCGATGCCACTGGTATTCAGCGGCGTTGGCCATCCGGACCGACCGCCGCCACTCTGCTGTTTCATTTCAAGCGTCTTCAAGAATGCTCTACGTCTCCTCTTCCCGTTCCACACGATGCAGAAACCTGCAACGACAAGCAGGAGGACAACGCCTCCGATCGCAATGCCGACCTTGCCGCCGAGACTGATGGGGCCGCTGTTGTAGTCTGAGACGTACGTATTTGTCGGCGTAGGCTCCGTGATGTTGACTCGAGTTTTCGAGAATGGAGACCCGTCAACAGAGATTGTAGTGCCGGGCACAGGTTTTTGCTGGCAGCCCGCGTCTAGGATGGTAAGAACTAGGGGTTTGTCAGTCAACCGCTAACACCAGGGTCGTTGCGATACACACAGTTGTTGATAAAGTTATTGTTTCCTGCACGGAGACACGATGAACAGCTGGCGACCTGGTTATGATCCCAGACATCACAATACTCAAACTCGGTAACGTTGGAAGCCAGATCACTGTAGGTGATTGCCTTTTGCAGTGGCTCGCACGCAGTCCTATTCGATGGTTATTAAATATCACAGCTTACGGAGTCATTGCTAGACATACCTTGTGAGACATGGGCTCGATCCGACATTGGGGTTGTCTGGATATCCAAAAGTACAGTACGAAATGGCGTATCGCAAATTATCTACACCGACAAGGTCAGCTTCCTCTCCAGCCTGGAGCCTAGATAATGCACATACACAATGCCCATTGCGTATCTGTCTCGTTGGTGCTGGTCGCAAAGTCACTGGTCAACTCGCAAGACACACATTGCTGATAGACAGAACCGGCGCTGCTGGAGTACGAGTGCTCGTCGCATACAACGTCGTTTTTGGTCGTCGCATCGAGTACGTTGCCGCATAGTGTCTGGCAAGGTGAACCAGTCGCCACGTGGATAGCCGATACCTGGCTGAGGGCAAGGCCTAGCACAAGGGCACCCGTCGTGGGACGCATTTTGGAAAGAAAAAGCGAGGGTGGTTATGATACTGGAGTTCACCGGTGGGACCGAAGTATCGCTAACGGGGCAGGCTGCCGCAACGCACGAAAGAGCTTTGCTCGGAAGTCAATCGCTGAGGGCGAAGATGCCTGTCTTACATGCCTGCGGGGGGGCGAACGGGGTCTGACAGGGCTTTTGTGGGAAACTTGAGTCTGGCGATATGGTCGCTGAGATACTAGCACGACTAGCTCTAGGAACGCTTCCGATGTGACGAGACGTGATGAGAGATCGCGAGCTATGCGAAACCACGCCTCATATGTGTTTCGGTGTTTGCAAGAGAGAAGGTGGAGGAAGTGTGATTGTGACGAGAGGTGGCAGGTTGGCGCGAGGGACCCATCCGTTCGTTCACTTGGATGGAGCACGACTGCATCTGCATCTTGTTGGCTGCTCAGCGCTGTTGGTGTAGAGTGTGATTGGGGTCCGAACGAAGAGGGACACGCAGGTTTGGGGTGGCACAGTTCGATGGCGGGATGGGCACCATAGTCTACCGGACATCGTACAGAACCTTGAGCGAGAGGGGGAATTGCCCATGGTCATCCATCCCTCTTCGGTTCTTCGCCAACGGCCCGCCCGCACTAACAAACTCACAGTACCTAGGATTGACTGAAAGACTGAGCTTTGGTTGTGCTGAGTGGCCAAAGGCAATACTCTCACCTGTTCACACCGCTGGCCCCGGCCGGGTAGAGTGGAGACTCGGGGACGGATCTCTTCGTCGTTGCTGGTCCTCCTAGCGCCGAGGTGGAAAGTGGCGTGCAGACAAACTACCTCCTCCCAGCCACTCACAATGCAGCCATCGCCCAATACGACAGTGCTAACATGCACGAATCCCTGTCCTATTTCACACCTCAGCACTCACTTCCAGTGCGGAATCGCCCATCCGGTCGCTTATTGGACATGGCTTGGCCTGCCTTTTTACCAGATGAGGCCCGTTGGACGGCCTAGCGCCCTGAAGGCACATAATTCTTGGCTATCCTGGTATAGCTGTGCTGTACAATCACCGACGACCAATATGTTGGAAGATGTGCCTGGAGGTTGCGGATGTCAAGTTCAGGAACAAGTCCGTCAAGCAAACACACGATACCCTCATGCATCTCAGCGGCGTCGAGCGCAATAATGCTGGTATTGACCTGATCATCGCCTCGTTCAAAAGCGATGTTGGTTCTCTCAGGATGGCGATATTTCCTATCCTGGCCTCTGCCGGGCGGTTAACCGTTGTTTCTTCCAAGCGCCGCTTCCGCAACCGCCATATCATGAGCTCGTGCCAGACTCTCGGGTCGTTGACTAGAGAACTTAGTACGTCAGACATTGATGAAGATTCACACTCAATAGGCACTCGGTAAGGCTCAATGGTTATTGATGCACACTAATATTGTTTGGTGACTGGCACCGGTGGTTCTTGGGCTAGTAAGGAGCAAGGAATTCAAGTTATTGTGAGGCCGTCATTTGATCTGGAATAATTACAAAAATGAATGATGGAAATCATTAGCTGTGCGCCGTCCGGGCGAGTGATATCTGCCAAACACCGTCTTAACACCGTACTGTTTTCAGGACCATCCCGTCATTATTCCCGCTTGTGATGTCCTCCGTCTTACCTCTTGACCCGGTTCATGCGTGCTCATTACTTGCCAAACTCCCCGCTAGAAAAGACTGAATGTTCAGGCAACGACAAAGGAAAGATGCCACACAGTTGCTGTACTCTGTACCGAAGACGAAAAGCCCGCGCTACGCCGCTACCTTTGCAATATCGGCTGTCTTCATTAGGTTTCTATCAATGCACCTTAGGTCGGCGAGGCCTGGAGAGAAGCCAGGAGAAACGGAGTGCCCATACTGAACGTCGTCTACCGGGCGAACGAAGATCATGGCTGTCGGCGTTTTGGGTTCAAAGAAAGGCGTGGAAGGGGACCGACTCGTCGTCGATACAGTTTCGACGGTCTCTGCCAACGAGTTCGCATCTCCAGACGTGGTTTCATCCGAAACCGACTTCTCCGTGTTCTGGCGGATGTACTCGTTCAAGAAATCAAACTTGTTGGCGCCAGGAGTTCGTGGAGGAAGAAAAGACACGGAGCTTGGAGATCCTAGATCCGGGGCTACGATTCTCCGAGGGACAATGATGTCGCCAATTCTGTTAGAATCAGAGGCGTCATGAAGTCCATGAACTGGACAACTAGGGGATCGAAATGAATCTATCCTTTCGAATGATGGTTGCGGAGTTTCTCTCGAGACGTTGGATGGCTTCGGCGCGGCGGACTCCCATCGGCGACTCTCGCGACGAATGACATCTGAAGTCTTCGATTCCGGCTGAGGAGTGCTAATGCTCGTGGCCGGCTTGCTGGTAGTGTATTTAGACGAGGGTTGTCTTCCACGGCTAACAGTACGAGACGACGGTCCGGGTTTGTATTGCTGGCTGGCAATCGGCGTCCTGGATCGATGACGACCTACCGGCGGCGTTTCTCGACTGCTAACATTTGCCGAACCGCTCCTGGCCCGGCGGCCTGTGGAGGATAGAGGCTGCGGAGTCGAAGGCTTCTGCGAGCTTGTGACCGAGGCGGATTGGGGACGAGTGGCTTCACTGTCAAGAATGCTCGGGCTTGCAACAATCATGATGGAGGAGAATTCCTTGGCAGATCGGTTTCGACTTTCACCCCGAGGCTTGGAAGGCGACCGTCGATCGGCCTGGACAGGTTCGTTATTAGGAGGACGGCTTCGACTTCGATTTGCGGACTCGGATCTCCGAGAAATCGCTTCCAGGTGGTTAGCGATCGCTGCAGCTTGATCCCGGTGAGCGAGGGCCGAATCGGAGCGGTCGCGGACTCTGGAACGACTTGCATGACGAGACTTGGGAGAGGAAGGGCGATCAGGGATCGAAGCCTCATGCGAAGACGTTACCGATAAGACTTGTCTGCCGCTTTTCGGTGCTTCTGGTGTTTCCGGAGGAGGCGACTTGAGCTTGCGAGACCGTGTTTCCTGCTGCGAGCCAGTCTCTTGTGCTTTCGTCGATGAGAAGTGTTCTTGTTTGACGGTGACTGAAGTGACAGCAGTACGAACTGTGTGAGAGGTGTGAGAGCGCCTATACGGGTCGTTCCAAGGGAGAGAATGAAAGTCTCGCTGGATTTCCTGGGGAGAATCTGGGGTTATCATCCGGCCTCGTGTCTCATTGACGCTTTTCGAAAGCATTTCCGGTGGACGCCAGAAGTACTGCGGCGACACAGGAGATCTAGCACTGTTGGGAGAATACTGGCTGAAAGCGGCTTCGGCGACTGAAACATGACCTCCGTATATACGCTTCTCTCCGTATCCACCTAGATACTCACTCAGAGGGTGAGCGCTGTCGGGATAGGGGGTACTCTCGGCTGGTGGTCTTCCATTGGAGACGACGGAGCGCTCGGACAGTACAGAGTGTACCGAATAAGCGGACCGACTACTGTCAGGAACTGGACTTCTGGAGTTGTCATCCGCCGAGAAAGAAGGGATAGTCAATTTCGGCCGGACTGACAAAGGCGTCGGGCTCGGAGCGGTAGGCGTGAGAAGAAGAAAGGCATCAGCACCCGGCGATTTTGACGGCAACCCATACGGACCAGCACTTCCGGGAATCTGGATCTGCGGTGGCTTTGTGCGCTTGGAAGGCAAAGCTACGTGCTTGGCGACAGAATCTTGGTGTTTACTTCGCCGCCTTTCGCCCGAGGATTGAGAAGAAGTGTCCTGGTCTCCGTTGGATGGAGGTTGTTGTGGTGAAGTTGGCGACAGCGATCCAAAGGGTGTGCCCGAGTCCCCGCCAGAGTCCCCATTCATTTGTAGTTCTCCATGCAAGACAGATGGCTTATCAACCTCTGGACGGTAGACGAGCTTTGCATATGGTGGGTTGTTGGTGTCGACAACCAACAGTTCCTTCTTCACGACCAAGCACGCCGTAAATCTTGACCTCACCATCCTGAATACCGATGACGGCACTGGTCCCAGCGTAGACAACCTCATCTTCGATTCCCGTGCGGTTGCAAAAAACGACAATGATTTCTTCGTGGCTTTCTGTCCGAATAAGAGGTTCCAAGCGCGTAACCCAATAGGTGAGGGTGTCCATGTCGGGTTCGTTGGGCATTCGGCTGAACATACGTCCATCCTCTCGGGTCATCCATGCCATGGAGACAATCACCAAGTTGGACTCGCATTCCGCAACGTGGAAGGCAAACTCGAACTCATGCCAAGGTGATTCAAATCGGTAAGGGCTTGAAAAAGTTAGTGGTGAAACACGATTGGGTTGTGTAACCTACTTCAAGTCCATGCCTAGTTGCCAATGATTAGCACAAGTTTTGTTCAAAGCAAGTCCATGGGATAATACTCACAGATACAGATGCCGATGGACGTGTTACCCAGGCCAGGCAAATAGCCATCGAAGAATCCGTCGCCTTCCAAAGCCCACGTCTCGTCCGTGTAGTAGAGAAAACTCTTGCGATAATTGGCAATCGTTTCGCCCTCTTCGTTGACAACAATAGCCGCATTGTAGTATTCGGGGCTCGTCGGCCAGTTTTGGGAGACGTCAACCTTCTCTGGATACCCGGCAAGGACTGTACAGTTGTACTTCAAGGCAGTTGTTCGAGCCCATAGTGAAGTAATACCGGAACCGGAATGTTCGAGGAAAGGCGAGATCTGTTGCAACGACTTGAAATTGTACCCTGAAGCTTGTTAGAAATCCGTAGCCGCCGGTCGTAAGCGCGTAAGAGAGCCACGTCTCCCTCTCTCAAAGACCATCTTCAACAAGCTTTGAGATGCCATAGCCAACCCAGGCTCATAAAACAACATACCTGAGAAAGCCAGCTCAGGCAACACAAGAAGATCGAGGTCGTCGGGGTTTGCCTTGTTCAAGACAGAATCGGCTCGGTTGAGGTTATTGTCGACATCTCCCACCTGGGGCGCAAACTGGAGGCACCCTATCCTCATCTTCAATCCGCAAGTCCCAGCGCAATGAGTCCACGATCCGGTCGAGTACTCCAACGGTTGATTCCACTCGACCACTCGCAGACTTCACCACAACTGGGAAAGGCGTCAGATGTTGCAATAACGGAAACATGCAAACGATGATATTAAGAGGAGAGGTAGAATCGAGCAAGACAAATGTTAGTTATCAAGAGAGAAATGGGTGTCTGAGGTGAACCAATTTGGTTAAAGGCTGCGTGGGGAGCAGCGACAATATGGGGGCAGCGGGGAAGGTTTTTGTGACGTGCGGTGTGACCATGCGGGCAATTTTCAGTTACATTGCAGACAGCAAGTGCCTGCCTCCTCCAAATGTTTCTTCCTCCTACGACTGGCCGGATAGGCCGTCTTGACAGTCAACGCGCGAAGCGTCAGTTAAGGGGTAATGCGTCGTGCATGCGTCCCTCTCATCACCCGTTGGCTGGTCTCACTATCAACGTTGCTGCTGCGATGCTCTCGTGGTCTTTCCCCGGCACATCGGTCTACTAGGTTGCCATTGAAGGAGCGACCAAATCCCAATGTCGTTAGGTTTGCACAACATGGCCAACAGGAGGAGGACGTTTGCCGCCGAAATCTCCAGGGGTCCCTCTGTAGCGCCTCAACTATTCGTCAACTCGATAGACACTCGGACCAGGCCAGTGAAATATAGCGCTAAAATGGGATATCCCTGCCTCTCGTACGCTTCTTTCGGCACGGCACACGCGCCAGTTCGTCCCAGTCCATCATGATGCAAACCCGTTGCCCAGTGGCTGGGAGCGTCCCGAAGAGATCAGAATCTCCATCTCCACACGGGAGCAACTTAGCCTCATGGTCTTTCGTCATGACCATACCCGCTTTTGTCGGGCTGTCTGTGGGCATTCGGGCAATCTCAGGGGTCCGGTTGGCTCCGAATCTGAGCCCCTTGCTGTGCCGCGTCCGTACATCCATCTTCTCATCCAGGTTGCTGGAACCTATCTAGTACTGATACAGCGCAGTTGTTCACAGTCAGCCCTAGCGCAGAGGCTTTGGCCGCTGTTCTGTCGTTACATTCGAGAATCGGCAAGGTCTGTCAGGAGACCGTTGTCAGAAGCAGAATCTGTTCGAAAATATGAGGGCCGTCGACGATATAAAGGCACATGCTCAGTTTTGGTGTTAGGGCGATAACTCAAACCACCAGATATACTGAAAGCAAAGGAGTTGTGTTGCGTCCATCTGAATAGACTTCACATGATTGGTCACCCGTCACTAGTCGAGTGTTGTGATGGCCAACTTCTCATCGACCGGAACCACTTGACGATGGTATTCTGAACATACTTCACCGCCTTTTTTGAAACTACTAACATGAATCCAACAAGATCTATGCGGAAAAATGTATGATCTTTAGCAAGAATCAACGTCATTGTCGGCCTTGCCAACAAGTGCTGTTTCGCGGGCTTGACACTATCGACCATTCCAACATCGTACCTCTGGCGGGAAACTCGTCGTTCTTATTCGCCAGACATGCGCTGCGCCCGAACAGGGCGAAGTCGCACACCAGAAAGCTCGCTCAGCTAGACGGCGCGTAGTCAGCCCATGGTGCCTCTTCGCTAGAGGCTGGGAACCCTCAGCACACAGTCGTGGAACTTTTGGATTCAACTTGGCTTTTGAAGACACAACGCTCATTCGTCCTCAACGCTGTGTCCTGAAACATAAGAACTCCCCTGCGGCAGGACTCAGGCTTTCCTCGCTATTCGCTTCGCTCTCTTTACTAACTTTTCGTCGCTCTTTGAGAAAAGCAGTGTTGGAGCGCACTCGCACCTTCGGAGGTTGCCCGGTGAGCTGCGGATGCAACACAACTAGACGCTGATATGACTTCATGATCACAAGTATGAGCTTGTCCATTCAAAGGTCTCAAGGAAACATGGTAGTATTAGCGTCTCCTTTCCCCCGACCCTGATCCTGATACTTGCTCGATTCCCATAACATACATCTTTACATATTCCACCCATTATGTTCTTCAGTACCACAGTCGTTGACTGTACTCCAGCCTATGCTCTGGTCAAAGACTCATCAAATGCTTCAGACATGTTGCCTAAGTCTAAGAGCACCTCGGACTGCTCTTAGCATAGGATACAGACATAATTACAAGGCACTTGGCTCCGTCTCTTAATACGGAGAGGCAGGTCTAGGTCCATTGTCACCCAGAATGATGTTTTTGCTAACATCGTTGAATCCATAGAATGCTCTCCTGTCATGGTGTACACTGCAGATCATGTCAGCTTCATTGGGGTCAGAGAAGGAGAGCTCAAATCTTACTTCATCAAGGTCATGACCGCCTCATCCGTAGTCTCGTTGTGACCCCAAGAAACCGTCCACCCACCGTAGCCACAGGCTGCGTCAGCGAAGCTCTTACCCAGGGGCACAGTTCCTTCAAAAAGGGCAATGATCAGGAGGCACTGTTCGGTCAAAGGACCACTCTGAATGCCGAATCTCATGATAAGTGCATCGCTGTAAGGGATTCCTCGGTTGAATTCATCTTCGCAATATTGTTAATAAGTTATACATCGGCCTGAAGCCAGCACAAACTCACATCTGATGAAGTCCTTAATCTTCCAGCTGGGAGCGTATGCCATCTCACTCTCTTCCTGGCTGGCCATGACCTCTCGCTTGGTGGAGAACGGATAATCGAAGACCTTAGACTGCTGCGGCGTCGCCGCCTCACCAGCCCACAGCTCTTCATCTCTGAAAGCGAAGAAAGACAGGAGCCTCCTCGGATCGTCGATGACCGTCAGCGTGATGAAGCCTTGCTCGTCCCAGCCGCCATTGATGGAATACTCGGGTGCGCTCGGGCACTTGAGGGACGAGAAGTCGGTCTGGTACGCGCGGAGTCCGCCGGCGGCGTCAATGTCAAAGTTGCAGTACTTGGGCACCTTGGCCGCGTCTTCGGAGATGAGGAAGTCGTAGCTGCACCGGCTCTGGTCCGCTGCGCAAGTGCGTCGGAAGTTCAGGAGGGTCCAGTCTTCCGGGTTCGGGGGCTGGGCGGGCTCGACCGGGACCGCAATGGTCCGGAAGGCGAGAGTAGCGAGGACGACGATGGCTGACTTGAAGCTCATTTTGATTTCTTCAACCTTGTGGATTGGATGCTGTTTTGTAGGTATGCCGTGTGATAATAGATCTCTGGATCAAAGTGAAGAGATGCCTTCCTCTTTTATAGCTTCGATATTGAGGGAGTTTGGACTATCGTAAGCCAGAGTCACCTCATACCCATCAACGGCCATGAAGTCAAAGTGTCTGACGAGAGAACTCCAGCTTGTTTCCCACCAGCAAAAGTTCTGACTGTGAAGCTTGACCCTTTCCAGTGTACGACACAAACGGTCGCTGTCTGATAGTCTATACGAGCCCGAAGCGGACAGAGGCACAAACATATCAAACTGGCCGAAGCAGCTCCGTCTTCCGAGCCTTAACGAGCCAGTCAGAGCGAACTCTATATAACATCAATCTGCCAAACATGGATTTCTCACCCTGACGGGAAGGGAGTCAATATGAAAATTGGGGTCTCGTGTCCCGGAAGAGCTTGAGATAAATTCCGTGCTATGGTCCCTTGGGCCCAGAACGGGTATTTGCCTTGTGTAAATGAAATTTGAATCTCCCAGAAGCAGTCTTGGCTCTCTAGCATCAGAAGAATCGTCTTGACTGTTTGGGATCCAGTGCAACAATTGATGATGCGCGTGGACGAAAGCCGATTTCACATCCTCCATGAGTACAAAGGGGCGTTGGGTGATGCCTAAGAAGCATGGCGACAGAAGCACAGGAATCTCATGCCAAATCGTACCTTTTGTGTGTAGCAAAATTGTGAGAGCCAGACAAGTCGGGCGGTCATGAACCAGGTTTGTGGTCGCACTGATTTGGCGACAAGATTGTGTCTTGGGACCAAAGCTGACCCTAAACAATCATGCAAGGACCCGATGAGAGTAACACGGCAGCCAGCCACGCGAAGTTGAAGCTTTTCCTGAAATCATATTCAGAATTACGCCCGGCTCCCCCTTCAGAGGAAAGTATCTGTCATGAGTTCCGATTTGTTGCTAGTAAGAGGGAACTCACACTTGGGTCGATAGACGCGACTCCCGTAGGTCTTTGATGAGTGAGGGCTGATAATCAGTGACGATTTCTCTGTGTCAAGAGAATAGAATAAGGTAGAGGCTGCACCCTATCTGGAACCTCATTCTATTCTCCATCGCGGGCATTGCGGACGACGGCCAATGAAGAGGAATGAGATATGTAGACATGTGCATATAAAGTTGGGTGCATCTATAAGTGAGTTCGTCGTGAGGGAGGCGAAGACGAGCAGGGAGTCGGCGTCCCTTATATACTTAGCGTCTTGCCTGATAATACGAGCACATAGTGACTGCTATGCATAGCGATTTCGACGTCCGATGAAAGAACGAACGCAATATCAGAATAGAGCAAGCTATCGACAATATTGCGCAGCGGACCTTCATAAAATTCGTCAACTTCAGTTGTTGTCGAAATGGAGGTGTTCGCGCACACCAGGCGGGAAGTTACCCCTCCATGCCCTCTCAACCATGGAAAGTGGACAGTGGTTGGCGCATGCAGCCACCATCACACTCGCTTCTATTCATGGACACCCGCCTGCAGGTGACAGCCATACAGAACGGTCCCAGGACGGCCCCCAAGCAAATGAGGGAAATCCGGGTGTAGTGGTTGCCACGATCCGCCGTCTTAATCAGCACGCCAGCCGACAGAGGTCGGTCGCATTGACTTCGTTCTCGCGGCAGCGGCACCAGGCTCGGGCGGGACGTTTTGCTGTCGTTGGCCGATAGACGCGTTGTTAATACATCGTGAATTATAATATGTGTTGGTTTGAAGGAAGCTTACTTACATACTCACTTACTCATGTGTATGAATCCTCCAAGCCATCGCAATCCTATTGTGAGAAATAAATAAGAGAAAGTAATCTGCGGGGAGTCAATCCTTCGCCGAAATCCCATCATCCCGAACATGCTGGATACTGAAGTTCTCTTTTGCCCAGGCTCGAAGGAGGAGTAGGTAGACGGAAGACATCCGAGCTGGCCCCCGTCGCCCGTTCAAGATCTCTAGTCGCGTGGCAATTTCGGCCGTGGTCAGAAGTGGTCTGATTTCCCCGCCGCCGGGCGTCTTTTAAACTCAGTCAAGCTGCCAGAATGCGGGCCCTCTTGGACGGGAAGACGGCCGCTAAGTGGCCTTTCGAGATACCTTGTTCAGTCGTTGACAAGGGTTGTCTTAGAGACTAAGACTAGGAAAGCAGGCCGCATGCCCGGCCGGCGCCTGCAAAACCACTCAATCCTGTTCACGAATCACCAGCTGCCTTCTCCCCGTTTCAACCTTTCCCGTGTGCCGCGTGCGTGTGTCTCTCCAGTCAGTCGACCATTCAGCATCTCTCGTTTGTTTCCCCCCCAGCCTACAATTCGTTTGGCGCTGTGGGCTTCCCTCGTTTCCTACTCTCTGATTCGTCGTGCTCGAAGCCTGGGCGCGATTACAACCGTCAAGGGTTCACAACTACGCGCCGTCTCATTGGACTCACGTTTCTACCCGCTCCCCCATCTTGGCTTCTTTCCCATTGCTATTCTCAGCTCTCTGGCGGAAATCCTCCCTCACCACCCCCGGGCTGGCCTGGACGATCTGGAGGAACGAAAATTGACGTGCGCCAGTGGATAGAGCCTTACCATCTCTGGACACCAACAGCTGCCCTCTTTGTGCTGTCTGCTGTCTCTCACCGGCTGGAGCCAACGCAACACTACCTTCCACTACCACACACCCTCAAAATAGACCAACCTCCATCTAACTACGTTCGCAATGCTTGCAGGTGCAGAGCCGCCTGCCTGTCTTGCATGGGGGATCAGCCGTGCCGTAATACTACCTCTTCAAGACCCGGCATTATATCTGCAATGTGTTCCCGCAAAAGTGAAAGGCGACGGGGTCTCTTCAGAGATGATGAACTTTTGACTGTCTCTTTGATGGTCATAATTCTGTCCGGTCTCACTCACGGGATAGAGTCTGTCATCTTTACTCGCCCATCGAGTTTCTCTCCCCATCAAGGGTGATATGCCATGCTGTTCAGATAATACCCCAAGCTTCACTTAATCCTACAACCCCCTCTCCCCTCCTCCCCTTCCGGCCCTCTTCCCATCTCAAGTCCAGACCAGCAGGACGTGGAAAGGGCAACATCATCATGGCCGTACCGTCTCTGTGGCATCTCCTGTTCGTATTCTCGCTTGTCACGGTCGTCCTCTCCCTCGAGGTTACACCCGACTCAGACTGTGCGGCGTTGTGCTTGGGTGGGCCAAACGGAACCGCAATCGATACAACGACATCAGGAACCAACTCGTCCGACATAGTCTGCGAAGACGACCAATATCACTCGACGGGCAAGGGAATCAAGTTTAGGAACTGCGTCTCGTGCCTTCAGAAAAGCCAGGCGTCCAAAGGGGCAGAGAGTGACGCCTCTTGGTTTCTGTGTAAGACCTTCTCTCTTCTTCTTTCGTGGAAGTATCAGTGTGGCTTTTGAGAATTCTTGGCTTATTTGAGATCGTTTAGACAACATACGTTACGCGGTAGACGTCTGCCTCTTTGATTTCCCAGACGCAATATCCCACATCAACTCCCCGTGTATCATCAACAGCGCCTGTCGACCTCTCAAGAACGCCCTCGCAACCGCCCTCACCACCCCAGACGCCAACACCGCGTACGACTACTGCACAGCCGACGGGGACAAGTTCTCAAGCTCAAACTGGTGGTCCTGTGTCAGGTGTCTGCAATCAAGCGACAGTCAAAGCTATCTCTCAAACTGTAAGTGGTAACACTCGATCCGGCGCCCCCTTTTCACAAACGAAAGACGACATATGCTGATGCCCACTTGAAGTCTTGATTGCCCTCAAAGCCGGCTGCCAGCAACAACCAGGCAACGGAACACTTCTCGGCCTGACCGGTCAGCTCTTCTCTACCGAGCCCGTCAACATCACAGACACGAACACGAACACGACTCTACCAGGCGACGGCGGCGCCTCCTCAACAACCATGACCCTCGGCACCATCGTCGGCATCGCCGTAGGCGGTGGTCTGGTCTTCGTCGGCGCCATCTGCCTCTTCGTCATCTACTGCCGCAAGCAGCGCAAGCAGAGAATGCAAGACGAAGCAGACTACCTGCCCCCTCACCACCAACACCACCCGCCCCGGAGCCACGCAAGCTCCTTCACAGCCATCAGCAATGGCCCTTACCTCCCCATCGGCGGCGGCGTGGGAGACCACAAGAAGTCCTCGTCCATCAACTCGTACAACTACGAGCTCCAGGAAAAGAACATCATCGCGAGCAGCAACAACAACAGCTTCAACAACAACGCAGAGTACTACGACAAGCTGGAGCAAGAGGTCCAGGCCGGCCGCGACATGGCCCACTACAACTTCGACCCGCACTCGGGCTTCCACGGCCCCGGCAGCGCCCTCCCGACGCACCCGGCGTACATCCCACGGGCCATGAGCCGGCAGTCCGGCCGGACCAACACGCCCACGCCCACACCCCCGCCGGCGAACCTGAACTTGAACGTGAACGCCGCGGTCCCGCGCAAGACCAACACGCCAGACTCGTACGCTCTGCAGACGTACCTGACAGCCACGGACGAGCCAGGCACAATGAGCGGCATCAGACCGCCGCCCCGCGCCGTCTCCCGGACGCCATCGCCTGCGAGATCACATGGATCACATAGCGATAACGCCAACAACACACCAAGGATGGTCAACATCCCGCCTCCGCCGCCGGGAAAACCGCCCGGACGGAAACAGTCCAGGAGGATCCCGTCCTTATCCCTCCCCTCGGTGCCGCGGATCCGCGTGCCGAAGCAGTACTCCCCGCCCTCCATCACAGTCCAAGGCGCCACGCCGATAGCGGACCGCGGCGAGAGGACAAACGAGATGCAAATCTCGGAACCCCTGACTTTCCACGAGGAGAGGTTCAGGGACGAGCCGCTCGCGGGCCGGTCGGCGATAATATCGCATCAGGTGCCGGTGCGGGTTGACCCTGAAGAGTATGAGGGTGATATGCCGATTCGGAGCGGCAAGAGTACTCTGTACGGATAAAAAGGACATTGAGTTAGGTAGTGGGTAATGTGTCCTTACAATGGCGCAAAGGAACAATCGGTAGTATACCAAGGATTGTACGGAATGGAGGACGGTTCTCTCTTTTTGATATCATGGAGTTTCTTGGTCTGGGTCGGTAATCTGTATGTTTATATCTAGCGTGCGAGCCTGCGACGTCAGGTGATCAAAGTGATCGAAAGGGTCATGGAACAAATACAATGTTCATCATTGATTAAGTCTATCGTACAACGACTATCGTAGCATGTGATTTAACCCAGACGTCTGCCAGGGCCCCTCGTCCTCCACGACTCGGGCAAAACACCGCCGCCCTGTGATACACCAGTGCTGCTACCCGAAGTTTGGGCAGAGCCACCACCACCGCGAACGGCAGTTCCGTATCCACGCTGATTAAAGCGAGGCGTCTGCACAAGACGAGACAGGAAGCCGGGTGTAGGAATCAGATTACTGCCTCCGCTGAACTCGGGCCACACCCGGGACAGGAAATCGTAGAGGTGAGCGGCCAGGAAGCCCATGAGCTGGAGCATAGCGGTGTAGTATCCGCCAGGGAACAGCAACGACACGAGCATCATGCAGAATGGAGTGAGCTGAGCGGGGATGGTGACGAAGTAAAAGTTTGCCTTCATCCCACGCTGGTCTTGGGTGACGGTACGGCACATGGCGAGAATCAAAGCCGGCAGGAAGGCTCCTCCGCCCATGAGGTAGGTGCAGAGTGCCTGTGCGATATTAGCGCATGCTCCTTTGGGCCGAAGCTGGATGATGATAATAATGGTCATGACAATGGTAAAAACAGTGAAAAAGAAGAGAAATAAAAACCCAGAGTTTGGGTGTTGATATGTAGGGCGCTAAGAAAACCACTCGAGCAACATTGTGAGGTTGCACGAGCCATCCATAAGACATCCCACCATGCCCACGCCACAAGCCACGTCCCTAAAGCGAAAGAGGACGGGTCGCGCCGTGAGGGTAATCTTCCTCATTTCCAGGAACCGCTGACAGCTGTGGGAATCCACTGTGCGGGCAGATAATATGAGGTGCAAGAGAGTTGTGTGTATAGCAAGAGAGGAAGATATGTTCTTCTCGTGTGGGCATTGTGTATAATAGAGGAAGTTTTCCCAGGGGGGAAATAGCATGGTTTTGGGCGGACTGCCAGAGCAGCGACAATAACAACTTACCGTGATGACAGTGCAAACGAACATGAGATACCAGATGACATCCTCGCGCCTGGCGAACCTAGGGTTGCCGACCTCGAGCGCCGTCAGGTAGTGGTACAGGAAGTACGTGTCAAAGAGCAGGCCAAGCTGGGGGCCGGTGAGCAAGAAGTTGGTCCCGAGACGCCAGATCTGAGGCGGGATCTGGAAGAGGAACTGGGGCATGAAGATGAACCAGTATCCGTTTGCGACGCCCAGGAGAACAGAAAGAGACGTGACGAACGCGGCTGTTGCAAATGTTCTGTTCAAGACGAGTCAGCAAGGCTGAGAAAGAGAAGCAAGATGAGAGAGATGAGCTGTGCTTACCTTGCAACAGGCGGCGCCTGCCAGTAGGCATCGAGGAACTCGGACATGTTTTCCAATGTCCAGCAAAGCTGTGTTCCAGTGCGTTTGAAAAGGCAGGTAAGTGAGAAGTCGTTGAAGCAAACGAGAGAATGTGGTGATGTTGCAGATGGCAAGGCAGCTAGCAAATTGGCCAGGCTGCACTATTTATCTGCAGGGTGTTGCGGGAAAGGAAAGACGTGACCAATCAGACACCAGGCTGCAGCGCTGATGTGTTGGTGTTGGTCACCTAAGCTCTGTTCCTGACCCGTGTCCTCTCCTTTTGGGGGCGAGCTGGGGAAAGCTGGAAGGACAAAGAAGCGTTCCTGCCACTGCGCTTTTCAATTCTTTTTTTTCTGCCGCTAGAGCTCCATCCCTCTTGGGTGGGCCTCCCCTCAAGCGGTGAAAATTGGAGAATGCGGTCGGGTACGATTTACTTACCTTACCTTAGGTAATACCTTCCTGACCTTCTGTTTGATGGCGGCAGCAATCGCTGACAGTTGAGGGGTCATGATTGGGCAATGCCCCACCTCATCCCAAGTCTGCCCCTCCCCGCCACTGGCAGCTCCGACACACGGCGCCCACTGATAACGATTAGTGACTCCAAGAAAAAGTCCCAATTCAACTTTTGCGATACTCAATACACTTGCGATACTTCCTCAATCTTGAGACTAATTCCTGACACACTCCCCTATTCTCGTTCAAATACGACCTATTCACACACCAGCCATGTCTACAACATCTCACCCGCCCAGATGGGCCGCCCTCGCGCGCGACACCAACGAGACAAAGATCCAGATGGCCCTCAACCTCGATGGCGGGGCATTCCCCCCCGACACGGACGAGAGGCTCACCGCAGCCGTTACTGCACACGCCTCCCAGGCAAGCAAGTCCCAGACCATCAGCGTCAACACGGGCATCGGCTTCCTCGACCACATGCTCCACGCCCTCTCCAAGCACGCCGGCTGGAGTCTGGCCATCGCCTGCAAGGGTGACCTTCACAGTTCGTTTCCCTCAGTGACAACCAGTCAAACATAATAGAGAGGCACAACCAGCCACTTACACCTAATACCCGTCTCAGTCGACGACCACCACACAGCAGAAGACGTCTGCATAGCCCTAGGCTACGCCTTCGCCGCCGCCCTCGGCAGCGCAACCGGCCTCGCCCGCTTCGGCTACGCCTACGCGCCCCTCGACGAGGCCCTCTCCCGCGCCGTCGTCGACCTCTCCAACCGGCCCTACAGCGTCGTCGAGCTCGGCCTCCGCCGCGAAAAGATTGGCGACCTGTCCTGCGAGATGATCCCCCACTGCCTCCAGAGCTTCGCCCAGGGCGCCAGAATCACCCTCCACGTCGACTGCCTCCGCGGCGAAAACGACCACCACCGCGCAGAGAGCGCCTTCAAGGCCCTCGCCGTCGCCGTCAAGATGGCCACCAGCCGCGTCGCTGGTAAGGAGGGCGAGGTGCCTAGCACCAAGGGAACCTTGAGCGCATAAGGAATGACGAGAAAAGGGAAAAATAAAAGACAGGAAAAAAACACGGTAAAAACGTAAATCATGGGGAACACACAGCCTGCGAGAGAGTGAGGTTTCTTGGAATCATTTGAATAATCCGAGTTGATATGATACCCCCGCCAAACTCCATGCTATCATCTTTGGTGGTCAAAAAAGACTACTCGTACAATAATGCCTGAATCATATCCCTCCAACCCAAACGCCATACACACTAAAGGGCGTAAGAACGTGAACCGCTCCAAAATGCAAATTATGAGCGTTGTGGTCGCATGTTCTCCTTGTTGTTGCTCTGGCCCGACGCTGCGCGCCTCTTGTCGGCCTTTCTCTGCTCTATTCGCGCGATAGCCGCTGCTCGTCTCTGCGGAGGTAATGTGCTCTTTGACATGTTCGCCGCCAGCATGGTGCTGGCCTCGACATCGGGCTCGCCTGGCCCTCCTAGCCGGGCGAAACGATCCTGCAGCAGATCGATCGGCGCCTCCTTGTCCTTGCTGGAGAATCTGTGTCGAGGTGCTGGCGTGTTGCCTGTCGGAACCTCGCTCGAGGTGACGATACGGTCGTTCAGATCAGAACCGAGATATTCTCTGTTACGAGGGGACCTTGGGATAAAAGGTCGCCACTTAGGCTTGTCCAGATTGACACGGCTCGAGAAGATTTCGGACTGGGGGCGCCTTGGTGGCTCTCTCGCGGGCGGCTCGTCGTCTGAGCTGAGGGAGTCGGCGTCCCGCTGATACTTGTCCCGAAGGTTTTGAGACTTTGGCTCGTTGAGCTTCTTGCCTAGTGATTCTACGAGGTCGAAGCTCCGGCGGCCTACCTCGGTCGACGTTTTGCGGCTTTTGTTATCCGCAATGAAGCGGTTAGTCTCTTGAGCGCGGTGTTCCCTGGCGGCAGGCTCTCGTTCAGGGGGAACAGCGGTGTTCTTCGTCTTCGGTACATCAGCCGTTCCTGCTTTGAGAGTCTTGTTTTCCCTCTTAAGCTCGTTGATCTTCTCCGTTGCCTTCTCCAAGATACGCCGCGTATCTTCTTGCGTGGCCTCGGCATCCGTCCTATAATTCTCAAACTCCGACTTCAACTTGCGTAATTCATCGTCTTTCTTGCGAATTGCATCCTCTAGCTCGTCCACACGCTTGCCCGATGTTGTGGCGTCTTTGCCTTGTTCCTTGTTCTGAGATGGTTGTTGCTCGGCAAGTCGTTTGTTCTCTTCGGCGAGCTTGTTTGCTCGTTGCTCTGCAAACAGGAGGTCGGACTTTAGCCGTTCAACTTCCTCCCGTAGCTGTCCGTTCTCCTTGACTTGTGTTCTAGCCTTTCTCAACTCTCGCTGGGCCTCGAGCAACGTCTTGTGTGTTCGCGGCGAGGCAGCCTGCCGCCGGCGCCTGCTCCGTGCATCCCCTTCGTCGTCGTCGCCATTTTCGCGGTTCTCCAAAAGGGCAGCTAGTTCCTGCACCTGCGTCCGGTACTCAACAGCAACAGCGGTCTGTTTTGCCAAGTCTTTGATAAGCTGAGGGTTGTCTCTCTCTTCGCCGCTGGCTCGCTGCTTCGCGGCAATCTGCGCTGCCATTTCAGAGATCTTCTTCTCCATCTTGGCAGCCTTCTCTTGCTCCTCCTTGAGTTTGGCGTTGAGGTCGATAGCCTCAGCGTCCTTCATCTTGGCATACGACTTGGCAAGCTGTTTGTACTTGAGCAATTTCTCCATCTCGGCTTTAGCGTCCTGGTGATATTGTTCGAATTCCGACTTCCAGTACTTGCCCGACCGCGAATGGGGCTCATTAAGGTCCATTGTGATATCGTGCATGCATTGATCGTCGTCGGCCTCCTCCCATTCGTCCTCAGCATCGTCACTCCTGGCTGCGGTGGTCCGCGTCTGGCTCCTCTCCCGCGAGCTTGAAGTTCCTTTATTGCGTCGTGAGTTCTCCATTGTTTCAGTCAATCTGGTGCGCTTGCTTGCGGAGTCGCTGGTTGTGTCGGCAAAACTGTCTGGGAATCTCCCCGGTCGTTCGTCGGTGTCAACTTCTTTGCCCTTTCTGTTGTCGACCTTCTTGTTATCCAACACATCGTGCCCGAACGACACACGCTTCCGCCGAGAGGTTCCAGTTCCAGGAGTGAGAAGAATTCCTTGAGGTTGTTTCATCGGGGTTCGGGATTCAGTATCAGAGTCGTCTTCGTCCTTGCGACGCGCCATGGTGGCAGTATTATCGTCGTCAGGTCGCGCGGGTGTTCCAAAGATGGCGCTTTTGAGTGCGCGGGCGGCAAAGACGGGCGCGGGCGTATCTGGTTGCTCAATCTGTGTTGTGTCGTCTGCTGTGGATTGGAAGTCAGAAAAGCCGTGCGATGCGGTGAGAAAGAAGGGTCGATCTGGCAGGGTATTCTCACCTGCGCCTGCGTTTGCTCTGTTTCCCCCCGACGCGCCCTCCAACCCTCGTCTAAGAACCCAGCCCAACATCCTAGGTTGCTTGTGGGCTTCTTATCGGTGGAGGAAGTTGGTTGTGCCAGTAGATATATGCGCGCGGATCAATGGTGTTTGAGGTTGGGCGGAGTCCGACAGACGAGATCACATCACATGCGCTCGTGTCTCGGCGGGTCATGTATTAATTAGTTGTGCAGTCTTTGGTGATCTGACCGCGGCGAACAGATGTGATTTCTCAGTTGTTTACTTTGTTACCGCATACGGACGGCGCGTCCGTGGTTCGTCCCCTGGTCCCACACCGTGCTGAGTCACTCCGTGTGCACAATGCCCCCAATGTCTGTCACTTCCATTGCCCCTCGTCTCAGGGTTCTTTAGAGCTTCAGGCGTCTTGGCCCACTGAAAAGAGCAACTAAGACGGTCAGCGTCATCATTGAGGGGCACTTGTTCGCCCCAAAACGACCCCCCACTTCCAGTTTGGCAGCGGTAAAGCACCCAGCTGAAGGCGAATGCGCCGTACTGTGACAGCGCACCAGGCCGCCAGCCGTCGATGGTCGCGGTGTGGCGCTTTCATCGGCTAGACCTGCGCTTGTGACTTCTTCCTCTTTTCTTCTTAGCTCTTCCTCACCCATATCACTATATCTGAATAACTAACTTTGCTCAACGTACCAAATATGGCTTTCCCGTAACGAACTGTCACGGCTCGCGCTGTGGTGATTCGTCAAGCCTTTTCTCGTCGTCCTCGATATGGCGTGGAAATCATCCGGGGTGTGGAACAAGCCCATCGACAAACCGCAGAAAAATGAAGATGACTCAAGCTTCCCGGGACTCAAACCAAAGGGTCCCGAGGCCGCCCCCAAGTTGGAATATGAAGAGCTCCAGCAGAACGAGCTCATCGCCCTTGAAGCCATTTATGGAGAGGATTTCATGAGGCATGCAGAGACGCCGGGTGCCTGGAAGGTATTGAATACAACACCATCATCCTGTCCTCAGTATAACAAGGTTTCATTGAGCAGAGCCTGATGCTGACGCTCCAAACAGAAATCTGACCCCTCATTTGATGTTCGCATCAGAGCTTCATCAGATGAAGACTTTGCAGTTACGCTGGGCGTGGTGATGACTGCTACGTACCCTAGAAGCCCGCCACTGCTAACACTGAAGAACACTGGCGACCTTCGCGAGGTCACTTTGTTCAAACTTCAAAAGTACCTCGAAACAGAGCCCAAGATCTTTGCTACCGAGGAGCAGGAGATGGTGGACCGTATCGTAGAGGGACTCAGAGATGTTCTCGAAGACGCGGCCCAGGCAAAGGCGAAGGGGCTCGAGCTGCCTTCGTTGGAAGAGGAGAGAGCGGCTCACGAGGCCTCGTTGGCCAAGTTGGCCGAGGAACAGAAACAGGCAGAGGAGCGCAAGAAGGAAGAGGAAAGCAAGGAGGAGGAGAGGGTTCTCGGTGGCTTGTTGCAGGTTGAATTGAAGCGTCAGAAAGAGAAAGCCAAGGAGACACGAAAAAAGAACCGCCCCAACGGAGGATTACCATCTCTCACCACAATGGATGGCCCCAATTGGCCCGAAAGTGGCCGCATCATCTTTGACAGACCTTGCCAGACCACCGACAAGACTGGAAATGCCATTTCCTTCCAGGCTGTCTTTGGAAAGTCCGAGATTGCCAAAGGCCCTGTCTCAACCGTTTTCTCTGTCTGGCCTCTCGTTGGTAGCGGACAAGAGTGCCCCAACTTGGCGCTCAAGGAGACCGTTCTTCGCCCTGCTTCAAAGGACACTGCGGTGTTCAAGAAGCAGATCCAGTCACTCGAGGGTCAGCTGGAAGCGCTCAAACAGGTGCGTCATCGCAACTTGCTCGAGGTCTTGGATTTCAAGGTAGAGCGCGAGAAAAACAATGTCGAGAAAGCGTCAGCAAGCCTCTGGACTGTCAATGTCCTCACGCCCAGTGCTGAGAAGGGATCATTAGCCGAGCTGCTCGATTTGGCTGGCCAGTTGGACACCAGCAAAGTGCGTGCCTGGACACGGGATCTCTTGGATGCCCTGAACTTCCTGCACAACAAGTCACTGGTGCATCAGGATATTCATGCAGGAAATGTGCTGCTCTTCCGGGAACAGACAGGAGAAGTCGTGCCGAAGTTGTCAGACGCAGGCTACCAGAGGGAGTTACATAACATCTCCTCCAAGGTACAGGCGCCAGTCGGGCTGAGCTCTGCAAAGTCTGCATATTGGTTGCCGCCAGAGACTGCTGCTTCATCGAAGCAGCATTATACACAAAAAACGGATATGTGGGAGTTTGGCATCGTTTTTCTTCAAATGATATTTGGACTTGACGTGCCTCAAAAATACCACTCACCCTCTGCTGTCTCCGACTCCATGTCCCTATCGCGGCCTCTACAGGAGTTGGTGACTAGGTTCTTCAAGCCGGACCCAAAGAAACGACCACGTGCTTTCGAACTCGGCTCCAGCGAGTTCCTCGCCACCGACGCCCCTGTGATCGTGGAGGATACCGCTTCAATTGCGTCCAATTACCACTCCGTAAACGCATTATCGCCAATACCTCCGAGATTGAGACGCGAGTCAACGAATAGAACTCTCACTTCGTCGAGATACCGGGAAGATTTCGACGAGGAAGGCAGACTTGGAAAAGGAGGATTCGGCGAGGTTGTCAAAGCTCGGAAGAAGCTGGATGGGCAGATCTACGCCATTAAGAAGATCAGCCAAAGATCACAAGCAAGTTTGACAGAAATTCTGAAAGAAGTTCGTCTATTATCGCAGCTCAGTCACCCGGCTGTGGTGCGCTATTACAACACTTGGGTCGAGGAGATACCGGATCAGTCTGACACGGAGGGCGATACTTCCACCGAAGATCTGAACACGGAAGACTCTCGTGATACCATTTCACAGGATCCGGCGATTCACTTTGCAACCAGTACCGGCGGTCTAGACTTCATGTCTTCGAGTGGTTATCCACAGGTGGAATTCGGCTACGATGATTCGGACGCCGAGGAAGAATCTGAAGAAGATGAAGAAGACGATGAAGAAGGCTCTGAGGATGAAACTGACTCAGATGACGACGACAGCAGCCAGGCTGTCGGGAACGGCTTCAGGAGCAGGGAAATTCAAAGAAGAATCAAGCCCCAGCGATCTTTCCGGACCGTGTTGTACATTTCCATGGAGTACTGCGAAAAGAGGGTGAGTATTCATACCACACAGAATACACTGCCTGCCAAACCATCGGCGAGACTGACAGCTTTAGACCTTACGTGATCTGATCACTCGAAAGCTGTACCAAAACACGCCGGAAATATGGCGTCTTTTCCGTCAGGTTCTCGAAGGCCTGGCCCATATCCACGGTCTAAGTATCGTCCATCGAGATCTCAAACCTGAAAATATCTTCATTGCTCACAGCAGTGATGGGACGGATAATGTCAAGATCGGAGACTTTGGATTGGCCACTAGCGGTCAGTTTGCGGTCGATAGGGCTCTTCCCAACGCCATGGAGTCGGACGATATTACCAGAAGTATCGGGACTACGTCGTATGCTGCGCCGGAAGTGCGCTCCGGGTCTAGCGGAATGTACAGCTCGAAAGTGGATGTAAGTCCCTCGCGCAAACTATGTTGTCATGCTTTGGTTATCCTGTCGCTGACACTGTTTAGATGTACTCTCTGGGCATCATTTTCTTCGAGATGTGTTATCCCCCGATGTTGGGCATGCAAAGAGCAGAAGTTCTCGAGAAGCTCCGGCGACCAAGTCCCGAACTCCCTGCGGATTTCAAGCCTGCCGAAAAGATACAGACGGATATCGTCCTGTCTCTCATCACTCACAATCCCAAAGAAAGGCCATCGAGTGCGGAATTGCTGCAAAGTGGAAAGCTTCCGGTGCAAATGGAAAGCGAGACCATCAGACGAACATTGGCTGGTCTAGCCGACCCCAGCTCGCCTTACTACAAGAAAATGCTTTCGACGCTTTTCTCACGGCCTCTAGAGCAAGCTAAAGATTACGCTTGGGACATGCATGAGGCGAGTCCCAGCCAGGCAGACTTGCTCAACCAGAGCATCGTCAAGGAAACGCTGATTTCCATATTTCGCCGACACGGAGCTCTGGAGTGTCAGCGCACCTGCCTTTACCCGCGGTCGTCCCACTATGCAGAGAACGTCATGAGACTCCTGGACTCGAACGGCACTGTCCTGCAGCTGCCATTTGATCTGACGATGGGCCATGCAAGAATGCTTGCCAAAGCCAGCGGGACTCCGGGCGTCCAGCGCACTTTCACTTTCGGCAATATTTTCCGTGATAAGGGTGATACTGGGCAGCCCTATATGCTGGGCGAAGTTGACTTTGACATTGTCACGACTACCACCCTCGACATGGCACTGAAGGAGGCTGAGGTTCTCAAAGTGCTTGACGAAATCATTGCCACGTTCCCATCACTATCTACGAGCCAGATGTGTTTTCATCTAGGACATTCCGATTTGCTGCAGCTAATCTTCGACTATTGTCGCGTCGAGCATGGCTCCCGAAGGGCTGTGGCAGATGTTCTCAGCAAGCTCAATATTCATCACTGGTCCTGGCAGAAGATCAGGGCCCAGCTGCGTTCTCCCCTGGTAGGCCTTTCGGCAACCAGTGTCGATGAGTTGCAACGATTTGACTTCCGAGGTTTGCCAGCTTCCATTTCTTTTACTTTGAGTCACAAACTAACAGGATTCAGATACGCCGTCCAAGGCCTTCTCCAAGCTCAAGACACTGTTTGAAGGCACTGACATGTATCAGCGAGCCTCGTCGACTCTGGCGCATCTGAGAGAGGTCTCGGAGTATGCCAAGCGACTTGGAGTCACAAGCAAGATCTATGTCACGCCATTGAACAGTCTAAAAGAAAGCTTCTATACCGGTGGCACTTTATTCTCCTGCCTTTACGACAAGAAGATGAAGGATGTATTTGCCGCGGGTGGCCGATACGACAGTCTCATTAGAGAGAATCGTCCTAGAATTGGCAGCCATTACGAAGAGCGCCACGCCGTGGGATTCAACCTGTCGTGGGAGAAGCTTTCTAGGGCCCCAAAAACAAGTGGAAAAGCATTCCTCAAAAAGTCGGAAGAAGAGGGCCACAATATGTTTAGCAGCACGAAAAGAGTAGGTCATCGAGTTTCCTCATAGTTGGTCTGGCTACTTACAACAACTCACAGTGTGATGCCCTCGTGGCCAGCTTCGACGCTGCCGTCCTGCGATCTACGGGAATAGAGATTCTGCAGACGCTATGGTCGCACAACATCAGCGCCGAGCTCGCGAGAGATGCGCGGTCCCCAGAAGACTTGCTCTCTCGCAACCGCGACGAGGGCTACTCCTGGGTCATCATCATCAAGCAAGACGCCATCCTCAAGGTCAAGACGATGGACAAGAAGGACACGCCCGATGTTGACATACCCATGGCGCAGCTTCTCTCGTGGTTGCGTGCTGAGATCCGGGAGCGGGACTCCAAGGAGTCCAAGTCGGCGGCGATGGTCAAGTCGCGGGCCGGTGGCGGCGGGCAGCAGGCCGAGACCAACGCGACGATGGAGATGCACCACCACCAGGAGCAGGACGTTCGGGTGCTGGTGGCGGGGACGCGGAGCAAGAAATTCAATCGCAGGACGGTCGTGGAGCAGGCGCAGGTGAGCGCGGCGAGCCTGGTGCGGTCGTTCCTCGACGGGCCGATCCTGGCCATCGAGACGACGGATCAGGTGATGGACCTCATCCGGGACACGTGCCTTTCGGACGGGGAGAGCTGGCGGCGGGCGGAGCACAGCGTCACGACGGCGGAGAAGAAGTACGTGCGGGAGATTCACGACATGTTGCTGAATTGGAAGTGGGCGTGGGAGAAGAAGGGTGGCAGCGGCGGCAGCCGGCACGCGTTTTTATACAACTTCCGGACTGGGAATTGCGTCTACTATGATTTGGGAGCATAGTCTGATGGGTAAGGTAGATGGGGTGAGCATGTAGCTTGCTGCCGCAAGAAACGGATGAATAAAAAAATGAAGAATCCCTCGAAGCTCATTTGTTTTGTCCCCTTTTCCTTTTCAAGGTCTCTTATCGGTTCTCTTTACCGTTTCTACCAAGAAATCGTACTCGAGGCCCTAATTTCGCTCGAGTCTGCTCAAGAACAATCCCTTGGTGTAGGTTGTGGCGGTTGGCAGTGGTGGTGCCAAAACCAGCACAATGGACGGGAAAGCAGGGGTCCGATGCCGGGGCGGTAACTTGTGACGTGGGTTTCTGCGAGTTTGCATGGCTGGGTCGGGACGATCGGACCAAGGAGCATTGAGTTTATCTGGGGTTCGACTTGGTTTACCTACACTACTGTGACGCCTTTCTTGCGACATACCATGTATGTAAAGTAGGTAATAAGGATTTACGTGCCGGGTCGTTATGCGAGGACAGAGGCTCCCGGTCAGGTACCGAACCGGAGGTACCTTAGAACGTTCGATCAGTTGATTTCCGACCTTGACGGATACCTTGATGGCAGTTGATGGGGCCTGGATGAGGTATCGTGATGGGCCTCCTAGAATCCTCAATTTGCAAGACATGAGATTCTTAGTCATCTCGGGCAGCCTTTGGGAACAGTAATAACGACAAATAGATACTCGAGACTCGAAGGGATCAAGATACTGCGACGTGGTGTAAGTGCTGCGCTGGTACCTGATGTGGTGACAGGCTGAAATGCACAGACAACAAAGAGAAACCTGGCAGTGCCTGTGAGGTGCATGGCGAGTCCGGTCCACCACCCCTTTGCAGTGCCAGAGTGTGTTGTTGGCTTTGAGTTGAAGACTGGAGGTGGCGGAGGCGAGGTCGAATAAGCACACACAAAGATGACACAGCAATATTGATGACAGAGCAGACAAGAGATTTTCCGTTGTGGAGGGTTTGTTGGTGGCGGCGTGTTTGGCTGGCTGACTGACGCTTGCACTAGTGAAGTGACCTTTACATTATTGTGCGAATATGTTACTTCGCAAGGGCCTCGAATGTCCAAGGACAATATGACAAGGAGTACTCCGCAAGGTAAGGTAGGGTGCTGGTACTGCTAGGGCCAAGGACAGACGACGGCTCTGAAGCTGGCCACGGATCCGAGACACTGCGTGACCTCCTTGAGGAGTCTAGCCATCTCGGGTGGTCCCTGGGGTCCCATGGTATCCCAAATCGTCCAGGCAGGGCAGTTTCCGGTCTACTACGCAGTACCTAACCTTGCGGAGTACCTCATGGCAGGGAACCTTGATAAATCGCAAAGGGACCACCTCAGACTCTGGCTGGAATTGCTGCTTTCTAAATTTGAGACTATTTCTTTGCATCGCGACTTCCCGTTGTTCAGCTTTGTCCCTGGAAGCCCTCTTCTTTTTCTCTCACCTAGCACACAGCATAAAATCTCTCTCTCCCTGGACCAGGCCTTTACCGCCACTCCATTCCCCGTCTCATACTCTTACACTCCCGAATCCCACCACACACCAGACCACCAGACAGCCCGAGGTCTTCACACATACGGGTCGGTCCTCCCGTCTCCCTTTATCTTATCGCCTGCTGCCCACTCCGAGTCAGGTCGGTGGTTTATCGAGTCATCCCCTTTCGCCCCTCCATACCCTCCATCCCACCTCATCGTCGCTTCCTTTCTCTGGTCACACGCCTCTTGTGAGAACTTGCGGTGCGCCTTCTTCACTGTCCGCCCACACGAGTGCCCTCCTTTTTCTACTGCTGCTCGTGCACACAATTGCATACTTGCATCGTATCAAATTCCGCCATCTTCTTCCCTGCGACAAATCGATCTCATCGCTCCAACTTCATCCCACTCCCTCACGACAAAGTGGTTCTTTCCCGCATACTAATCCCCGCCACCTCACCGTTACAAATACTCCAACATCATGGCGCAGAAGCGATTGATGAGTGAATATCAAACCCTGCAGAAGGAGAAATGGGTTCACATTGATGTCGACGAGCGGAATGTCTTGAACTGGAAGCTTGGCCTCATGGTCGTCAACCCCGACAGCGCCTTCAACGGAGGCTACCTCAAGGTTCGTTTGATCCTCCCTCTCCCAAATACACTGTAAAAGTACACAGCTTACTGAAGTTTTCTAGGCCGAAATGACATTCCCTCGAGACTACCCATACCAGCCTCCCACCTTCCGCTTCCTCAACAAGAATATCTGCCACCCAAACATCTACACCGACGGCAAGCTCTGCATCTCCATCCTCCACACTCCCGGCGAAGACGAGCAGTCTGGCGAACAGGCATGCGAGCGTTGGTCTCCCCTGCAGGGCGTAGAGTCGGTCTTGCGTTCTGTCCTGCTCCTTCTGGACGACCCTGAGATCAACTCTCCCGCCAACGTCGACGCGAGCGTTCTCTACCGTGACAATCGTGCCGAGTACCAGAAGAGAGCGCAAGATACGGTCGCAAAGTCCAAGAAGGACATACCCGAGGGTGTCGTCTTCCCCACATCCGCTGATCTGGAGCCTGTGCCTCAAAAGCCCATCGACGACGACGCCTTCTGGAACGAGACGGATGACGAGGGTGACTTCGATTTGGGCGGCAGCGACAGCGACTTCGACATGGATGAGTACAACGAGGACGATGAAGACGAGGATGCGGACGACGATAAGCCTTGAATCCAACCCTCGAACATGGGAATCGACTCAGCACACACACACTTTCCTGCTCCAACTTGAACCTGCGACACCAAGAAATGCAAACACTTCCCGGCGGGCACTCTGACTTGGCGGCGGCGGCGTTTGCGGTGGTCTCGTTTTCCATCTCTCACATTTCTTACATCTTTCTTCCTCTACACGCATGATAATGCATAGCGACGGCCCCGGGCGTTTTACCGGCTGTCAGCACGGCCTGCTTAGGCTAACACGGCGTCTTGGTTTTCTTTCACGGGTTTGGCATCATTCAATCACTGAGGAGGGCTTCTGGGAAGGGCTTCCACACAGGGATACGGGAGTTCATATTTGGCTCTGCAAAAGCAGAGAGATCAGAAGGGGGCGGGATTCAATAGTTTGGTGGCTGGTTGGCAAACCAAGCAGCCAGGACAGCGTATGAGATACCGCACTTAGACCAATCAATGACTTTCCAACTGAGCAACTGCAGAGTGCGCCATTCTGGGGAAATTTAGCAAAGGTCGATTATCTGAGAAAGTATACCGTACCTTTTGCGGGTAGGTAATAAGCAGACTTTCCCTGACGTTCTCGGCCAATCTATCGCACCTTTGCGTACCTACTCCGGTCACTTTCCATCTGCCGCTTGTCGGTGCAACATTCGCGACGACTGGGCCGGCAGTGGCCGTAAACGTGCACGCCGTTCCCGATCCTTCAGCGCCGTAAGGGGTTTAAAGTGTAAATTTGCCCCGCTGACACCATCGGCACCCACGAGGGTTATCAATGACCTTGTCTTACCTAACTTTCTACGAAGTAGATTGGTAACATTAGGAAGAAAGACCTATTGCCGACTACTCTCGGTTTTCCAAGTAGTTGAACCTAGAGCCCGATTTACAAATATGCTGAGTTATGTTCCAAAGGCTAGGTGCCTATGATGGTAAAGAGTGATGGTGACGGCAGGTAGTGGGGAAGTGTCTTTGTGCCGCTGATAGGTACCTTGGGGCGCACTGTCCACGAGAGTAATCGGCAGGCTGGACAGCTCATGGGGCCTTCTCAGCACGGGTCTACGTACTTGCATCCGATGCCACTTCCACGTCTCCAAGGCACCATACCGAATGTGAGGTGTCCCGACCCCATCTGACGACAAGACAAACGGAGAGACATTCCAAGTCCGCTGGCACTGCTTTCTCGCGTACCATTGTTGAGTGCTGCCTTCCGACCTTTCTTCCGCACCCTTACGGGTAGCATCACGCCTAGACCGGGTCGCCTCTGCAGCACATCGGGCCCTTTCCGTTTGGCACCACCTACTCCTCCGAGCCTCTCTCTGGCAAAGCTACATGCGCCAGGCCACCTACGACTCCAGCCCGTCTTTCTCGATAGCCATGCGCAACTACCCTCGACCCTTCCACCACCATCGCTTCTAATCGAACCATTCGCAACGAATCGATTCGACAACAATATTCTTGTCTGAGGGGTGGCTCTACAATATGGCGCCTGAACCCACGCCTGAGGATGTGGACAACTTCCTTGAGTTCTCGGGCCTTGACCCCGCCAGAGACCGTAATATCGTCATTACGGCACTCAAGGTGAGATGACCGGCGGCTGTTGAACAAGCGCGATGCTCGTCCTGCTGCACAGAAGGGCTGACGTGGAGTACAGAGCAACAGCAATCGGGATGAGCTTGCGTCAGAGGTCTTGATAGATGGAGTCGACGTGGTATGTCGTGCCCTGGTCAAAGAGCTCTTCACCGCAGCTAACAGGGCTCCCAGTTTCGGAGAAAGTACACATGGGACGACACAGCATTCGGAGCCAGTCGTGACGGGGAGCCGAATCACACGGGTATAGGTGCGTTTGGTCTTGCGCTCCAGCAGCTGGAGACATCGTGTTGCTGACTCTTGCTGGCCAGCTTTCAACATCGAGGCCCCCGACAATGCCGTCATACAAGGCGTTACGCCTCCACCAGACAACGGCTTCTACGGGCCTTCAGCAGGTGCTCCCTCACGACCTCCATCGAGAACAAACAACCGATCGCCGCTTGGTAGGATGATTGACTGGACGACCGGGGACCTTTCCGGTACTGCCTTCCCTGTTGTGTGGGGCTTTGGCTGACGATGGACATTAGGAGCTCCCAGTACTGCTGCGCAAGAAGAGGACGACTACAATAGGGCCATCCGAGACTCCCAGAGGGATGCAGACTACATACCTCAGGAAGCCGGCATCACGGGCGGAAGCGCCAGCGCCCCGCACTTTGGACCTGCCAACAGGTCTGACTACGACTCGAATAGCTGGGCTATGGTGACGACGGCAACGAGCTCGTACCAAACGACAGTCGATGACGACCCCGCCCCTTCTGCGAGGAAGCGAGAAGATGACGCCCCGGCGTTCCTCGTGCAGAGAACCACGGCACGCACATCTAAGCACCATCTGGATTCCGTGTTGACAATTCTGCATGAGATTCCGCTTGCACGCAATATCTTACTGCAGGGTGGTGAACAAGCTGCCAGCTATGGCCACAACAGCGAATGGTGGAAAGGTCAACCGATTTATGCCCCTCACGTCCTGGCCGCCATGAACCAAGGCGACCTCCAGTGGGCTGACGACACGAAGCCGGACTTTCATGAGGAGATTCATCGTCTAATGGCCTTTTTGGACCTGACTGAGAGAAGCTATGGTTCTGTCGATTCCATGGCTGATCTGGTCCCCAAAACCAACTTCGCTACCGAGAGACAGTTCTTTGATACCCTCGTCGAGAAGACCGATGCCGATGTCATCAAACCCCTGACGCACCTAGCATGCCCCATGTCTACAGACACCTTGGAGAGGACACAAGACCCACACAGATTTGCATTTTTGAACTTTGAGTTGACGAAGAGTCAATATGAGAAGACGACGTCTCTGTACGAAGCTTGGAACTGGATTGTGTGGCACGATGTCATGACGTGGCTGGAGCTCAATGCGGATACCGGAATGGTTGTGCTCGACGACATGGGCGAGGTCATGACAGTTGTTATCGATGGCGATGGCACGCCCGATAAGCTTGACATTCCCGAAGTGTGGTATCCAGAGCGCTATCTAGAGAGCCGGAAGGAAGAGGCAAAGGTCTGCCAGGAACACCTTGCGTGGGTGCATAGGATGCTCTACGAGGCCGAATCCAAGGAGTTCGAGCTCACTAAGTGGATTGATCCAAAGACCGACAAGGTCCACAATAAGGAAGAAATGCTGGAGAAGACAATCAAGGAGTATGAGAGCCACGTCAACTATCTAGACGGCCTGGGACGGTTCAGAGAGCTGCGAAAGTCAGACGACGATGAGCAAGGCAACCTTCGTCTAGAAGATGTGCCGTGTGTCTTGTCTGAAGGCGAAGAGGAGCTTTTCAAGAGCTCGCAAAAGGTGCTCCAGAGATGCAAGTGGCAGCTTGCCCAAGTCAGAGAAAAGCAACAGAGTACGTCGAGCTCAATGTTTACCATTTGTTTATCGGTCACTAATAATGGAAGCAGAACTCAAGTGGGAACGTGAGAGGCTTGAGGAAAGGAAGCAGTATCTCAACACTATACTGACTGACCCCGACAAGCCAGGCTTGAGCAAGACGTTCACTGGCAAGAAGTACCTCTTGAGGGGAATAGCAACACAGCAAAACGTGACATATGTCTGCAAGCGAGCCGAGCCGACCCTTATTGACATTGATGAGGCGCCGACTTCAGTAGATCAGTGGTGGCGGCTGTCTTATAGTGCGAAGCAATACGCAAAGGCCGAGGTATGCGAAGCTGCAGCGCGTTTCTCTTCGGGACTCCCTTGGATGCTGACCTGTTACAGAAATACACCTTCCAACAGGTGGTTGACGCAATCTACTTTGAGACTAAGAACCCGTTGCTCGTGTATGCTACAGACGACGCAATCAACACGCCTGTCGCACCGCTTTCAGACGCCCTATTACGGTTCGCAAAGGCCGAGAACAAGATTTTCAGACAAGAATTGAACCAGGAAACCACGGAGGAGGTGGCCAACTTGAGAAACACAAACATGTCGCCAATTTCGCCGTCCAAGAGGAAATACCGGTCAGGCAGCGTCGATTCTATGGCAACCAACCGAGCTTCATTGGGCAACAGCGATACAAACTCACGCGCCGGGGACTTTGAGACGGATCCATTTGGCGACGGAGACGGCACCTTGGACACGGAAATGACCGATCTGTCGACCAGACAAGGCAACACAGAGACACAAAACTCGAGTCTAGCCCAGGTCATGTACTCTAGTGAGACGCAAGACAAGGCACGAGGAGGTTACGACATCAACGGGCCAGGCATCGGACAGGACGGCCTTTCGACCAGTACTCCTACGGACGACGTCACAGAGATTAGTCGTACAGTGACGCCAGACGTAGACGTGGAAGAGCCAGCCAAGGGGCCCGAGATGCAGGAACGGAGCGGAAGCGGGGGCGGATCGCCATTCATGGCTAGACACTCGATTTATGGAACGGCACACGACCCCAGAGATGAGCAAAAGACGATAAAAATGATGGATATGGAGATTCCTGATGAGCATCAGTAGCTTGGGCACTAGAGAGCATCATAAGGGGGGAGGTTTGGTCTACACAGTGAGACTCGCAAAGGCATAACGATACAGGCAAAGTCTTGAGAGGCATGCAATGCAGCAAGCATCTTTTGCTTCTTGGAGGCTCTACAGCACAGCACAGCGCAACACGGCATTGCCATGGTATGATGATGATGTATGCAGTAGGCGATGAGATTATCAATCATTGGATACCCCATTGGCTCAGTTGATTCGATGCAAGCATGCGCACCTACCTACTATGTACCTAAATCACCAATGATCAATATTGTCTTTGACGTAGGTACCTTATCTTGTACTGCGTATGTCGGATAACTGCGTAGAAGGTTCTCGAAGCTTCTTATTCAACTAGGAGAATTGAGAGACGCTACAGGGATATAGTGGCTTGAAGCGGCGCTCGAGCCACGGCATGAGCCTGACTCCGCTATTCCCGCACGGCAAGAGACCCCGCCATTTTCGTCATTGTCCATTAGGTTGTGACTGCTTCCCTGCTGCCCAAAGAGCTCCTTGGTTGATGATACTCGTCTGGAATGAAGGATATTATGAGCATAAGTTTCTCAGGACCTCGTTTACTAAAAGACTGGATAAGTACTATTTAGATGTAGAGGATTGTATGGATACTTTTGTGATCAGACAACCTCGAGACTAAGAGCCTGACTGGACGAGCCCCATCCAGCCTTTCTGCGCTCTTCCATCGAGGCAGTTGGGGTGAGATCACCCGATTCGACGCCCCGCCAGGTTTTGGGTCGCAAAGTCGCACGGGGACGGGGGGTACGGTAGTCGAGGCTCCCCCTCCTTCCTTCCTGCTCCCGCCAATCCCGTCCTCTTAGGCTCTCCCTTCCCACCCCCCCTGCTCTTTGGGGCTGGGCTCCTCTCGAGAGAGACGGGCACCGAACCTTCCACAATCACGCCCTGTTTCTTCCATTGAAGACGGCCGGGTGTGCTTTTCTACCACTAGACGCTCTGGGCTCCCCTCGGTGACCCAATCTTTCTTGGCTTTTTACCTTGCGCAGTAAGGACCAACTTTACCTTACGTAGAGGTACATATCACGCACCGAGACCCAGACAATCGGCTGCATCATCCAACCATTCTCTCCAATTCTTCTTTTCTTTAAAAAACTACCAACCTTTTTTTCTTTCTTTTGCAATTCACTACCTACACGCACGTCGATTGACTGCGCAAGCAAAGCAAATTTCAAGGATTCACACATCAAGCCAACCCAAGTAACACACAGAGAGACACAACATCAGCGAAGACAAGTGTCAGTTTCGCTGCGATATCCACACTACTTTTACCCCTCCGTACAATTGACTGGTCGACTTTTACACGATAATCACACGACAGTCCTGAACGATGGTAAAAGAAACCAAGCTGTACGATCAGCTGGGCGTCAAGCCCACGGCGACGCAAGATGAAATCAAAAAGGGCTATCGGTAAGTCACAATAGTCTTCCGTGAAACTTGTTTTTTTGTCCTTTCGCCCTCTCTGCCCCTCACTTCTCTCTTGCCTGTCGTTGCCCAACGGCGTGGCCCAATAGCCCTCATTGCCTCCACACACGGCCAAATCAGACCGCAGTATGCTAACCATCTCACGTGTATAGGAAGTCCGCACTAAAGTGGCACCCCGACAAGAACAAGGATAACCCAGACGCTGCCGAGAAGTTCAAAGAGTGCTCCCAGGCCTACGAGATCCTTTCCGATCCCGAGAAGCGCAAGACGTACGATGACTACGGTCTCGAGTTCCTGCTCCGCGGCGGCGGCGCTCCTCCCCCGGATGCCGGTGGCGCCAACCCCTTCGCCGGGGGCGGTATGCCCGGTGGCTTCGACTTTGGAGGAGGAGGCATGCCGGGTGGCGGCGGCGCACGCACTTTCCGCTTCAGCACAGGAGGAGGCGGCAACGGGTTCAACTTCAGCCCGGCGGATGACGTGTTTGCCAATTTCATGCGCTCTGGTTCTGGGGGTATGGGCGGCGGCGCGGGCGGCATGGACGACTTTTCCGACATCTTTTCGACGTTTGGCGGTGCCAGCGGCCCGCGGGGTAGCAGATCATCGCGCACGCGCAGCAGCGGGTTCGGCGACTCGCGGGGGGCGAGGGAGGCGACGCCCGAGGTCACAACGGTGGAGCGGCCTCTCCCGCTCACGTTAGAGGAGCTGTTCCGTGGCGTGACGAAGAAGATGAAGATTAAGCGCAAGACCTTTGACGACACGGGCAAGAGGACGACGACTGATACGGTGCTCGAGGTGCCCATCAAGCCTGGTCTGAAGAAGGGCAGCAAGATCAAGTTCAAGGGCGTTGGTGACCAGGAAGAGGGTGGTCAGCAGGACCTGCACTTTATCTTGGAAGAGGTACGTTCACATACACATTCCCGATGCGAATACTCGAGACATTGCGATACTAACGAATGCTACAGAAAGCTCACCCGCTATTTGTGCGCGAAGATAACGACTTGGTTCACACCGTCGAGTTGGACCTAAAGGAGGCCCTCACGGGCTGGAAGCGGACGGTGACGACGATCGACGGCAAGCAGCTGAACCTCGACAAGAACGGCCCCACACAGCCCGGCAGCTCCGATCGGTATCCCGGCCTGGGCATGCCCATTTCGAAGAAGCCCGGAACGAGAGGCGACTTTGTCATCAAGTACAATGTCAAGTTCCCCACGAGCTTAACGCCAGCGCAGAAGCAACAGTTGAAGGAGATTCTGTAGAAGGACTTCGGTAACGAGGGAGAGGAGAGGGTGCAGAGACAACGGCGACGCGACGCGATGGTTGCGGAGGCGTTGAACCGTAAACAAGATGATCCTTTGGTTTAGCTGGCCGGTTATGCTCATCATGAATAGGAGTTTGGGGCGTGGTTGGGTTTTCTGCTTTTGCAAGGCCAAGGGTTGGCCTTTTCCTTTTTGCCCCTCTACGAGCATTGCGCATTTCATGAGTAGGCAACACGAGCTGAGTTGCTGGTGGGGAGGTGATGCCTGCGCAGAGGTACTTAGATATGAAATAATTCAAGCTTGAGACTATAAGATACAGATTCAAGTGTCGTTGTGATATTTATGATGTATATGTGACTTCAGAACGAGGGCTTGCATCATGGAGATGGCTCTTTTACATATATAGTTATCTGATGATATTCATGATATATGTAGACCATCTCCGGGTTGCAAATGGCATGGACTTTTGTGCCAAGTATACGATGATTCGATATTGAGCGTACATTGCACTATTCAAGAATGGCAATCAGTATCATCACGTTCTCTCAAGTGGTTGGTATGTATATCGTGATCAGGCTCCGGTGACGACATTGAGAACGACTGGACGGCTCAGACGGGCATCTCGGGACCGAGAGGTGTTCAGCCCTGCCGTCGTCCCGATTTTGTTGTGCTGGAGGTTCCCGTGTTCATCCCGGCGCAGACCGAGCGAGCTGTATCCTTGAGGTTAGTGGAGTTTGCTTAGGGAGCTACCGTCTACTTAGTCACATATCTAGTAGATTTGTGCAAGGTAAGCAAGCTATCAAAATATTAGATATAACAGGTAACTTCTCTTCTATGGTATGTCTTCATCAACTGGCAGTGTTCCCAAGCCAACGATTCGGAAGCCATTCCTCGCTCATATTGTGATATCCAAAATGGAGGGAGAGAAAGGACCTCGGCAGTAAGTCTACTGAGTACGAGTGCGCCCCGTCTCCTTTTTCCGGTGGGCAACCCGCCCAAGGTTCATTCTGTGTTCTACAAATACACTTATCTACACATACATGCAAGAAGGAATATTTGGCGCAAGGTTAGGTTGTAGTGAAGATTTTCCCCAGGCCCGTCTCCCCGAGTTCCCCGGCTCTGCGCTCGGCAGAACTCTGTTTTGCAGATGAGGCGCGGGTTCGGGAGGTCGGGATGATGGAGGGCGGATGGTTTGTGCGGGGGTTTGGAACTATGGGCTGATCGCGATGAAGTCTCTTTCTCACTACTTCCTACTCCTATAAGTGGCTATCGGCGATAGGAAAGGTAGGATTTCTGAATGTGAAAGCAGGTAAATGGCGCATCCATCCTGATTCGGTGGTTGCTGCTGCCGGGGTTTCGCCGCGGTGTTCTTCATGAGCTTTGTGTACGCTGGCCATGTGGTGGTGCATGTATGTATGTGTATGTATGTAAGTACTCGACCCCGCGGTAATGACGACACTTCACATGCGGGAAATGGTGGACGGCGGGATGGGGACGCCCGTGGGTTTTGGAGGGGGAGGGGTAAAAGCGCTGGTGGGGCCCCTTCGTTCTAGCTAAGTAGGTAGTCAGCCTAGGCCCAGAGAGCCATCGATGCAAGTGCTGCCGGGTATTGTAAGGCCATTTTCCCGCCAGAGCTGGTTCAGGTCCAACCTACCTGAGTTACTTACCGTACTTGCGTGTTATTTCCCGCGGCTCTCATTGGACTTGTCGGGACGACGAAAATGAACAGCCGGCTTGAAGGAAGAGGGGCCCAGAAGGGAGCGGGCGCGGGAGAAAGACGGAAGGGAAAGAGAGACCTTTTTGTGGTTTCCTGGGAGATAGATGCGTTAGATACCTGAAAAGAAGTCTCAGTCTACCCTGATTCACTACGTAGTCCATTTCTTCGCCCTCTCCTCCATCATTGCAAGAAGGTTCCCAATTCTTCAAGTCCCCAGCTGCAACCAAGGTTTCTTTCTCAATTGGTCTCGGATAATAAGCTTCGTCTACCTTATAGATAGCTTACTTACTCCCCCTCCTCCCCTCCAGACTCAGCTCTCAGCTCCCAGCTTCATTGAACCCCGCTCTTCACGAGACAAGCTCTCCACCTCAAACCCGGAATAGCATCCGACGAGTCTTTTGTAAACAACCGCCAACATGCCTCAAGTACGTCACGATGAGAATCCAAGTCGACCGAGTACGACTCAGCTCGAACTAACATGAACTAACCACCACCACACAGATCACAACCCTCCTCTTCGACTGCGACAACACCCTCGTCCTCTCCGAGGAACTCGCCTTCGAGGCCTGCGCCGACCTCATCAACGAGATCTGCGCCTCCCGCAACATCGAGCAGCGCTTCACGGGCGAGTCCCTCATCAAGGAGTTCGTCGGCCAAAACTTCCGCGGCATGCTCCTCGGCCTCGCCAAATCCCACAACTTTGAGCTGCAACCCGACGAGCTCGAAAAGTACGTCACCCGCGAAGAGGACGCCGTCATCGCCAAGCTGAAAGCCGCACTCAAACCCTGCCCGGGCGTCGACGACCAGCTCGAGGCGCTGCAAAAGGCCGGCAAACATACCCTGTCCGTCGTCTCCTCGTCCGCCAAGCGCCGCGTCTGGGCGTCCGTCGTGAAGGTCGGGCAGGACAAGTACTTCCCCGAGGACGTCGTCTTCAGCGCCGCCACGTCGCTTCCCAAGCCCACGAGCAAGCCCGACCCGGCCATCTACCTGCACGCCATGAAGACGCTCGGCAAGAAGCCCGAGGAGTGCGTCGCCATCGAGGACTCCAAGAGCGGCACGCTCAGCGGCACGCGCGCGGGGATCAAGGTGATTGGGTACGTCGGCCCCTACGCCGCCGACAAGCAGGCGGAGATGGAGAAGGTGCTGCGCGATGCCGGGGCCGTGGTCGTCATGAAGGACTGGAGCGAGTTCCCCGACATGCTGGCCAAGATTGAGAGCGGGAGCGCCTGACTAGCCGGGGTTTCTATCCCGTCGCCTTCTCTGTGAGGTTGAGCTGCGGTGATGTAGAGTGATTGTGATGCTCCCATCTCCCTACCCAAACCCCTTTCATTTTCTTCCCATCTTTATAGTGTTCATATCGTTAGCCAGGACCGGCAGCGTTCCAATTCTTGGAGGCGCTTCATCAAGCTAGCCCGCTCAGGGGAGAGATGGAACTCAGGTAGACTCAAGACTAGTGAAAAGAGACTTTTCATCTTCGGTGGTCCATGAGAAAGCTGTTGACACTCTGCAACGTAGCCCGGTTCGCATTGGCCTCCGGAAAGGCGGTCATGATGGTCCCCAACTTCACCCTAATCATATCCTTATTGAAAAACGTCGTCGAGTCCGCCACGCGAAACATGCCGTCTCGATCGAAGCACCAGCAGTAAATAGCCAGCGCGGTGCCAATGGATAGATCCTTGCCCGTCTCGCAGGCCACGAGTACGCTGCCGCCGCCACTGCTGCTATCGCCCTCGGCGGCGCCCTCTACTACATCACGATGTGAGTCGAGGTACCCCGCGACAAAGGCGCATATATCCGGCAGCGCCTGCCGGAGGTTGCGACTCGCGACCTTGTGCTTCCCGAGGCCGACTTGCATGTACGTCGGAGATTTCACCCACGAGTCCCGCGGCGTGACGTCCTGCGTGAGTACGACTCTGCACGCACCCGTGGACACAGCATCCGTACCACCGCTGCTGTCTTTCTCATCGCCCAGGGGTAACGGGCACACGTAGATCCGCGGCGCAACTTTCTTCGGCTGTACACCCCTCGGCGCATTCCTCTTGTCCTCCGCGACGAGACGAACAACCAGCTCCGGGAGATCGGCCTCGGGGCACGATAGCAGCGCCGCGGCGTTCTCCCAAAAGACTTCGGCCGTCAGCCCGAGGGCCCAGTTCTCTGTGTCGTCGCCGGCGCCTTGGATGTAGCCCGCCTCGCTCATTTCCGTGCCGGCGACGCGGCGCGAGGAGGTGCAGCAGATGATGGGGTGGTAGTCTTCGAAAACCACGTTCTTCACAGACTCGTCATCATCACCCGCAGGCGCAGACGTAGTAGGAAGCTGCGTCTCTTGCGTGACCCAAAACGGCCGCAGGGGCTTGGAGACGTGCGCGCGGAGAGCCGCGAGATCGAGGTCGAGGCTCTTGAGGGAAGCGAGGAAGGACGGGAGGAGAGCAACGATTTGTGCGTGTTCCGAGGCCGAGACGACGTTGGGCGGGGTGAAGAGGCGGAGCTCGCGCGCCGGGTCGAGGTCTGGGAAGAGGGCTGCGTTGAGGACGGCGCACCAGACTGGGATGGTTTTGCTGAGGGCGTCTGGCATTCCTGGGAGCCGTGTTAGTCTCGAGCTTCGTGGATGTGCTGATACATGAGTCTGATGATGTGGACTTACTCTTGCCTCTGCGGGTTGAATCTACAATGATGCATCTGGATCCTCAGTCAGCTGTGCTCCTATAAGAAGCAGTTTATATCGGAAGCCTCTCTAGCCTGAATGCACTCATGCCACCATCACCAAATTTAAAAAACACCACCATAAAACTCACCCGTCATGTTTCCCAACAAGCTCGAGCAAATGCAAATTCAACCTGCGCGTACTAAACTTCCACGCATTCGTATGCCCATCCGTACTCTTAAAGTACGCGCTCGCCCGCTTGTCCGCAGGCCGAATATACCAGCTCCCGCACCGCTCATTCGCCACAAGCGGACGACCGAAACTGGCGGCGACATCCTTCACAAAGTCGGCGTCCTGCGTGATGGAGCGAAGCCTGTTTGCGATGGAGAGGTTGGAGCGCTTCAGGTCCGTGAGGATGTGGGAAAAGTTGTGGTTCGCCGTCGTGGGGAAGATGAGGTCTGAGAGGGCGGGCGCTGCGGCGGCGGGGGGTGTGTTTTGCGCCATGTTTCCCGGTTGAAGCTTTGGAGGGGTAGGGAGCTCCGGGATAGAACAGGGGTGTGTTTGGATTGAAGTTATCTCATCCAAGATGAGATTGAGTGAGGTTGGAGGGGGTTGTACAAGATTGGTTCTGCCTAGGGCTCGAAATGAGGCACGTCTCAGTCGTGAAATTTCCAATGTGGTCGACCCTATTTTGCACTGTGCTTGCGTTCGAATTTTGCGCGAAAGCAGTGTCGATCGGCACTGTATGGATGCGAGGCGACTCATTCATCGCATCTCATTTGGATAACACCGATTATAAGATTGTGAGGTCATGTTTCAAGGCACTCATTTTGCAGGTTTAGCTGATGAGTGTTTGATGAGTTGATGCCAAGGGTTGAATGAGATTCAAAGGGACCAGAGACATCAGAGATATTGTTCAAGAGACATTGAATGAGGCTTCATTCTCATGTCCGTGCTGAATTCCAGGTGCATTCAGCCGCAAGCTAGGGATCGCTGGCATGCCTCACTCAGATGTCGTCCCAAGATGACCAAAGTTCTGTGCTGCTGCTGCTGCTGCCGCCGCCACCGCCGCCGCCGGGCTCTCTCGGGCCGGACTTGAGAGTCGGTAACGCCGACGAGTTGAAGACGGAGAAGATAATGGAAACACCGGAATGTTGAGGATATCTCCCCGCCTTTTTTCGCGTCGTCAAGATACGCCGGCAGATGGTATATTGGCAACACGCAAGCAAGCGTGGCTATGTTGGGTACAGCCAAGATGGGCGACGCAACTGTCGCTCGCTTCCTCGCTCGCTTGCTTGCTGCGCGGGTGAGATGCGTTCTCTGCACCCCAGCAATAGCTTGTGCCCGTACTGCGGCCGTGGGTGGATGGGGACCCGTCTTTACATAGCATCGGGCGGCAAAGACTTACGCCATTGTATCCACCCTACGGATACATGAGCGACTCTATTTTCCTGGCGCAAGGGCATCTGGTGCCATGTTCCCGCTGTGCTGCTCTGGTGATCAGACCAACAGCTCTCTTGATGTGGGAGAGTAACCGACAGAGAGATTTGTCTGGCTGGAGACGTACTCGGGGTTCCCGTTTGTCAAGATCAAGGTCTTCGTTGTGGAATAGACTACATTTCCATGGCTTCTCAAGGTTCCGAGGCTCTCTTCTTTCGTCTCGTACGAGAGACAACAATTGCCCTGTGACCAAACAACACGAGGCCGATTGGACCTTGAGAGTCGCAATCCTGGCGTACGGAGTAGACGGTAGGGAGGGAAGCGCTGGGCGGCTCAGCCGTTGTGCGCGTGGACCACCCGGAATGCGGCGGCAGCGGGCTCGTGTTAGCTTCCTGATCTTGCTAGGTTCTCTGAAGTTTGAAGACGGCCGAGGTGTCAATCAGTGTCAATTGTCAGTGTCGAGCGCAATTCTGTGGCGGCTCCGCTGCGATGACAGTACCCAGTCCGTTCGCAAAAAGACGATATTCTCCAGAAGCCATGCCTGGCGGTCGTCTCGTCTGCCGTGGGTTGCCGTCCAAGGAATAGAGGCCCATTATCGTCTGCAGGTTGTCATCATTGATGATCGCCGTCCGGCCATTTCTCCCCCTGCTGCCGCGCATCACCCCAGACAACCGTGACAACCAGGACGTTTTAGCATGCAGCAAACAAGCAGCAGCAAAGCAACCGCGAAGCAACGACCAATCCAACGCCAGACAAGGTCAGACGAAAATCAGGGCTCGCTGGCTTCGGTAGGAGAAACAACGGCGCGTCAGCCATTGGCTTGCGCCGGTCGACGGTTGAGAAATACGAAAAGGCACCATACCATTGAACTAGTGCGTGGCTTCCTCGGCTCGGTAGGCTCTCTGTACCTTGAACGTCGTCCCTTTGGCTAGCATGCGGCGACACCAAGTACAAGGACACACAGTGAACCATAAGGCCACAGGGCAAAGGGGACAGAAAAGGTAAAAAAAGAGACGGGTTCGAACTATTCGCTCGGGGAGGCGTGGCGTGCAGGGATCTATTGCTCAGCTGGTCGCACTTGAGGGACGATAATTCGCTGCCTGGGCCGCAGTGGCGCAGTGTAAACCCAGTGGTTGAGTGGCTTGGTTCAACCCAAGTTTCCGCAGTCTGCCTCATCCCAACCCGTGTGCCTGTGTGGAATCCATCCGTTCATGGAGCGTCCTTGGACCATGGGCCGTGAGTTCGCATTGGTGTCCGTCCCATTGCGCGTAGAGGTTCCGCAGCATCGGGGCTGCAAAGTGGCCGTAGGAGGGATCCTGGTTGAAGCCTCAAGGTTAGGATCAAGACGAGAAGATGATTACACTGCAGTGCAATGTGGAATGATTACATACGTTAGGTACCTACCTCAAGGTACTTGAACAATGGAAGTTAAATGCGAATTGCTAAGGTACGGCAAGGCAGGGAATAGAAAGACCAAAGATGACGGGAGCTTCAGGCGCGGCTTGGACCCACCCCTCTGCCAGGCGTCCACTCCACCGCCCACTGCCACAGTAAGGTAAGAGGGAACAAGTCGTTGCCCACTGAATCCACGTCTCGTCACTGCCGCAATTCGAGGCCAGCTGGGGCTGTTTCGTTTTAAAGACAAGAAAAGGCAGACGCGTCCCCCAAAAGCCACTTTGCTCCTTCTGTTTCTGATTTCCCGTCTATTACCTCCCATCTTCCTCACACTCACCTCAGCTCACTCACACACCTCCAAGCTTTCTCTCACGGATAGTTTCCAGTGTTTTTGAACAACAGCGAACACGGACAGCATCTCACCTCGCCCTCGACACTCGTTCCCACAATCCGAACAACCCAAGCCAGCGAGCTACCTATCTTACATCATTACAGCGGGTTCCCTTATCGATTGGCCCCCGAAACCCCCCCGTCCACTGGTTCCGATCCCTGGGTTGTCTCGCCAAACCCCGTTGCCGAGCCGGATTGAGTTTGATCTTTATTTAGAAGGGGAAAAAAGGCCAGGGGAGCAACAGTCGCATAGCTGACAACCTCCTCTCATCCAACATCCCCCTTTCGATCACAAACGTAGGGAAACCCTACTAGATCACCAACAAACCCGACATATTCGACGACTCGACGACAAACATGCTCGGAAATTTTGACTTTGACCCGGAATACGTCCCCGGCGTCAAGCTCGGTCTGCACATTTTCCAGTTCATTCTGTCCTTCGCCATCTGGGCATTGGAAATTGCAGTGTTTAGAGCCGATAACGCAAAAATCGTCGGCAACAATGGCTGGACTTTTGGAGTGGTAAGGCAACCTGACCGGAAAATGAGTCCTGCATTTTGGCAAGGTAGTTAGATTGCTGACAGTCGCATCGCAGTGCTTCCTTTCGCTACCAGCGTGGATCTACCTGATTATGGCGCCGCGGTGGCCGAGAACGAGAAAACTAGCCAACCCCTACGCTATGGCCATCGTAGACGCATGCTTCTGCATCATCTGGCTTTCTGCCTTCGCAAGTCAGGCCGCCTACAACACGGCCAACCAGTGTGGTGACGGCTGCAAGCTCAGCAAGGCCATTGTCGGCTTGGGTGTTTTCGTTTGGTAAGTCGTCAGAGAATTTGGATCGCAGCTATTTAGGCAGTGATGCTAATAGCACTTTGACAGCCTTCTCTTCGGCGGCAGCACCTTTGTCAGTCTGTACACTCTGAAGTACTACCAGTTCCACGGCAAGCTCCCCGGCTACGACAAGGAGAAGCTCGGCGGAGACAACATCGACCCCGACAAGGCCGCCTTCTCCATGGCACCCCACGACGAGGAGGCATACGCCCCCGTCCAGATGGATGATCACAACGATGACAACACAACGCTCTACGGCGGCAACGCCACCGGAAACCACGGATACGCCAACAACAGCTACAACAGTCGCTACGGCGCCGGCAGCTCGGCATACGGCGAGGATGACGACCCGAACCGCTACGGTTCCCTCCCCTCGCGCCAGAACGGCGCCATGTTCGACAGCGAGACCGAGTACCACTCCCAAACTCATCCCCAGAGGCCCACCTCCACTAGCCCCGCGGCGGCGGTACAACCGTACTCCGCCCCTGAGCCGTATGGCGCAGCGCCTGCTTACGACGACGACCGGCCGGCACAGTTCCCTTCCGCGCCTTACGATCGCACGATGCATTAAGATGAAGATCCTATTCTTTCAGCGGGATAATATTCCAGTGTGAGGGATTTGTGATGGCAGGGCCACAGCCCGAGCAAAACCTGGGCCGGTTTTGGGTTGACGAAGGCGGACTGACTGTGCTGTCCAGTGTTCACATAGATGGGCTTGGATTTTTATTTTCCGGTTTACGGGGTGTTGTTGGCGTCCCATTTGTAACAAAGGTAATCGCAAAGATACCAGGCATGAAGCTCTCTCTAGGTAGACATCAAATTTGATGACATGACGATTAAAAGTCAATGATGAAAAATGGTCAACTTGCTTTTGTAGTGAACATGTGGAATATTGTGTTTTATGCCAGAAAATTTGATCTGAAAACGCCATAACTCCTCAAAAGGGGAACACGACAGTATTTCCTCTACGGCCAGGCTCTTACCACCGACCAACATGTAATATGAACGACTCCTTTTGGAACTTTTTCTCCCTTCCATGCCCTCCCTCTCTGTAAATGCTTTCTTCTCCTCCCCTCTACTTCCTTTCTTCCACTTTTCCGCCTCCTCATCTACACTGCTTCTCCTTTTCCCGGACAGATTTACGCCTTGCCAGTAAACCTCTTCACCCGGCGCGCGATATCGCCCTTCGTCTGCTGCATGGGGTTCAACTTGCGATCCCGCACCATGGCATCGTAATCGTCCCCGTGCTTGGCAATCAGCCTCTCGAGCCACTCCTTCTCCTGCTGGCTAATGTGTCGCGGCTTCTTGATCTCGGGTTGGGCGGCCTCCTTTTCGAGGAGGCGGATGACTTCGGGTCTGCTCTCGTCGTCGATGCCGCCCCACTCTTCTTCGTTCTCCTCTTCGTCGTCGGATCCTTCTTCGAGGGCGTTCAGCGGGTCGTTGAGGGGGTTGGGACGCTTGTTGGCGCTGGCGTAGTGGATCTTGATGATCTTGCCGTCGGCGTCGCGCTCGACGCGGGCTTCTTCGAAGACGGCTTCTTCGGTTGTGGAGATGGCGAAGGGGTCGCGCTGGGCGGAGGTCGCCTTTGCTTGCTCGAGTTGGGCGAGGGTCTTTTCCGTGCCGCCTGTTGCTGATTTGAGGCGGGCTGTGAGGCCTAGGCGGCGGTAGTTTTGGGTGAGGGTTTCCTTCTTGTTCCTGGACGACAATGGGTGGTTAGTATAAATTGTGCATTTCTCTCTCGGTAGCGGGATCTGGGCGTGGAGGTGCGGGCAGTTCAAGGGGCCGACGAGTGTGTGTGTATATGTCTGCGTACCAGTTCTTTGCGATGATGTCGTTGCCGAGAGGGTTGAGGAGCTTCTTGGGCCTGTTTGTCTTGACTTTGGCGCGGCCGGAGCGGCGCTTCTTCTTTTGGAGGACGGAACCCATCGTGAGGCGATTGTCTTTTTTTCGGACAAGGTAAGGGAGGTGGTGGAATGCGAGATCACGGGCGCCTTGGGTAAGGTAGAATTAACGAGGTACGAGGTGGCCGGGCGCAAAGCAGTTTGGCTGGAGGTTGCTCGAGTTGCCGCTTCTCGAATTTTTTGTTAATCTTATCTTATCGGGGGAGGGGCGGCTTGGCTCGTATCAGGCTTAGCGTGGTTCGAGAAGTGGGTGTGGGAAGGTACACCGAGATTCACCGACATCTGACCGAGACTTGTCTTTCTCTCCCGAATGTGATGTCTTTAATCCCGTTCACTACTTAAGGTATTCAAGTTCCTTAGAGTCTTTTTTTTTTTTTCGAATGTCGTAGGAAATTATCTCTCATAAATTACTACAGATTTAAGGCGTTCGGGGTAGGTTTTCTGAGAGGGAGATGAGGTTGAGTCCTCCTTTTGCATGGTTTCAATCGAATCTCCTCGCGGATATCGCCTAAGAAGCTTGAGGACTCCCTCGATGCTGGAACCTTCCCCATCATCGAATCAACGTTTTTTTGAGTGTAATTTCTTTCAAATCAAATCCATTCCTTAGGACACACTATTTACAAGCAGTAAAAGGAACGCCGATGTCTTTACAATCTGTGTTCCAGCGTTCTTGCCTCTCACGCAGCTGTCGATACTTTAGGTAAAGTAGGCAATTAGGTGCCTTGCGCATGGCACATCCTACCTGCGCCTTCATGTATATTCACCCTGAACATTACAATACACCACAGACGAAGCCCATATAGGCCCCCTCAATACCATTCTCGTCACCAGCAACAGTAGGCGCCCCTCTAGGTCGGGGGATCAGGTCAAACTGGGCTGGGTGGTGGAGTGGTTCATGGTCAACAAGCAATATCTACGCCAACCAGCCTACTCGACGACAGGCTAAGCGCATACGAGAGTATCCGAGTTCGAATCCCAGAATGAGCACCAGAAATTTCGAGTTCCCAACATGAGCACCAAGAGATGTAGCCCCCATTTCAGCACCGGGGGGGTGAACTCTTTTTTTGGCTTCTCGTGTATCGGTTCGACCTACATTGTGGGGACTACAGCCCAGCACAGGGTTGGAGGATGAAAATTGCGGTTGTGAAAGAGTGATCAGCCCTTCGGCTAGATTGATAGACGTGCGCGGCAAGCTGTGATGATTCATCCCACGTCACCCATGGGGGAATCGACTCAGATTTGTGATGTTTTTTTTCTTGATTCATTCTGGCTCTTGGAGTTTGAGAATGTTTTCTCAGAGGCGATTGACTATTTGAGATGGTCACTTGGCGCTTTTCATTGGCTGCTGTCCAACTGATAGGTCGAGGTCTTCAGGGCGAATGAGAACTTCCTGTGATGATGGATTGCACACTTTATATGTGGACTTACACTGAGGTTCAAGTCTCTGGACACCCATTTTCCCGATCGATAAAATTCTGGCTTAAAATCTCATCGCAATCAAAGTGCACTCTCATTCATGTCATGATTTGATTTCATTCAGCGTAAAATAGCAGATGGTATATAAGCCCTTTACATATCCACAGGTCATCCACACAACGTTGTAATCCCTTCAGCACGCGAAACCCTTTTACACCAGCTTCCAGACACCGTCGTTGACCTCAATCTTGATCTCGCGGTTCTCGTCGATACTTTTCCTGCCGGCGTGGAGGATAGCCGTGGTGGCGATGGTGTTCTTGAGGGTAGGCAGGCCCTTTGCGTCGAGATCCTTGGGCTTGAGCTGGCCAGAGTTGACCTGCCGGCAGCCGTCGACGAACTTCTCGAGCGAGATGTAGCCGTAGCCCGTCTGGCCGTTAAAGTTTCCGTCCTCGTCGGGCGCGTAGCGCATGTAAAAGGGGTTGTACCACATGAGCTGGCCGGCCGAGTCGTCGGCGACGTCGTAGCCGCGCTTGGCCTGGTCGACGCGGATCTCGCCGTTGGCGGCGAGGTAGTGGAAGTACTGGTTCGAGTGGACGCCCGCGCGCTGGGGCGCGGTCCAGCTGGCGGTGTAGACGCCCGTGGCCTTCTTGGACGGGTCGCCCTTCTTCTCCCAGTGGACGAGGACGGAGATTGTGTCCTCGGTGGCCGGGTCGCAGCCGAGGTCGGTGGCGATGCCCTTTGACGCCGAGGCGGAGACCTTGACGGGGACGAAGCCCTGCTGGGTGACCATGGAGTCGCAAATGTCGACGTGGTGGCTGTTGAGGTAGTAGGAGATGTCCGAGTCGACGCCGGCCCAGGCCTTGAAGGTCTCGAGCTGGGACTTGGGCTGGGACATGTAGCTGTAAAAGTAGTTGAAGTCGCCGAGCTTCTGGGCCTTGAAGCGGGCGTCTGAGTAGGCCGGGTCGAAGCGCTTGTGGTGCTCGATGAAGACGTAGACGCCCTTCTTGTCGGCGGCCTCGATGAGGGCCTGGTGGTGCTCCAGGTCCTTGACGGCGGGCTTGGTCAAGAGCACGTGGATGCCGCGCTCGATGGCGTAGAGGGCGATGGGGTAGTGGGTGGTGTCGGGGGTGAAGATGGTGATGGCGTCGCCGGCCTTGAGGGCGTCGATGGCCGTCTTGTAGGAGTCGGGGTCCTTCTTGTCGTTGGCGGGGTATGAGTCGAAGGAGGTGTCCAGGCCGTTGTAGGCTTGGGTGATGTTCTTGTGGAGATGTTCCCCTTCACGTCCTGGTTAGCACCGTCACTTCAACGAAGTTGATTTGCTCGGGAGAGCGGTGATTCACGTACTGATGGCGGGGAACTTTGTGCCGTTGACACCAACCATGCCCAGCTGGTTGACCTTGCCTCTTCTCCTCAAGTCAAAGAGAGTCAGACCGACGACGCCCACCTTCTTGTCCGAACCAGAGGCACCGCCACCGACGAAACCGGTGGTGTACTCGCCGGTACCAACCTGGTGATGATGAGATTAGCACCTGGAACTGAGCCGGATGGTTCTGAATTGGCTTACCATCAAGACGTTGAGAGGCTCCATTTTGGTCGCGTCTTTCCTTTCAATGGGTTGGAAAATGCTACAGGTGAGGGGTGAGGAGAGTTTGAGAGGGAATGGAGAAGAGGAACTTCACGAGCTAGGACAGACGGCGAAAGTTACGGTCTATATAATAGAGGGGTGGGAACGTGTCAATGGGCCAAGTAGCACAAATAGCTCGGGCGAGACGCAGCGAGAGACAGCACGGGACAAGAGAGGCAACGGGTAATAATGGGCAGGCCAAGAATGTTTTTCTCTCTCTTAGGATGAAGCTCGCCGTGGCACAACGACCAAGGAGGAGCTCCCGTCTCGTCTCCGTCACGTCTCGTAGCTACTCCACGACAAAGCTGGGCCCGGAAAAATTGAGGGGCAGAGGAGGGGGGAAGACAATTGGAGGGATTTATCAGCCCCGCACTCCGCCGTGCGTCAGCTCCCCCGGCCCAGACGCTTGACTTATCCGCTCAGATAGTCTGATGGAGACATTTATTAGGAGTCTCTGGTATGATGTGCTATGGTGGCTTCTCTTGGCTTGTTTTGTTGGAACAAGCCGAGACTTTTGGGAGAGCGAACAAGTTGCATGGCGCATACATGGTTGATTCTTCAGCGTTCATCCAGCATCAAATTAGATCGAAGCATGTTGCGGAATCATGGGAGATTTTGCAAAGAACTTCTAACTAGTATAGTAATGGAAATTTGTCCCTAGGGGGGAAGAAGGTAGGAGGATAAAAAAACATGCTGCCGCTTCTGGAAACACATCCCGAGCATGGCCGAAGCCACGGTGCCGTGGACGCCGGTGTTCGGAGGGTCGCACCGGCCGATTCAAGCCCAAGACGGAGGCTGCGCCTCCACGCCATCTTGCCGGGTTTTCATGATTTAGCATGGGCTTTCAATGATACCAGGGCAACTCCGTAGCCATTTCTTCTCTGAAATTTGTTCTGTGCATTGCCTTCTCATTTCAGAGAAATAACCAGAGTGAAGGCATCTGGGAGTTGCGTTTTCGCGACTGAATAGGAAGAGAAACATGGAGGGGCAGCAAAAAAAGTGGAATGAGGGGGAGGGGGAGGGGCCGTGGGAATCGCAAGTGTGGGACAGCGTCGTGCCGTTCTTCCATTGGGGTTCAACGGGTGTACTTGTGTACCTCACTTTGTGCTAGTAGTCGGCCTAGTAACGTGTGGACTCGACCATGGAGAATAATGCCAATTTGCTTGAACGGGGTGATCAATTACTGGCCGGTTAGAGCAATAAACGCCGGTTATTACCCATTGGCTGGGAAGACCATTTCAGAGAAGAATCAACCCTGTTTAGAGTATTCGTACCACAACTCAACCCCAAAACTTTTGAGAGCCGAGAGCGAGCAAGTATGATGTTGGACAATCGTCTTGATTTAACGGAAGCTAAATGATTCAAGGAGCCAGTATTCTCAGTTTCTGATTTGGATTCGACGAAGTTTACCTAGATAGCCTTCGCCCGCCCGTAGAGACACAACCTCAGTGCTGGTATAAGTATCTTTTTCCTGGCCCCATTCCCCGCCCCCACGCCCCATCTGCCCCGCGTCAACTCGTGACATGGATGACCGCTGGTATGTAATACATGAGGCAAGGTACCTTGAGTGAGTAGATATCTCAATAAACCACCAAGATATCCGTAGGCCATAAAGCTACTCTGCTACTTCGCTGGACAGAATGCTTGTAGGAGATTTGCCGATTGTGAAATCCTCTTGACAGAAAGTATGCAGGCTGTCACGGCTGATGCAGTGATATTCATTCCGAAACGCGCCCCAGGGCATACTGCTCCGAGGAAAATTAGGCGATGGGATCCTTCACCTGCTGCACACGATACATCGCCTGCAGAATCCGATATTTAATCCCTCTTCAACCGGCTAAAGACTGTGATTGTATTGGTCAGCAGTCTACAAACTTGAGTTTCATTGCCCGCGACGTTAGCAATACGCAATGTTTTGCTCGACTTTACCCGAGAATTGGAGTCTTAGAAGTAGATACCTAGTAGCTTATGTATCTTGATACCCTTAACATAAAGCCTTTCATGATACTATCTGCACCAGAACGTAGCGGAGACCCAAGGCCACACCAACCCCGAAAGGGTCTTCAAAATATTAGACTACCTAACGCCTTTCTACATGCATCCCACATTGATCGCGAGTCTTAATACCTACATTTTGTCCTTTCGCTCGTCCATTCCGTTCCAGCGCCGATGGCCAGACCCCTCGTGCCCCTCCGTGCCTGCTCCAACTCTGAAGCTAAGGTACCGGGGTACCTCCACTCACTCAAAGACACCCCACTTACCCTGCCAGGCATGATGCTCTGGTTCCTATTGGAGGAATATCTTGGACGTAATTTCTCCGTCCACTCATCTGACTTCCATTTCCATCACTTCCAACCTTCTCCAACACTTCAACGCCGCACAAATTCATGCCACTCCATACACTTCGTATCGCCGGCCAGCCTCTCACGTATCATTGCAAAGAGGTTACAGCGATGCACTGCACCATCTGCTAGATGCCCTACTGTTTCAGTGTTCATGCCGGTTCTCTCCCGCCGGCCACCGGCTGCGGTCATCGGAGCTGACCGGTAGCGATCCGGACTTGCTTAGAAAAAATCCATCGCTGGCACAGAGCATAGCTTACTTGGCTCGTCTCCAGATACACAGCAAGACCTCTTGATGCTGACCGTAGGGCTTCAGTATCTCCTAAGCTAAACATCACTGCCGCCGCGGCTCTCGTCACTTTCCTCGTCTCCAATATGACGCTTAGTGCGTCTACACTTCTGGCGGTGTCGATACATCAGAAGAGAGATGACAACGGGAAAAGTTCAACTCATGCACGACGGGCGAGCAAACCCGAGACTGGGCTACCAATCGCCGGATGATTTGCCAGGCACCCTCCGGCCTGCAGCTGTGCATGTCCCAGTTCGGCGCTAATGCTCAAGACGGGCTTGACGAGCCTTGTGCTGCATGGCCAGACGACAGCTTTCCCAATAATGCCATCTTCTCATCACCGTCTGGTATTGCCCTCCACGCGCGATTTCAGATTTCGGACACCACCCAGCCCTGTGCTGGCTGCCTCCGTGCAGATCTCGTGGCATCGGCCGGAAGCATCTGGCTCATTGGCGCAATCCATCTTCCCAGCAGATCCTGTCCACGACACAGGGCTACAGCTTACAGCAGATGCATCTTCGCTACCGTCTATTACCGGAGCCCACGGACCACAGACGTGGGTGGGCGATGTTGGATGGATCGAAGCTTCAAGGGAAGTCCCTTGCTTGTCTCGGATTTCCTTCATCTTGTGACGGCTGTCTTTTCTCGAAGTCTACAAATACCCCGCCATGGCTGAGAGCCCTGCCCAGAGGATTCCTCCTCAAAGTGGGACTGAAACGCAGCGAGCCGACTTCATCGTCACCAATGCTGTCCATATCCTCACTCAATATATCTGCAAATATGTGAGCTTGACCATCATTGCCCTCGTAGGCTAATGCGGACCATCAAAGAGTAGGAATTGGACACCAAAAGCCTCATTGTTGAACTACCTGGAAACAGGAACCGCTTGCCGCAGTACCGGCGATGCAACTCGTTTCTCTGCACACTCCACCCCCTTCTCCATCTCTCTTAGCGTTCTTCTCGTCTAGTTTCCGATTGCCCCTCCCCCTCCCTCCCCCAACTGGGGTGCAAGGGAGCGTCCCAAGGTGGCCCCGTTGTGCAGTTGTTAGCTTCTCCGGTCTTGGCTTTGAGTCTACACGATGCTCGATAGTTCGGGCCAATGTCCACACGAGCAAGGCCCTCGCGACACGTCAATTATTTATTTCTAGACTCATCCCACCCCACGCGGGCTTGCTGATACTGGAACAAGCCCATTAGCTCACGGAAATCTTCCCGTCCTCCTCATCGTCTCTCTTCTTTCTCCCTCCTATAAATACAACACCGGCCTCTACCCGTCTCTCTGGTAAGTATTATCTCTCACCTCGTCTCACCAACCACACCACTCTTCTCTTGTGCTTTCACCTCTCCAACCTACCCCTCTCACTCACACTTTGCTCACAGCTCTCTCATTCATCCAGCTCACCCACCAAATCAGCCCATTATGACCGTCTCCAACGGAAGCAGTGGCGCTCGCCGCACCCTCCCCGTCGGCATCTACGCCCCCACCATGACCTTCTTCGACCCCGAGACGGAAGATCTCGACATCCCTACCATCAAGAAGCACGCCGAGCGTCTGGCCAAGGCTGGTCTTGCCGGTCTGGTCGTCATGGGTTCCAACGGAGAGGCTGCCCACTGCACACGCGAGGAGAAGCTGGCTGTGACCAAGGCCACCCGTGAGGCTCTCGACGCCGCCGGCTTCCAGAGCACCCCCATCATCCTCGGTGCCACCGAGGGCAGTGTCCGCGGCACCATTGAGCTCTCCAAGGCCGCCCTCGAGGTCGGCGCCGACTACTCTCTCATCCTTCCCCCCTCCTACTTCCGCGCCCAGATGGACGAGCAGGCCATCTACGATTACTTCATCGCCGTCGCCGACCAGAGCCCCATTCCTCTTGTCCTCTACAACTACCCCGGCGCCGTCTCCGGCATCGACATGGACAGCGACCTGCTCATCAAGCTGGCCGAGCACCCCAACATCATCGGCACAAAGTTCACCTGCGGCAACACGGGTAAGCTCACCCGCGTGGCCTCCGCCACCAACGCAAAGACCCCTTGGTCAGAAGGCTCCGGCTACATGGCCTTTGGTGGCATATGCGACTTCACGGCCCAGACCCTCGCCAGCGGCGGCAGCGGCATCATCGCCGGCGGTGCCAATGTCATGCCCAAGGTCTGCGTCAAGGTGTGGAACCTCTACTCGGAGGGCAAGAGGGACGAGGCCATTGAGCTCCAGAAGAAGCTCAGCCGTGGCGACTGGTTCCTGACAAAGGCTGCCATCGCGGGCACCAAGGGCGCCATCCAGAGCTACTACGGCTACGGAGGCTTCCCAAGACGGCCTCTGAGACGTCTGGAGAAGGCCCGTACCCTTTCTATTGAGGAGGGCATCAAGGAGGTCATGGACATTGAGAACTCCCTGTAATTGGAGTGCAATTTTCCTCGTTCTCATGATTTTATGCACTCATGAGAAATGATCTAAGCGTGCGGGCAACTTTTTTTGTGCCCGGCGTGACAGATGGTGGGGTAAACGTCCCCTCCCTCCACCGATCACGGCCGTGGGGGTAGTTTCCCCGGGCTAGGTCTCGGAAGAATGTCCGGGGTGATGATGTGCCGAGCTCTTTGGCGTACCCCCCACCTCACTCTCACCAAGGTACCTAGCCTGACATAGCTCGGACTTTTTTGTCCTCATCCCCCCCCCCAAAAAAGACATAAAGTGGGTTGGCATCTATCGATAGTTTTATAGGGAGTTTTTGGGCGCGGAAATAACGATTTGGGATGAGAGGTTGCATTTGTTGGTACCATTACCAACTTGGTACTCTTGCACTAGGAGGTGCGCATAGTCACAGATATCGTCCTCGGGACCGAGTATCTTGGGGAGCCTCATAATAGATTTTATGAATTTTTTCAAATGACTATTCATGTTTCATTAATCATGCGTCTCTACCTTGTTTCTATACCATGCAGCAATGGTTACAGTATCAAAATTGCGCTTCAACTACGTGTCTTGCGCTAGATGTCACCGCATCTAAACTCTATACCGCCTCGGGTCCAGCTCCGATATATCGGCGCTGGCCGTCTTGCCGTCGAGTATATACTCGGACATGAGCTTGCCCGTCGCGGGACCGTTCTGGATGCCCCAGCACGTGTGGCCGGCCGCGAGCCACAGGCCCGGCACGGATGTCGCGCCGATGAGGGGTCCGGACTCGTGTTGGGGCAGGTAGCACGCCTGCTTCGCCTTGATGGAGGCGGCTGCCAGGGCCGGGCTGACGGTGGCGATGTACGAGATGATGTCGTCGCAGTTGGCTTCGTCTACTTGGACTTTGTCTGCTGTCTCTGGGAGGGGTGCGTCTTCATCTGGTTCGCCTAGAGTGTGGGGAGTATTGCCGTAAGCTTTGTGTCTTTGAAGACTTGGGGTTTGGTTTTTGAATTTGTCTTAGGGGAAGGGACGGGAAGGGGGAAAAGGGGCAACGAACCACATGCATACACCTCGCCATACGGCCGCGCATAAATCTCCGGGTCGACGACGCGCTTGTGTTTTCTTTTTTGGCCTTTGCTGACCCGGTGCTCCGGCACAAAGTCGGCCGAGAGCTTGATGCTGGTGAAGACGGCGTAGGGGCTGACGTCGGCGTTGTAGACGACGCTGTGGGCCCGTAGGCCCGTGACCTTCGATCGCGGCAGCAGGCGACCGGTCCACGGCCCCGCGGAGACCAACACGTCCGTCACGTCGTCAATCGTCCGGGTCTCGCCGGTCTCGCGGTCGAGGTACTCGACGCTCTTGACGCCGCCGCCACCGCCCTCCCCGGAGATAATCCTCTTCAGCTGCGCATTGGTCCGCACCTCGACGCCCTTTTCCTGCGCCAGCGCCGCCATGGACGTGGTGAAGTCGTAGGGATGCACCTGCGCCGTTTCCGTCGCGCCAGGCCTGCCCATTTCGGCGTACGTCTCAACGGCGGCCCGATCGATCCAGTCGAGGTCCCCCGGCACGACGCCGCCCGAATCCCGCAACATGGCCTCGGCGGCCTCGTCCTGCTTCGGCAGCCTCTCCCACCCCTTTTCCTGCTCGCCTTCGTTGGCGCCGGGCGCGACAGCCTCGGGTTTCACAGCGGCTTGTTTAATGTTCTCGAGCCTCTGCTTCGTGACGCGGGCCTCGAAGCTGCCGCAGTTGACACGCCGGTAGCCCCATCGCTTCTCGCCGCCGTGCTCTGCGGCGAGCTCCTTGTGCAGGCGGTAGGAGAGCGGGACGAGGCAAGATGGGTAAGCCCAGAGGGCGAGAAGGCCGCCTGCTTTGCCCGAGGCGCCTGAGGCGATGGCGGTGGCCTCGAGGATGGTGATGCGGTGGAGGGCAGGGCTGTACTTCGGGTGTCTTGTGAGGAAGTAGGCCGTTGTGGAACCGATGATGCCGCCACCTGCAAAGTGGCCGTGCCCTTGATATCAGTCTACTTGAAGTGGCGACGACGAAGAAGACGACCCTGTTGTGTAGTAGACGTACCGACGATGACAATGTTGCGCTTTTCTTGGGGATCCATGGCTGGCAAGGGCGGTGTTAGTGTCGACAGAGCCTCTTCCTCGAGTATCCGTCTGGCAATGTCGAGTTGTCGTTTCTCGCGCCGCTGCTTCTTCGTCTTCTTCCTGACGGCGGGCATTTCGTCACCCCGTGGGGCGGCCGTGTCCCGCTTGACCCTGAGCTCCTCGAGGGGCACGGTCCGAGGCGGGGTAAGTTCCTTATCGATAGCGCGTGGTGACGGCGGCGGATCGTTTGATAGAACGAGACCGCGGCCGGGTTGCGGCCCCCCCTCTTCAAGGTACTTTGCAGCAGGTATCCGTATCTGTTGTTAGCGGGTTGCAGTAAAGTCTCGAGCAGCCTGGCGTGATTCGGGTGATTCGCATACTGTTGATTGGGAAAGATTGCGCTGAGAGAGACCGGGGCGGCAATTGGCTCAGGGTCGAGCTTGCATTCCAAATACGGAAATCACCTCGGCGAGGGAGCTATGACGGAACAAGCATTGATCCGCCTCGGCTCGGCTTCATCCTGCTTAGTAATTGACAATCAATGGGTGGCCAAGTACCGATAACGGTATGAGCCGGTCTGGTGTGGCTACGTGAGCCCCTCCATTGAATTTGAGATACCTACCTAGCCTCCCCGGCTCTTCGGTGCTCTTGCCTCGACTCGGGCAGTCTGCCGCCACGGAAGACCCGGACTTCAAAGTTGGTGCTGGACAAACTTGCAAAAGTCGATGCTTCAACACCCATCTGGACTGGCCGACTCGGGCACCGGAACAACGAATTCAACCGACTGGCTCCACTCTCACATGAAGAGCCGGGTCTCGCGTTCGCATCATGAATCCGACGTAATGATTCAGTATCTATTGTCAAGTTGATGAGCTGCCAGAGACGATATTTTCTGGTTGACTTTAAGCAAAAATCCTGAGAAGAGCTCAATGTATGACCTGGGCTTTGTAGGCAATGCACTGTTTGATACACATCTATCCACCAGTACCTCCCGCAACCAAAGACAAGCTGTGACACTGGCGTGTCTGGATCGAAACAAAACGGAACCAGGACATGCCGTCCCGTACCTCGGCCGATGCAGAGCTTGTCGAACCTCCCGCATCCATCGTGACGGAGCCCCACTTTCGACCGAAGACCCCGTCGTGCCCCTCTTGTTCTGGCCCATTCGAGGTGTCAAAGTGCAGCTCTGTGGAGGCGTTGGAAGTGTGATGGTGCAACACTAACGGTAATGGAAGGTATCCGTAGGCAATTACGGAGTCCTGTGTACGCAAACGCAGTACCTTGGTCTGTTGGTGTGGCTTCGATGCGAGTGCACGCCCGTGCCCGGGGACCCCATTGGAAACCGGATTGAAACTTTGTCCCGGCAGCACCACTGGCGAAGGGAACAGGCGTGACAGGAAAGGACGACGCACTTCCCTTCCCGTCCGTCCCTGCATCACCCAATCCCTCCCTCGTGGCGTCACGCATGGCATGTTTCGTCAACTACATACCAGAGCCTTCTCTCTCAAAACAACTTCCACTGCTGCTTCCGTAGCTGTGCATCACCCAAGACTTTTTCTTCCCTACATCTACTCGATCAAAACTTGTGCATCATCGCCGAACCGACCGCAATTACTCAACAAGATCCAATTGCGGGGTAATTTCAGAGCTATCGCAGAAAAGCATCACCAAATCCACACAACCGCAGCAATGGCTTCCGCAACAGCCTTCTACGACTTCAAGCCCTTGGACAGTACGTGTGATTCCCATTGTTGCGCGATAACTAACCAATCACCTCGAAAACGGTTCGGCTGACATGCATTCTTCCCCTCCAAAACAGAGCGCGGCCAAGAGGTCCCCCTCGCCGACTACAAGGGCAAGGTCGTCCTCGTCGTCAACACCGCCTCCAAGTGCGGCTTCACCCCGCAGTACGCCGGCCTCGAGAAGCTCTACAAGGACATCAAGGAGAAGCACGGCGACGACTTCATCGTCCTCGGCTTCCCCTGCAACCAGTTTGGCGGCCAGGAGCCCGGCTCTGACGACGAGATCCAGAACTTCTGCCAGGTCAACTACGGCGTCTCCTTCCCCATCATGCAAAAGATTGACGTCAACGGCGACGCCGCCAACCCCCTTTTCCAGTGGCTCAAGGAGGAGAAGCCCGGTATCATGGGCCTCAAGCGCATCAAGTGGAACTTTGAAAAGTTCCTCGTCGGCCGCGACGGCCAGGTCAAGGGCCGCTGGGCCAGCACCACCAAGCCCGAGAGCTTGGAGAAGCCCATCCTCGACGAGCTGGAGAAGAAATAAACGCGAAAAGGAGAGAATGATACCCAGGGCGCGTTAAGCTACGGACTTATGAGGGCTATGTTGTGCTTTGTCTGGGACATCCGAGCCATACGCACAGGTCTTGTAGTATAGTTGACAAGCGCCCTACTCCCTTCGGTTTAGTATAGTACGGAGGATAATCAACAACATGAACCACTGTAGTGATTTGTTATGTTACACGTCTGTCTGAAGCATTCGCAGTGTTTGAAGACGTGGTGGCGATCATAGGATGGCCTCAAAACGTGACATTCGTAGGCTTGAATAGCTTAATGTTGACAGTGGAATATGCAAGGATTGAGTGATACTCATTTACGGAAGATCACTTCTAGTCCCTCTGAAAATCAGAACCTTTGTCTTGTACCTTTAAAATTTAGGTTAAGAGTTATGATAGGCAATATGATGCTGGATTTGCATACGATAGAAATATACACGCCTTTCCTAAGACCATTACGGTAGTGATTCCTCGCATTCCTAAGTAGTCGAGCGATCGGGTCCTTCTTCATCTCATTCTAGGAATGACTGAAATTCGCCCAATACTTGCTGTTCTTTGCAGTCTATCCTCGTCACACGGAAGCTGATTTCGGTAGACATCAGCCATCAAGTTGCTATAGTCGCCGCAAACTTATTCGAGGTGAAACCCCAAGGGATTATAACCGTCTTTAGAATAAAACAAATCTTTGTGAAAGTTTGATAGAGGACACTAGGGTTTCGAGGCAGGTTGAAAGAATCTCCAGCGGTGCATGGCCCTTTTCTTGAATGGCTTGTTGAAGTTGGCTGCTGCCTTCTCCTGGCCATTATACAAGGCTTGAGAAAGACAGTCTCTGCCATAGTTGACGGTATATGTATCTCACTTATCTCACATTTGCGGTAGAAAGCGAAAGAATGGATAGATTTGTCGATTAGTCGCAGAATATCTCCATCGTCGACATTGGCGATG